AGGGTGCTAACAAGATTTCGTAACAAAGGCGAATAACTCTGGAACTGAAATAATACAAATTTCAAGTTGCTAACAAGATCGGATAACAAAGGGACTAGCCTTACAGTAATCTATAAATATATATATAGGAGTCTTCCTATAACGGATGGCCGTACATACAGCTGGCGGCAATATCACATTAAATTTTTTGGCATATAAAGATTAACTATTCCTGATCCCTCATCTTCTCCACCCCAAACCAACCGGTTCGATCCTACCATTGTAAATCTTAGATCGACGGATGTCAGGGGCGTGGCGACCACTGCTTGTGAGGTTTGGGGTCTGGAATTAGTAGATATGTTAAGTTATGCTTTTGGCGACACCACCTGTATCAAAATGTTCCTTGGGTTCCCTAGTGACAATATAAATCCTTCTGAGTAGTAAATTTGGGGGATAAACCCACTTCTGTGTAGGTCAAAGGTCACAATTGATCGACCACTTCCAATCCACCTTAAATGCATATCTTAGTACATACCTTTAGTATAAGCAGAAAATAGGTATCAAGCTGTACGATGCGTCCACCTGGAGAAATATAAATCCTCCTGAGTAGAGTTCAACCCACTTCTGAGTAGGTCAGGGTCACCGAACGCCTAATCTACCTTAAATGCATATATCCCAGTATATACCTTCCGTGCAAGCAGAAACGTGTATCAAACTGTTCCTTGATACCCCCTGGTGGAATATAAATTTGGGGGATTAACCCACACATGAGGATGTCAAAGGGTATCATTGGTCGACCTCTCCGAATCTACTCCCCAAATAGGAGACATGCCAAGTTATTAATTCCCGAAATGGGGAGGTGCATTAAAGATAAATGGGTGGGGCCGACCAATGATGACATTTCCAATGTCCACATTTGACAACTCAGACGGGGTCGCAAGGTACAGTTTGATATCATAAGTTTTAAAATAACCAAGGACAGAATCGGCGAGACATTACCCCCCATACCATAAGGAATTGGTTATCAGAATTTAGGATAATATTAGCACTATTTTGTAACTTGGTATTTTATGAGAGAAATAAAATACATAAACGACCAAAGGACGTCTGTATATAAATGCCACGAGAAGTCTGATAAGGGTACTTTAGTTATACCCGGAATACGTTTCTTGCGCGAAAAGACATGTCCTATGGAAATAGAGAAAAGACATCGAGTGTGAATAGCTCACGGAAGCTGAACATTTACGTCGCTTATGAAAATCGATGTTTATGCCTTCTAGTTGATGATCGCTCATTACACATCCCTGCTGGGTATGTGGAATTCTGTTAATACGTTGGTCATATTGGTGAATGAGCGAAGGTCGACTTTTACTATTAACAAACAAGTAGATTGAACACTTTTAGACGCGCATAGATCACAAATAATTATAAAGGGGCCAAAATCTTCACAAGAAACCCTTGGGCTAATTGACCAATGTGTGTATTCTTCTCATTATAACTAATTGTGTTCCGTTATTCACATAAATCTAGTTAGATTTCCGTTCTGGGCATATCAGTAATGTAATTTTGATGACGTCATAGTGTCCAGAAAGTTTACTTCTGTACTGTTGAACCGAATAATAATTGTCTTATGACAAAAGCCTGTCTGAATTTATTAAGTATGTTTCAATTTTTATCAAACACGACAACTTAATATATGATTACAGTTTCCTTTAAATTCTGATACCACTTTCTGAGAATTATTGGGATTTTTTGCTCTACTGGGTTCGTTAAACTTTGTATTTTGACGATAGTGTTATATTTTTGTCATGTATACTTGTTAAAGACATGACATTTGTGAAGGTTAATAACCCATGTTTGGCGATAATAATATGAATCAAATAACAGAAGGTTGATTTTCTTAAACGCCAATAACAAATGTCAAGATAGCCTTGGTTGGCATTCTACAGATACATTAAAGTATCTGTGTCATATTAAATTTTCCACGACTTAATCCATTCTAAAATATACCAGAATTGATTATTTAGAAACCAAATTAAAATATCAATGGTAGATAATGCCACGGATTAGATACGGTGAAGTTTATAGATCTAGAACGAGACATTAAGTAATATATTAATATTTTTGTAAATACTGAACGGATTTAAACCATTTTGGTACTGATATTCCTTTCAGAGATTTAACTTTCACATTATTGCCGTGGATTCTTCATTCCCTCAAATGACGTCCAGGTAATAATTTTTCAAAGGATCCACAGTTTAATCAGTGTCTGATTAAGCTAGTGCGGGGCCGAAAGCATGTGTTATAAAGAGGGGCTTGAATTTTTAAAAAAAAAATACGCATATTTATTAGAACGCATATTTTTTAATTGTATAGTGAGGTAATTAATTATTTTTCATTTACTATACAGCCAGATAATAAGAAACAAAATAATAACCGCAAATGAAGGAGACAGTTGACTAAAATCACTAACCCTAAATACCCAGTATGTTTATAAAAGTTACAAGTAGCACAGCACTATAATAATAGAGCATGTGCAGTAACAATGAATCGGGATTAATACCTTTCAAGAATTTAATACGAATCCCGTATGCTACTTTTGCTGCTGGTTAATTCATACAGATTTGGGAGCTTACAAAGAAAGTATTTCATGTTCAGAGGTTCCCAGTCCACCCCTGGTTCGGAGGTTTCTGATTAAAGTCGAATCATTTAGTTTTCCAAACGTGCATTTTCGATCTTTCTATGACTTACTCATCCAATTTGAGTTATTCATTCTACCATAATAGTGCACATTTCCTATTCAAACAAAATGTCAAGCTTGACAATGTTTCGTCAACTTATGTCTTCTATAACGATCGAGTAATCGACGATCGCAAAGTTAACATCTTTCATGTGGCATATAGCAGATCATGGCTCGTACTAGTATTACAATATGTTTTTCTCTGGGTTATGTTAGTTTTCATTTTTGAATGAGGTTTGTATCACTACAGGCAGCGGTTAGCCCCCGGATCCATTCACTTAATATGTTTGTGATTTCTGCGTATTGTGTCTTGTTCGTAGATTTGTTTTGTATTATTATGTGTGGTGCAGCCCCCCTGCACTTACTGTTAGACCCCCCCACCCCAAAAAAAAAAAAAAAAAAAAAAATCCACGTGTTTACGGTTACCCGACGGACATTTTCATGCGGACGTATTATGCTATCGCCCCTGTCCGTCCGTCCCTCCGTCCGGACGTCCGTTCGTCCACAATTTGTTTGTGAACACTCTACAGGTTACAATTTTGTATCCGATTTTGACGAAATATAGGTCTATCTTCCAAAGATTTCGGATTCTTTCGACATTGGCATGTATCGGACCATAACTTCATGGATTATGACCCCCTGATTGTACAAATAATCACGTTTGAGCTCGTGGACACTCTAGAGGTCACAATTTTCATCTGATTTTGGTGAAACTTGATATGCATGTTTATAACCCAAAGATCTTGGTTCCTTTCGATATTTTCGCATACCGGATCGTAACTACCTGAATTATGGCCCCTCGGCTTGTGGTCCCCCTAGAGGTCGCAATTATTATCCGATTTAAAAAAAAAACGTCCGAAAATATCACCATTACACCGTTATGTTGGTTGAGTTCGAATTTCGTGCAAATCGGACCAAACCTGCCGGACAAAATGGCGCATATCGGATCGTAACTTCCTGAATTATGGCCCCTCGGCTTGTGGTCCATCTAGAGGTCACAATTATTATCCGATTTAAAAGAAAAACGTTCGAAAATATCACCGTTACACCCGTAATGTTGGTTGAGTTCGAATTTTGTGAAAATCGGACCAAAACTGCTAGACAAAATGGCCGCCCCTCGTACGCAAATTACTGTAAAATATGGTATATCAAGGTTGTGGACCGTCTAGAGATCACAATTTCGATCCGATTTTGATGAAACTTGGAATATATGTTTATAACCAAACGATCTTGGATCTTTTCGATATTCACGCATATCGTATCGTATACTGAATTATCGCCCTTGACTGTACGTAAAATCCTGTTTTTAGCGTGTGGTCACATTTTTTATCCGATTTAAAGAACAATTCGAATATATCACCGTTACAACAAAATATCAGTGTAAAAGTATGTAATACCAGGATTGTGGACCCTCTAGAAGTCACAATTTTTATCCGATTTTGATGAAACTTGAAATGTATGTTTATAACCCAAAGATCTTGGTTCCTGCATTATGGCCCCTGATTGTACGAAAAATTGTGGATTCTCTAGAGGTCACAGTGTTTATCCGACTTTAAAACCCGTTTAAATATATCACCATTCCACCATAATGAAGGTTAAATTCGAATTTCGGAAAAATCGAAATGAAACTGTCCGACAAAATGGTCGTTCTTTGTACGCAAATTGTGTAAAAGTATGTAATACAAAGGACCCTCTAAAGGTCACTATTTTTATCCGATGTTAATGAAACTTAAAATATATGTCGATACCCTTTTCGATATTTGCGCATTTCAGGCCATAACTTTCTGGATTATGGCTCCTGATTGTACGAAAAAATCGCTTTTGTTTTTAGCCATCTCTTGCAAAATGTGGGCATATCTTGCCTGGCAACCACTGGTTAAACATTAAGTCAGCGTGTGAAGATTTCTCTGGTCTGAACAAATCTGTATAAGCACCATTCCGGCAACAGCTGTGGTCAAGCATCGCCCAATCAACATACGTAAAGAAAATGATTGAAATTCATCAATAAGTTTTGGAGAACAAGTCGTAATTAGCCCAATTTGTTCAGTCAAGTCGCCATGTCTCAGCTATTTGCTCCTCTGGGATGCCCATAACCTGTTTTCACCTATATGGGATCCAGTCCTTTTATTGTGACAAATTTTAATCTTGAACATCCTCAGAAGATTCATACAAAATTTATGAAATCAATCCTGCCATTCGGTTTAGTCAAGACGACTTATTAAAGCACATTAGGAGAAATCGGATTGGTTAAAGGCTCAATACCACTCTAGTTGTAACTGAATAATATGTACCAATCTTTATTCTGGTCAACAAATTGCACTATTTTACAATATTCCAATTAATTGATGATACAAATTTCATCTTAACACATCTAATTTAAAAAATTGGAAAAATTCAACTAAATGATTTGAAAAGCCTGACGTAAAGCTTTTCAAATGTAACTTTGATTTAAACATATTTTTGAACCCTCTGGACAAGTAAAATAAGATTTAATGGATAATTTAAGCAACAGGTAGGACACTAACACATCTAGTACTTAGAATAAGGCTATTTTTTATTTTCTGGAGCTGTCAAGCCAGCAAGAGTGTTATTGTCCCTTTAAGAAAGACAAATGACGGACGGAAAATATCATTTTAATGTCTTCAATTTCAATATTGCACATTTGGTGTTTGTTCACGAGTAATATTTTTCGATAGTGTCTGACATTGCTCTCATCCATAGTGCAACAGCCACTGCTCCTGGGTCTGCTTCCTTCAATCTGTCAGCACTAACGTAACTTGCTCGCCCGGCCCGTGCCTTCATGTTAGCAGTCTGGCGGGCTGCAAGCTCGGATGCCTGAAAAGATTATAAATAATTATCTTTATTGATGAATGTTATGGTTTCAAAAACTAAACCTGTTATTAGTTGGGGGTTTTTTTCTCTGTAACGTTGCATGTAATATAATAAGAAAGAGCAAATCAACAATGTTGTGTTATTATGAATGTTATAGCTCTACTTAGAAATCTCATTCAAAGGTATTAGTGTTATTATTTAGGTAAATGTTCTTAGTTTTCTTAAATTGCATTTTTCTTTTTTGTTACACTACGTTGTAATCTATCATATCTTCTATCACGTAACCTTACTACTACTACCACAACTAACAACATGATCCATGACCCATGGATAAAGTTCAGGGCCTAAAATAACGTACCCAGTGATTACGTTTCTAGTGTAAGGAAAGTTTTGTAATATAAGAATCTTCAATGAAAAAAATGGAATTAAACAGTTAGAAGGTTTAATGGATCCATGTGATTTAAAGCGTCGACACATGGATCCAAAATTTTCACAGTCTACAACAGAATACAATACAGAACAGCTGTATTCATCCGCAAAAAAAAATAGTACCTAAAATGCATGTACATTATATAGGTTTAAACGTCAAATGAGGTCAAATGAATAGAGACGTCTTTAATATATACTAAATATTCGTATCATCCCAAATCGACAATAAAACACTGAGAAAAAAGAAAATCTAAGTAATGGCAATCTAATTCACATAAAATTTACGACATAATGGATTCTTCAATGTTTTGATGGTGATCATGAAGAAAATAGGCCTACATCTGTTCTCAGGAATCCGATAAGATTTTTAAAAAAAAAGATCAGTAGAATTATAGATTGTTATTCCACAAAGTCGAAAGGTATGTTAGATTTTTCATTCAGTCAAGTTAGAGCGAGTTTATTGCCGTACTTTGAGCTCCAAACCCGATAGAAATGAAGGCGGAAGTGGCCATAATCACTACGTGATGGCGCTCCTGCGTCGCGACAAACGGGGCCGATTTGTCTAGGAGTACGAACGCTTCGAAATGAAAAATCCGTGCTTCGAACATAAGTAAACCGGGCTCTGAAAAAGTGTAATGTAGCTATGCCTCCTGACCCCTATAGAATGAGTGTTTCCTCTGTGGTGGAAAGATCAGATCAGTTGGCGCTCGATCGACTCCCCAGGATAAGTCGAATGAGTGCCATCCGCATCATGTTGATGTAATGATAGAATTTGAATTATAACTCAAATATTATCGTAACAAAAGTGGTGTGTTATTTTCCTAGTGCTGAGTTTTCAACATGTTGACGAACTTTTTACTCTGTATAAATCAAATCAAATCAAATGAAAATGTGTTTAACGTTTTACTGTTCTGCTCCTACTGGGCATACGCCATGCAGTGTGCTATGAGGGAAATTTTGCCTCACTCTTATTTCGAATTCCAACTGTCAGGGGTTCTTTTACGTGCACGCCAATGTGTACACGGGACGTCGGTTTTTCGTTCCATCGGAACGACTATATATTGTCCCTTGCCGGGCACTCCGTCCTACACCACTGACAAGGGAGAACCACACTGGAAAAAACCAATGACATTTATCTGCCAACGCAGCTTAGAGAGCCAACGTTCTACCCAATGTTACCGAGAAGTATTGGATACATATAATAACTTTACGCACTAAGCCATGTTCATTCAGAAATTCTATTTGCAAAGCCTGTGTCACACGGGTGTAGGTAGGGCGTAAGGTGACTCCGTGGTGACGCCACATTGATGCAGTGTAACACTGTAACACATACGCAGCTTGTACTACAGATGACGTAACCATAGCGTCATCCTGGGGTCGGCGCAAGTGGTTTTTGGTTGTCATTTGCCACAAAAGACCAGGCAAACCTGCACAAGTACTGCCGTAACAGATTGCTCACAGCTCACAGAAATATAAATATTTATATATTTCTGTGGCGTTACTATTTGCATCACTTTCGCGGTAATGCTGATTTGGGGCGAAATTTTCAAAAATCGAAGCAGCTTTTGCGACACCTCTGTGGTACTTTTACTCTACCCAACTACCGACACACGCTACCTTGATCTCACACAGCGCACATTGACCTACGCATAGGTAACGCAAGGAATTTACGCAGAGAGAGAGAGAGAGAGAGAGAGAGAGAGAGACGGGGGGGGGGGGTTGACGTCCACTCGACACAAACTAATTCGCTTGCGCGTAGGGGGCTTTAGCAGTGGGAGGAAACCGGAGGACCCGGAGAAAACCCACGAGGTTGAACAGAAGAGAGAGAGAGTTTAACTTCTCGTTCACCGTGCCTCTCTGATGCTTGAAACTAACATGTATGTATACAGAGAGAGAGGGGGGGTTAACGTCCACTCGACACAAGCTAGGTCATTTCGGGAATAACATATGGTTCAGTTTTATTTCAATAATTCGCTAGCACATAGGCGACCATACTCCCTGTCACGTACAAACGGGGAATTGAAACCACGCCATTGACTTAATGACAGACCTTAAACCCCCCTTCCACACACACACACACACATACAGAACAGTGGGCCAGGCTTTAGATGATGACTCATTCTGCACAATATACATGTAGAACTATCTATACATTGATAATAGATCTCTGTCCTACAATGTCGCCATTTTAAGAAATCAGAATAAATACTTCTGAAAAGTATACTTTGTTTTTCGACTAAAATGCCGGTCAGCTAGCCCTGTGACTATTCTCAAATCGAGCTAATTGTGAAAAGTCAGTGTAAGTTTCGTATGAGGATTTCTTTGCGTTTCATTCGTCCGATTTTTCAAGCCTGCTGCCAGTGTACGGGCGTAATGGTGAGATCAGACCTAGAGTTCATAAAGCAGTCTCAGAATTAAAGCGGCATTATGGAAGATTAGATAATTTCTCGCTATAATAGTTAAAAAAAATAGATCAAGTAATGGGGATATGCTGAGATTTTCAGTAAAATTACTTCACTCTAAGCCAAGAAATCCTCATTTTAATAACACTATTGCCTCGATTGTCATTGTTTCAGTTGTTACGATAATAAACAAACTCTCGATTATCCAATTTTACTGTTAATAGTCAACGGCCATTAAAGCGCAGATCGGATTCAAATCTGTGGAAAATCGGAACCATCAGATGGCATCGAGCATTATTGATGGTCTTGACATGATAATAAATATCTAATTAATAATTTAGATAACATTTCAGGCCTAAAGAGAGACCTACAATAGGCAGATTTAGCTCTTGCATAATGCATGTTTAAGTTAAGAATTTAATCACTGTTTAAGAGAAATATCTTTGACCCCGAAACATAAAACTTTGTACATAGTTTCTTATTCGAGTCCCTTGTTACAAATGGCGCTGAAACGCATTATGGTTCATGATTCGTCTACCAATGGTAAAATGTTTAGTTTGTCTTAAATATTGGATACCAGAAACCCATCTTTTCCCGGTAATAATTTGTGTTTTCAAAAGTCAAATACTTTGGATGATATTGAGTTAGAGAATTGGCTACTTTAAGTCTGGGAATGCTTTGCGAACTCGGGGCCTGATTTAATAGCTAAGAATAAACCGTTCTAATCACTTTACTAATATATTCTTTTGTGTTATTTGCTATTCAAATTTGCATATTAGCTCTCGGCAGGTTTACATAATTAGAAACTGTTGATAAAAATAGCCAAAGAAACCATAATTAATTGTGTTTAAAACAATGTATTCTCTACACGAGTGTTTGCTATTATATTATATTATAGCCTTCAAACTATTTCTTTTCAAATATTTCTCCTCATATACTATAGTGAATACGAACTTATCTGTTTTTGCTCACATTAATTTCAGACCTATTAACAATGCAGAAAAATTGGACGTCAAACCTCATATTTTCATTTCCCATTAACAAATTAACTATAATAATTTCATGAAAAACTTACCTCTGCTGCTCGTTTTAAAACTGATACAATGGAATCTTTACCCATCCTTTCTTTAATTACTTCACTGGCTGCATAAAGTGGGTCCAGCTAAATATCATAATTGAAAAAAAGGTAAATTATAAAATATTACGGAGAGACAAATGAAGCAGATGTTTGTATAATTAGTATATAAAATTTTTTAATGATTGTCTCGAATTTCGCAATGTTTCGTTATTTTGTATAGGTTTCTTTAATTTGTCATTCGATTTAGAAGAATCTAGATATAATTCAAATTTTAGTAGAAATGTTTCATATTGTAAAAATAAGCTATGATGAGGCTGGAGTTAAAGTAACGGTTCCAATAAAGCTCAGCTCTAAATCATCAATCGACGGAAAGTGGTCGCTAGATTTGCTTTACATGGTTGGGAATTCTCTTGTAATCATGATGGTTAATTGCCTTGTGCGTCTATATATTCAGACACGAATATCCAGGCGCTTGGAAGTTACATCGAATTTTGAGGAATTCAAAGGTTGTATATTTTGTGAAAAAGTACCACGGCGCTTCATATATAGATGCACATGCTGAGGATAACGGTTTCCAGGCATTATACACGCCGGATTAACTTATAAAAACCTGGGAAGGCCCCTTTAAAGAATTTAAAGAACGGTCAACTTTATTTATCTGTGAGTTTCGCATGCCATCAAGTGTTACAAGACGACATTTCCTGTACATAGTACTATTAAGGACAAGGTAAAGTGACACCGTCTTGTTGCAAACTAGTCTCGACACCATCAATGCTGAACATATTATATTTTTAACACAGAATAGTGGCCCTTGGATACAAAGGGCCAGAATATATACTCACTATACACTATTTCACCTTCAATACCCCTTTAAATCGTACACCCGCGTGTTATCATGTAAACGAATATTTCAATTTTATCACTTTCTTGCCCAATCGCGATTACACCTAGAGATAAAACGATAGAAGTTGGGGATAGCTATTATCTCTCTATTGATACCCTGGTCTATGTAGTACAGTAGTCGAGTCTTAGATTTTCTAATTGCTTTCCTGTTTCCATGAAGTGTGAGATTTCCACGTCCTTGAAAATGGCCCTTCATATCTTTAGACGAGTGATGCGAATAATCGTTAAACTGACAACGCTTAACGGATCATTATATCTATATGTAAAAGTTTCCTTTACTTCACCATACATACAATTATGCCGTATTCCGTTTACGTGTAGTAATAAAACACTTCACCGTTGTATAAATGTAAACACTGTTTCGTAGGTAGCTTTCGTCTCCGAATATTTAGTATGCCCTTGACCTTATGCTAATATCAATGAGCAAAGTGTTAGTTTTAAATACAATTTTTTTAATTTAAACAACTGCGGATTAAGATTAATTCATATCAAAATACAAATGAGGTATCATTTACGGGATTTGATAATATTAAAAAATAAGTCATGCGTGAACTTATTGATGCGAGCAACACTTTCGGTAAAGCGGTAACCGACACAGAAAGGTAAATAAATATACAGTAAATACTTTTTGACTTATACTATCACAATTATCGATACACCGGGTGGTAAAATCGTAATACTATATAATATAGACTTTGCGCTTCATTTGCAAGTACTGTCACATCTTTTATTATCAACATTATTCATATGGACTGTTCTTTAAATTGATGAAAGCAGAACTGTCAAAATCTAAGCTATCATGTCTTCTGTTGTCAAGTGATGGTAAATGTTAAGGCCCGGTCCCAGTGGCCGATGGATACAAAACGTATGCAAAAAGGACACAGCGGACGAGCAAACTTTCGGGGGTGGCTCCATCCGTTTTCATCCGCTCCAGAAATGGACAAAATTGACGAAAATTTGCGAAAGCAGAACGGAAAAGAACGAACGTGGGAAGTATGTAGCGGGGGTGTTAAATGGATGTTCATCGGAAGCCTAGCGGATGAAAGCGGATGGAAGTGGATGACAACTCCGACATCCTTCAATATACCAGATACATCCCAGATACAAACGCTTTGTCCGTTTTGATACCTTTATATACGAGATGCATACGCTTACACCCTTTCTATTTCCGTGCTACTAACGATGTATAGACGTTCCATGTACCTTATCTTTCCTCCCTCTTTCCGTTTTCATCTGGAGCGGATGTGAGTTTCAAGGATGCCCAGAGGATGCAGAGAGGATACAGTGGACGTTTAACGGATGATAACGGACATGGAACGTTTGGTGATCGTATATGTCGCGCATTTACATCGTACACGGCAGAAAGTTCATCCGTTATAAAAGTTTTGTGCAGCTCAAAACTTTTTGCGCGGATGAAATCAAAGTGAACGGATGCTCGATGGATAGAGCGTATGAAACACGTATGCAATGAGTACACAACGGATGCATGGCGTTTTCAAACGGAGGGCACGTTTTTCTCTCCCCGTTTTACATCCTCTTTGCATCCGTAAGTGCAGTGGGACCGGGCCTTTAGCAAAAAGGCTTGTTTCTAAATTTTGGATAGATTATTATTCATTTATATTAGAATAATAATCATTTTGAGGGTTTGATATAGAATATGTTACCTAGATATAATATTTGTGGGACAAATTCTTTTCTATCAAGTGCCATTTGCAACACATCGTATTTTCCAATCAATATTCAGCTGGACCTTTCCACATTTAATAGTGGAATATTAGAGTACAATCTAACAGTAAGTGCAGGGGGACTGCACCACACAAAATTTACACAAATACACGGACAGGACATCATACTCAGGAAAACACAAACATACAGACAATATAAAAAAAAAAGTGAATGGATCCGGGGGCTAGCCGTAAGATTAAACAATGTATTGGATGTGAATAGATATTGAAAAAAATTTATAACAAAATATTTTATGTAAAACTTTACTTAGTAAATATGTCCAATGTTTAATTGTTATTCTATCTTTATGCTCCAGGCACAAAGTTTCGAGGGATGAATTAAGAATGTATATTCATTATAAAAATTGCCGAAAACAAAAGCAGTTTCAAGGAAATATTGTGATTCAGTATTTATTATTTTCCATACTGACCCGAAAAATTTGATTCAAATAATGTTTATGATGGTACTCCATACAAAAAGCCCGAAAGAGGTCTTTTGAAAGAAATGGAGGATATTTCAAACAAAAGAGTTTGATTAAAGTTCATAAAGTTATTTGAAAAGAATCTACATGTGTGACAAATAATCTATATGGAGGTGAAAATTGGGGGCGCTCTTCCAAATGGCCGCTAAAATCTATTCTAAATTAATAATAATATGTCCAGTTATACAGCGCCAAATCCACAAATCGTGCTCATAGCGCATACAGCAAATATACAAAAGTCTTTTGGCTGTACGTGTTTGTGTCATTAAGCTTTAAATAAGCATTACAAAGTGTAATATGTATGTCCAGATAGTAAGTTAAAATTTTGGTAAGTTGTTTCTATATGATCACTGAATAGATGTTTGACATGTCATTCTTGAGAGAGCTTAAAGGATAAGGGCTTATACTGAATTGCCCTTACAATGTATCCTGGTATGAAAAATCACTCAGAATGTTATATTATTAATTTTCAAAGTCGCTCAGATCACTGAATTCTGAATTGTCCTTGCCCTTTACCTTGTCCTTAAATGTCGGTTATGTACAATGTACAGTTTATGTAAAAATCGTATTATGTACAATGCATTGAAATATTTTCTTCATATTTATGTTCTTTTTGCTTATAAACACAATTTGCCTAATTCTAATCCATAAAATGGTTTTGTTAAACACTAAATCTCAAAACTTTCACTAGATGAAAAAAAAATATTAGATATAACTTTTAGTGACAAAATGAAATACGAAAGGTTAGTAAACACAAAAGTATACGCCCGAAAGATACACAGTTCGCAAAACAAAGCAACACATCAAATTTAACTAAATCAACATTTTAAAACGAAACGAGGGATGTTTCACGTATTTAACATACCATGGTTCGATCACCAAGCTCTGCCCCGCCATATCTGAAACATGGAATTAGTTCGACTTTAGCCATCATACAATGGCTTGCTGTTTTCAATGACATGACATCAATCTATTACTACTATAAGTGTGTGGTTTATTGAGAACCCCCGTACAGGTTATCGTTTATTTGGAAAGAAATTTTTAATGCAGTTTCCGAGACCCACTGGTAATATGAATATCTTTAAAGACGACTATTCGATAGCAATGAATTCATACATAACCAGAAAGAACAGTCTCGCAGTTGTGTTAACATTTAGGGAGACTACATTTTGTTTTAGGTGATTAAATGTATACTTAGACGATCGCGATGGTTGAACTAAATCAGGTTTTGGCGAAATGTGTATGATTAAATTGTCAAAGGGGCGCATCTATGCGTGCGATGCTACAGTAACTGTACAGAATCGCTTTTGGGTTCAAGGTCGAATTATTATATCCTCCAAATCTGTCACTTGGCATTAAAAATCTGCTAATATAATTAGCGTATAAAGTAAAGTAAACAAAAGGTCGCGGTAGTACAAATACGTGTTCAGAAATATAATTTTAAAATGTTATGAGTGAATGCAGTTGGCTTTTAATTATAGCTGTTGGCCATATTTGTTTAACATTCGGGTCAATGAAAATTGTCACCCGCCATGGTTTTGTCAACATGTTTACTGGTCTTAAATAAAACGCAAAAACTACGTTTATTCAACTCATACGGTTAGAGTACATTCTCGATTGTCTAACTTCACAAACAAAATGCGACAGTCTAAATTTTGCTCTGTAATAACAACGTGTCAGAAAATGAGGTTGATCAATCCTAATTTTTCGTTACCTTTTAATAGTATTGATGGCCGTATGTAAGGCTTGGTGCCATGAAGTTGGTGATATGATGTCTTTAACACAATTGGCTCCAGATGTTAACATCAGGCTATATAACTGTAAATAGTAATATAGCTTGTAAAAAAAAAAATAACTTCACATTCTAGGAAACCAATCATCACCCCCCCACCCACCATCACCACACACACACACACACACCCACACCCACACCCACACCCACACACACCCACACACGGTGCTCTGTTTTATCCACCCGTGTAACCTATATTGTAAACGATCGCCAATGTACAGGTCGTTCACATAATTATCTCAGATGTAAGAATAATATACTATTTTAGTATGCAATAACCACGTCCGGCTATAAACAATACCTCCATGAAGAATGACCCGACATCGAAAACGATAAAATAAGTATTATTGTTCTATGCGATCTAAGACACAAACAGATTCCTGTGTTTAATTGAAACCAAACCCTTTTTCTTTTTTTAAATAAATATACTCTTGATTGCACATCGGTTTAAAATCTATATATAAGCTTTAAAGTTTATCTGGTACGTAAAACTCACTGCGCCTGAAGAACCACCCATATAATTTTCTGCTATATTAGCTACAGATAAAGATAATAAATAAGGGCAATGTACAGGAAGTCCGGGATTATCTTTGGAACCAAGCATGGTTAACAAGACTGAAAGACATAATATAAAAAAAATGGCATTTATAGGCTAAGTTTATTCTAGTTTCCTGAGTAATTTCATGTTAATGATTCAACAATTTTTTGCTTCTATTGTCGCGAATGAATCGAAACGTTATAGTGTTAAACTCGGCGTAAATTTGTGCTGACCAATTACATCCGAATCTCGGTGATTTTTTGTATAGCAATTATGAATCTCTGGTTAATTAGGTAGTTGGTACCCTATTAAATGTACTACGGTCTATAGGCGTAAAAGAGAATCATCGGTCGAAATCGTTCATCATTAACTAAAATCACACTGTTTTTGTTTATGAGAAGTAAGCTTATATAACAAACAAATTTGTCAATCATTAGAATTCTTCATACTTTGATATTTTCGGTGTTATTAATCTGAGTGCAATAAAAAATAGCTTTTTGATTACCTTGAGCTCCTTTAGATAATGTACTACCACAATCACCATCACCGCCTTCTGTATCAAGAAGGTTTAACCTAGCTTCTGATGATATCAAACTCTTGCATATATTATTTATAATATCATACATCAGATAACTGTCATCTGTAGCACAAAAGGCAAAGATATAAACTGAGGATTAAAATAAAATATATCAAACTACTGTTTTCTAAGGACAATAAGATGAAGAAAGTCTTAAAAGCGGTAAAGGTAACACCTGCTTCATAATATCTCCGGTGATATGGAAGTATAACGTTGCCAATATTATTTCATTGTTCACGGTGCAAACTGCAAATGTCAGTAGTTCAAAATACGTATTTTAGTTTTACAATTTGCAATTTCCATTGCTCAACAATACCAATGCCACGGTGTTAAAATACAGAATACACTTTTCAATAATACAAAATACAGTAGAATAGTTATTTTGCACATTACACTTCTGCATTCTGCATTTTGCATAGTAGACGAATGCATAATAGAACCTTGCATAGTAGAACATATACCTTATATGGGATCTACGACGAACGTCATTTGCATACGGAAAAAAGTCCGGACTATGACTGAAATTAATGATTTACGCGGTAAAGCCATCAGGTCACCTGGATACGAAATGAAGTTAGCACACATATTCCTAGCGCCAATAAAAACCTAGATATAATTATCACGAAAATAATTGTTACCTTTATATTAGAAAACGACATATTAATGCAAAGTATATATGTAATAGACCCCCCCCCCCCCTCCTCCCTCCCTCATGAAAAAAAATATTATTACCGTAAACATACTAAAATATCGCACACTAGGCTAACTGAGCACACAGAAAAGGCGTGCGCCCACGCTGCATCAAAAAGGCACCGAAACCAAGTTTGGTGGCAAAATTTTTGTTTGTTTCACAAAATCAAGGAATGAATAAACTACTAGACAGCACAATTTCAGAAGCCTCCTCCGTTGGCTTTTCGAGATATATTACCGTAAACGTACTAAATATGTGAGGGAATCGGGATAGGGTAGGCTCGCTGCGCACACAATAACTTCTTAATTAACTTTGGTGGATCCAAGATCTTTATTTCACCAAATCGACAGATGCATAAGGTGTGAACATGCCAAATTTCATTAACTTTCTATGTTGGGGTATCGAAAAGTTCTCAGCACCGGATTCGAGGCGGGGTTCGTGGGTACAATAAACAAGGGGTACGCCCACGTTTCATCAAAAAGCACCCGAACCAGCTTTGGTGGCAACATGTTTTGTCTTTCACAGAGTCAAGGGATGGATAAACTACGAGAATACAAAAATCCAGAAGCCTTCTATGCTGGCTTTTGACGATATATTACCGTAAACTTACTAAATATGTGCGGAATCGAGTTAGGGTAGGTTCACTGCACACCCAATAGCTTCTAAACTAGCTTTGGTGGCTCATCATCATCATCATCATCATCGGAGAGGCCTTTAGATAGGTCAGCGACCTTTTGGCCGATCAGATTTTCTAAACAGGAATTCACGGCATTTATTAGATCTTTATTTCAGCAAATTTCTTTGGGGGGAGGGGGGGGGGTCTATTACACATTATTATATACTTTGCATTAATATGTCTTAAAATGCTATTTTCTAATATAAAGGTAACAATTATTTTCCTGATAATGATATCGAGGTTTTTATTGGCGCTAGGAATATGTGTGCTAACTTCATTTCGAATCCGGGTGCTGGAATACGGGTGAGAGATTCCGCTCGGTTACTATAAGATTCTTTAACCTTACCCAAAAAAAGGGTTTTAGAGAGCTGTCAATTAAATAAGATATTCAATTTAATTTTTAACAAGAAATTGATTCACTTGAAATATCTGGGGGTTTTTTACCGATGAGAACAAATAAGAATAGTCTCGTTAAACCAGACTATTATCTTTCAGAATCCTCTAATCGTCGAACAGATTACATTATAGAGTCTGGACGTTGAAGACTAACAAAATCGAGAACTGCCCCCCCCCCCCTTCTAATGACCTCGGTCTTATGGCTTTATCGCGTAAATCATTAATTTCCGTCATAGTCCGGATTTTTTCCGTATGTAAATGACGTACGTCGTACATCCCATATAAGGTATATGTTCTACTTTGCAAGGTTCTATTATGCATTTGTCTATTATGCAAAATGCAGAATGCAGAAGTGTAATGTGCAAATAACTATTATACTGTATTTTGTATTATTGAAAAGTGTATTCTGTATTTTAACACCGTGACATTGGTATTGTTGAGCAATGGAAATTGTAAATTGTAAAACTAAAATACGTATTTTGAACTACTGACATTTGCAGTTTGCACCGTGAACAATGAAATAATATTGGCAACGTTATACTTCCATACCGGTGTGTCCTATAAGTGTAAAATTAAGGGACTTCTGGGTGACATCTTGATATCGGTGGGTATAATAGTAATATCTAGTAGTAATCTACTGCTTATCGATCTAGCCGTTGCTCGAATAAGCTTAAATACGTGACTATCAAGCAGTATGGTCTAGCGTAAGTGGTCTCTTGCCCACTTGGTGCCTTGGATTCCCGGAAGAAGGGCAAAATAATCTTGGCGAATTGCATAAAACTGTACGAAATAACAAATGTTTTAAAGGAATAAACCTGAAAAGCAAACCTGGTGTTTTGAATACTATGGCGTCAATATCTCTGGTTTCAACCTCGACATTCTCCAGCTCAACATTTATTGGTCGCCGATCATCTTTCTTCACTGACGACAAGAGATGATGCGGCCAGATAGGAGCGTCAGTTCTTGCATCTTAAATATACACATTGTTGACAAGCAACGAATATAATCCAACAACAGCAATCTGTGACGCTGAATTTCGATACGGCTAATCTTTACAGCTAGCATAAAAAGTTAATCCATGGGAGTTTATTGTTGTCCGGGCAATTAATAAAGGTTGTCTCTATTTGAATTAAGATATTTTTCTAGCTAATAGTCATTTGAACAAATTTAAACAATCGCAGTAAATTTTGAAAGAGAAGTGCTAGAAATTATCATCTTCAAAACCAGGAGAGAGAAAAAACGTGAATGTCTGTCGAAGTATTGTCTAGTCAAAGTAGCAATTTTGAAAAGAAAATCAGATATCTACACCTCATTACTCGGTTGAGAACTGTCCTCATTGTACCTCGAGTGTGTACGAGTATGGCAATTGACCTTTGATCAAAGGGATGGGGGGTGGGGGGTGCTCCTGAAGTGTGAAATATTCAAAATCGACAGGCACCATCTCTATCGCTGAAATTCAATCAATAGCTTAACTTTACAGAGTTAGTAGAACAATGTGTTGACGGACGGGCGAGCAACATTTCGTCAGGTCATAATAAATGACCATTTTAAGCTTTATATGAACATGACATCAAGAAACGCCCCATATGCGAGACGATCCTCTCACTTGTCTGCGATATCACCCTAGGTGGAAGCGGGCGTTAAACCTTAACAAACGATCGAACGAAGAAACATCATTCAACAGACAACCACCATCAAGACCGGTCGAAAAATTCTATTGTGCCTTTCTTATATTCAATACCAAGTTTTTTTACTCTGCTTTATTGTGATTTTGTTATATACAATTGGAGTGAAGCCTGTGTCAGTAAAGGCCCGGGACTGTACAGGACAGTGGACGATTACGCCTGACCCATTCATTTGATTTGATTATTTTGTTATTTTGTCTTTCTTTGTCCGCAGGTTTGTCTAATGGATTTGGTTTACGTGCAGTGAAGAGGTTCCAAATCTGATGGTTATCCTCCTACTCTATTTGGAATTCCTAAGTTTCTTCTTTTTTAAATGAACTGTCAAATGTGTAAGCTGTTTTTACTTTCAGTTTGAAAAGCTAGACACCTAACCCCGTTGTTTCCACTGACATTATCCTCGCCGTCATTGATCGGCTTTGAAAAATGCTAACGGTTCTGTTGGATTAATGCCGGGATTTTTTGTACCTTAGAACATTACCTATTAACATGACTTTCATTAAAAACGACGTTTTTTTTTCTATCAAGACAGATACAATATTGATTTTTTTTAAGGTATGCGTCTGGAGTATTCTTGTCATATGGTATTTTTGATTACTTCCCCTTTTAAATAAATACTGTCTTGCTTGCATCTGAATTTGCTTAAAAATATTCGAATTGTGATTTTCCTGAAATTAAAACCCATTGTACACTTGAAGTCCGAGTTCTTTGTGTGTTTTAGACTATCATTATAAATTCTGAATGAGTGTGTGAAATAGCTTTATTTAACTCCCGCTTCCACCGAAGTGGTATCGCCGACAAATTCAGAATGGATGAACTTTTTTTCTTTAAAATATTCTTACCTAACAATCCAATAAGAGTATCGTCAACATGAAGAAGCGTTACGATAAATCCACACATTTCTTGTGAAGTTACAAAACTACCAGAATACGCTCTCTCTACAACAACCCCCATTGTATCTTGAAAAAAAAACAACATTTTTTTTCTTTTTTTTTTTTTTGCATTATACAAAGAAGATAAAAATCAGTTAAACAAGATTTGTTGTAAATAATATGACACTTTAACATACCTTTAAGATAAGTTAAAATTTCTCCAGAAATTATGTTCATCTCCATGTTTGTAGTACCACCAAGGTTGTTTATAAAACACGCTATTCTATCACCTGTTTAAAAAAAACGTTGAAAGGGTGCTAGTAGTTACGGAATAATAGAGTATGGATGGTGTTTAATGTCGCTTGAACACAAAACGTTGGACATCTTGACACTAACATATGTGTGCAATGCTAGGGAAAAGGATTTTGATCCTGATCGTCGTTTTTCTGTCTACTCCAGTTTTTAATTTTGTGTGCACTCCAATGGGACCCATGTGGATAACAGTGGTAAATTTCTATGCAGATTGCGGATAGGAACAGCGTCGTTTAAGCCTGCTCTCCTTTGAATTCAAACGATCATACACCGAAGGTGTTCTCGGGTCATGCCTTCATTCGAATTCGTGACAAAATCTGATAGGACTTTTCATTGTCGATTGTTAACCAAATTGACAACAGACTTACGGTTTGATAATTTAATATGATATCTGTTTTCTGGGTTCGTCATATGCTCTATCACTATTTTGACGGATTCTTTAGCGGTTTTCAACTGCAATAGTTTTTTGAAAAAATATCAAATATTAAATTGTACGTCAATTATCATAGTCATTAAACAATGGTGGTGATTTTTAATTGGTCAATCACGTTGGGTTGCCAAGTAATCAAAACCAGGAGACAAGGAAACATCCAGCGGCTGCTAGGTAGATACGCCCACATTTTGCAAGAGATGGATAGAGAACAATCTAAACAAAAAGAGATTTTTCGCACAATCAAGGGCCATAATTCAGGAAGTTACGATCCGATATGCGCGAATATCGACAGGAACCAAGATCTTTGGGTTATAAAGATATATATTTCAAGTTTCATCAAAATCGGGTCAAAATTGTGACTTCTAGAGGGTCCACAGCCTTGATATACCATATAATTACACTAATTGCGTACAAGGGGCTGCCATTTGTCGGCAGTTTTGGTCCCATTTTCACGAAATTCAAACTCAGCCATTATTCGGGTGTAACGGTATTATATTCCAACGTTCTTTTTCAATCGGATAAAAAATGTGATCTCTAGAGAAACCACAAGCTAAAAAACGCGATTTTTCGTACAATCAAGGGCCATAATTCAGGAAGTTACGAATATCAAAAGGAACTAAGATCTTTGTGATATACATGTAGTTATTTTGTATGGCAGTTTTGGTCCGATTTTCATGAAATTTGAACTCAACCATCATTAGTTTGTAACGGTGATATATTCAAACGTTTTGGTTTTTTTAAATCGGATAATTCAGGAAGTTACGATCCGATATACGCGAATATCGACAGGAACCACGACCTTTTGGTTATAAACATGCATTTCAAGTTTCGTCAAAATCAGAGGAAAATTGTGACCTGTAGAGTGTCGACAAGCTAAAAACGTGATTTTTCGTACAATCAGGGGCCATAATCCATAAAGTTATGGACCGATTTATGCCAATATCGAAAGGAACCCTGGTCTTTGGGAGATAGACCTATATTTTAAGTTTCATCAAATTCGAATAAAAATTGTAACCTGTAGAGTGTCCACAAACAAATTGTGTAAGGACGGACAGGGGCGACGACAATATACGTCCACGTGAAAATTTGGGCGTATAAAAATGAAATTGGTCTTAACGGCCTGCATTTGTCTACCAACCAGGCCAATGAATTGTGCATAATAATATACGTCATGCAGTGTGCAACTTCTAAAATTTGTGATTAGGCCAATTTTGATTTAAGGTTAATATCTCCATTATGCTCACCTTAAGCGTTTTAATACCTGCTTCTCCGTGCACACCTGTGAAAAGATATTATTGTTTTCTGAATGATACAGATTTATGATACACATTTATATTTATAATGATATAATATAGATAAATTAGTGTGCATACCTAGCCCAAGCTCCATTTCATCGTCTGCTACGGTAAATGTAGCACCAGATCCTGGGATTGTACAGGCTGTTAAACTTAACCCCATCGAACCTAAAACAAAATGATGTATCTACAATTTGGGTATGGTTGGTTGAAAGGCCAAAATAACTCAAATGTCAAAATAGTACATGACCGTTGAGAATATTTTGCTCGATCATATTAATTAATGCATAAACATGTATAATAAAAGAAACATGAGCATTAAAGAGCACTAAATATTACCCATGTTACAGATGATGTTATTTAATAGAGGAATCATTTCTTCTAAACTTCGTCCTTCTTCTGACAGTGCTCCAGCCAACTTCAACAGAAAGAAATCAGTGCCATAATATGATTGTAGATGTTTATTTATGTAAAACTCATCGCAAGTAGTAGGGTAGTGTTAGTAAACATAAATACTTGTACCCATTATGAACCCGTTGACGTTCACAACATGTATGGATCACGAAATATTCTGAATTTTGACGCCATTTTTCCTTTCCCCTGAATGACCGACATTATCACTTGGCAATTTGTCCTGTAGCACATTTTGAATGTCAATAGGGTTTTTCCTTATGACAAAATACACAACCACTGCAAATTGGAAAATGTAGGGCGTTTACAATAAAAGTTAAAAGGACCAACGGACGGCGGTCATAGGTGATGACAATATGGTCAATAGAAATTGAAAGGAAAGAATGACGCAATAGTGTCAGTAGATTTAAAGAAGAAGATTGAAATAAGAACCTTGAAAGTTACACTGACTCCTACTAAACCACGTCTTCCGGCTGATTTATCTTGTGATACGAGTGCACAGTCTTCCCCTACAGTAACAGATCCGACTCTTATACCTTCCTGTCTAGCTTTCTCCATAGCTACACCAAAATTCAACTTATCGCCAGTATAATTAGATATAATCAACAAGCAGCCAGCTGAAAATTAAAGCCAATTGATATATTAATAAAACATTTTGGTCGTATATATTAGGCAACAGAAGGCGGTAGCCATTCGACTGTGACATACCCTAATCTTATCTTTGTCTTTTCGCGCAATGTAGGCGGACTAGAACCGTATACAAACGATTTATAGAAAAGAACATAAATTATTCTAGTAATTCAAGGTTTTAATGCAGTAAGGCGGCCAGTTAAATATTACTAACCTGGATTGTGTTTAGCTACTAATCTAATAGCTAATAATATTTCTTGTGATGGTGGTGATGCAAATATAGATCCCATAATACAGGCGGTTAACATTCCTTTACCTACAGAACCTTCAACAAATATTATTATATATAAAACTGTTCGACTAGGTGTACAACAATCCCGTGATTTCCAGAAAGCTGTGGTCATCTATGAAAACAGAGAGAGAGAGAGAGAGAGAGAGAGAGAGAGAGAGAGAGTTTAACGTCCAATCGACACAAACTAGGGGACTAACATACGGTTCAATTTTATTTCATTAATTCTCTTGCGCGTAGCTGTCTTTAGCAGTGTGAGGAAACCGCAGGACCCGGAGAATAGCCACGAGGTTGGACAGGCGACTCTAATCCTAATCCTTGTCACATATGACCGGGAACTCGAAACCACGCCAATTGACTCAAAGACAGACCTTATCCTTATGATGCAACGCGCACGCGCTAACCATTGGGCCATCCCACCCCACCCCCAACTACTTAAAGAAGGTAAGTCAACAACTAGAGAGCATTTAACATCCAATGCAGAACAACACAGCGTAAGATCGCCCAGAGTCGACACTATAGAATCAGAATGTCAAAGTGGGCCAGCTATTACCAGACAACATTCTCTTCACGGATGAGCATTGTGGCAAAATGTCCTTGTCATCTCCATGATGCTGAGCCGTGTTACAAAGAGTCATATATGTGGGGTCTCTGGATATAAATTTCACAATTTATGCAAGGAACATACCTGTAGTTTGTGGTTCATGTCCCGATCCACCTCCTGACACAATACTGACCTTGCCTTCTTTAATAACATCTTGATAATCTTCTCTGACCATGATACGATGACCAATAACACGTCGTATCCCAGTGTTTATACTTACAAAACCATCTAAATTCTCATCAACACAGTCTTGTACCGAATTGATCAATCGTTTACTATGCGACGCCGACATTTTGAGGATAGAGACTTGGTAATATAATATGTATCCTATTCTACTTCAGTATGGTTAATTAGGGTTTCACACTGCGTACTATTGTTTTTGTTAAAATTATTATTAGGGTTTCACACTGCGTAGCTTGTGTGAAACACTATTGTTTTTGTTAAAATTATTAGGGTTTCACACTGACTTAGAGGATAAAGCTATTTTGAACGTTCTGCGACAATGCGAAATGTCCGAAATCACCGAAGCTATCGTTTTTAGAAATATTGCAGTAATTTTAACAATAATCATTGGATTTTAACTTTCGATGCATTTTGGCATAGCCGGAGACGGGGCACATAGCTACGCTACTTTTGATTTTTGATTTTCGGCAAATCTTCGCAGATATTAGGCGCTAAATTTAGAAAATTTAAATTTTTACAAAAAACTTTTTTATTTATGAATATTTTTTAATCGTGTTTTACACCTTCCTGACTTGGGCAAAAATGTGAAAATTTTTTGTCTCGGTAATTTTCCTTGGCCCCCATTGGCTAATTCAGTTTTTCAGTCCTAGATTAATTATTTATTGTTCGATTTGTATAAAACAAAGTTCATATGCCCCGTTGTCTCAATTGTCATTTTTTTTGTTACGAATAGTGTTATCTGTCGGCACCGGAAGTGGCGTAAATTGACAAAAAACTACAATTTTGACAGTTAGGTACCATTTTTCGAAAGCAAATATTATTTTTTTCAAATCTGGTATAACTGAAATTGTGTTATCTGTGTTATCTGTCGGCACCGGAAGTGGCGTAAATTGACAAAAAACTACAATTTTGACAGTTAGGTACGATTTTTCGAAAGCAAATATTATTTTTTTCAAATCTGGTATAACTGAAATTGTGCGCCCTTTAAAGGCGCACAAAATGTTGGGACCATTTTTTTTAATTTCGATTCCGTTTTCGGGCTATTTCGATTAAAAGGTGAAAAAAGGTGTAAAATTAAGCTATTTACAACCCATCCAGCGTTTTCATATTTTAAAATATTACTTCGTAACTTTCATAAACTCGTAGCAATAATCTATACGGAGAGAATGTATGTGAAAATTAATTTGTAATATGCGCAGTTGCCGAGAAATGGGCAATTTTGCATGAGTCACTTTTTACGCTAGTTTGCCTGTAAAAGAGTCAATTATTATTCGATTTTCATAAAAGTGACACCATTTGATGTGTAATGTCAATTTTAACTAGGTCAAACCAATTTAACATTTTCAATATCACCGGAAATGACGTAATTTGGGCAAAAATTGTATTTATAGCCTTCGAAACCAGTAATTTATTCAAATGAGTCATATTTGTTATTTGTTTAAAATTTTGATATTTGATTCAAATCAACTAATACAATGAACCCTTACGATCATATAGATATCACAAAATGGTTTCTAACTTGTTCAGTTGCGGAGAAATAGGCAATTTTCAACAGGTCACTTTTTAAGGTTTTTTTGTCAATAAAAGTGTCAATTATTATTCGATTTTCATGAAATTTTCACTGTGTGATACATAATGCCATTTACGATTTCATACAAGTAATTTAAGATTTTCATTATCACCGGAAGTAACGTCATTTTGGCAAAAACTGTATTTTTAGCCTTCAAAACAGATATTTTATTCAAATGAATCAGATTTGTAATGTTTTTAAAATTATGATATTTGATTCCAATCAACAAATAGAATGAACTCATTCGATCATACAGATACCTCAAAATGGTTTCTAACTTGTACGGTTGCAGAGAAATAGGCGATTTTCTACAAGTCATTTTTCAAGGTTTTTGGTCTATAAAGGTGGCAATTATTATAGGATTTACATAAAATTTTCAACATGTGATGATGCTATTTCTGATTTCATAAACCAATTTAACATTTTCATTATCACCGGAAGTAATGTAATTTTGACAGGATCACTGACATGTAGCAAATGAATTGATTGCTGGATTTGGTTGTTTCTGCGTCCATTTTATTTCATGTGTGCAATGCTTATGTGGAAACCTGTTTAACGGTTTCATTGGTACCGGAAGTGACATAAGTTCAAGGGTAACGTGGCACCGGTGAAACCCGTCATTACTGCTTCGCAGTTCTAGTTATTCTTATTATTATTATTCTTCTTTTGTTTTGAGTAGATCTCAGCAACTGATTGTCGGATCGTTACGATTTCTTCGGTTTTATCGGAAAAGTGGGTGTGACTTAGAGGATAAAGCTATTTTGAACGTTCTGCGACAATGCGAAATGTCCGAAATCACCGAAGCTATCGTTTTTAGAAATATTGCAGTAATTTTAACAATAATCATTGGATTTTAACTTTCGATGCATTTTGGCATAGCCGGAGACGGGGCACATAGCTACGCTACTTTTGATTTTTGATTTTCGGCAAATCTTCGCAGATATTAGGCGCTAAATTTAGAAAATTTAAATTTTTACAAAAAACTTTTTTATTTATGAATATTTTTTAATCGTGTTTTACACAAATATAACGAGTCCTCTGACTTGGGCAAAAATGTGAAAATTTTTTGTCTCGGTAATTTTCCTTGGTCCCCATTGGCTAATTCAGTTTTTCAGTCCTAGATTAATTATTTATTGTTCGATTTGTATAAAACAAAGTTCATATGCTCCGTTGTCTCAATTGTCATTTTTTTTTGTTACCAATAGTAATAGTGTTATCTGTCGGCACCGGAAGTGGCGTAAATTGACAAAAAACTACAATTTTGACAGTTAGGTACGATTTTTCGAAAGCAAATATTATTTTTTTCAAATCTGGTATAACTGAAATTGTGCGCCCTTTAAAGGCGCACAAAATGTTGGGACCATTTTTTTTAATTTCGATTCCGTTTTCGGGCTATTTCGATTAAAAGGTGAAAAAAGGTGAAAAAAGGTGTGAAATTAAGCTATTTACAACCCATCCAGCGTTTTCATATTTTAAAATATTACTTCGTAACTTTCATAAACTCGTAGCAATAATCTATACGGAGAGAATGTATGTGAAAATTAATTTGTAATATGCGCAGTTGCCGAGAAATGGGCAATTTTGCATGAGTCACTTTTTACGCTAGTTTGCCTGTAAAAGAGTCAATTATTATTCGATTTTCATAAAAGTGACACCATTTGATGTGTAATGTCAATTTTAACTAGGTCAAACCAATTTAACATTTTCAATATCACCGGAAATGACGTAATTTGGGCAAAAATTGTATTTATAGCCTTCGAAACCAGTAATTTATTCAAATGAGTCATATTTGTTATTTGTTTAAAATTTTGATATTTGATTCAAATCAACTAATACAATGAACCCTTACGATCATATAGATATCACAAAATGGTTTCTTACTTGTTCAGTTGCGGAGAAATAGGCAATTTTCAACAGGTCACTTTTTAAGGTTTTTTTGTCAATAAAAGTGTCAATTATTATTCGATTTTCATGAAATTTTCACTGTGTGATACATAATGCCATTTACGATTTCATACAAGTAATTTAAGATTTTCATTATCACCGGAAGTAACGTCATTTTGGCAAAAACTGTATTTTTAGCCTTCAAAACAGATATTTTATTCAAATGAATCAGATTTGTAATGTTTTTAAAATTATGATATTTGATTCCAATCAACAAATAGAATGAACTCATTCGATCATACAGATACCTCAAAATGGTTTCTAACTTGTACGGTTGCAGAGAAATAGGCGATTTTCTACAAGTCATTTTTCAAGGTTTTTGGTCTATAAAGGTGGCAATTATTATAGGATTTACATAAAATTTTCACCATGTGATGATGCTATTTCTGATTTCATAAACCAATTTAACATTTTCATTATCACCGGAAGTAATGTAATTTTGACAGGATCACTGACATGTAGCAAATGAATTGGTTGCTGGATTTGGTTGCTGGATTTGGTTGTTTCTGTGTCCATTTTATTTCATGTGTGCAATGCTTATGTGGAAACCTGTTTAACGGTTTCATTGGTACCGGACGTGACATAAGTTCAAGGGTAACGTGGCACCGGTGAAACCCGTCATTACTGCTTCGCAGTTCTAGTTTACCCTTGTTATCTTTTTGTTCTATTTATTTGCCAACACAAACATTTTGTTTATTTCAGATGTTCATTACGCCAATCTGATAAGAGCTGTTGGAATTATCCTACATAAAAATAATGAATATACATGTACAAATACACATGACATCTATTATCGAGCACATGTAGATAAATATTTATGGCCTTGACCTTGGCCTAGAATTAAACCATTGATGGGTTTTTTTAAAAAACGAAAAGTTGAGCGGATATTTATACTTTGATGTGTTTCAGTTGATTTTTTTTTAACCAAGAAATTAAGTATTCTAACATATTTGAAATAACTTATTCTTAAACTCTCATAAAGAAATGTATACAACACGATGATACATGTACCTGAAATCTCGTGGAATATTATCTAACTCACATAAATGACACTGAATGGTAAACAGAAATGAACGGATAGGGGTTAAAGGCCCCACTTTACGCACCAACCGGGAAAACACCATGTACACATGTACACATGTATTATGCGGCATTTAAGAGGCATTTGACAATTGGCTTATAATATAATACTAGAACACTTGGTATGGATACAATCACCTTTTTTTTTATTAAACTGCAATGTTTCAACATGATTTCACAAGCCGTTTTCAAACACCTAATGTACAAATGAAACATACCAGATCTATTAGTGAAATTGTGTCCATACAGCGGCGTTTGCGCCTACTCTTATGTTAAATTAATGAGGAAATTAATGTTCTGAGATGAAGTTATTTCTCCAGGTTAGATATAAAAATGGTCGAATTTTTGTTATCGTCTCGCTATCATTGAACCAGTTCATTTTTCAGATTAATGTAGCGGGGTAGTGAGTCCTGGTGGCGACAATTAAGAATAAAAGACGGAAAAGGTTAAACACAAGCTGTCTCCCTTTAAACAAAAACTTAACAATTACCTGATAAACTTTAACTATTCGGGTGACTCATAAATGAAAGAGGGGAAGTGTTATATCCTAAACAAATACTTAAATACTTCGGTCATTTTGAGACGAAAATGGGTGTTGTTTGAGGGTGGGGGATGGGGGGGGGGGGCTAATGACGGCCCACGCAGCTTGCCAATGCTATAGACGCTTCCTCTTAGTACTCGCCTTAGGGTTTATTTTCGATGTACACCCCGAATTATATTTCTATTTTTCGCCGTGAAACCGGTTTTTGTGTAAAAAGAAAAAAAAAGAAAAAAACAAAAACAATTTAGATCGGTACCGTTAACTTAAATTTTCCGATATTGGCTAGTAGGAGGCTGCTATAAATATGATAATATGTAATTAGTCTTCTTAAAAAATATCTCTGCAGTTTGCTTAAAAGGTGAATTTTTCAGAGGGTTTGTCATTCAAACATTTTGATTACATTAAACATGCATCGAATAGGCTTATCTGTGAATTCTCCCTTAAAACAGGAAGTTAACTTTTCATTAAAATCAGAATATCTTGTGTGTGGTGTTCTGTGCTTTTGCTGGACTATAATATCTATTCCATTCAATAATCAATATATTTGTTGGCACATAATGTGCTTTATACCACTTTTCCATATCCATGTATTTAAAATTGGATTCTTACATTTAACACACGTATTTGCTATACGTTTGTATTCAAACCCACTGAATCAGAAACGCAAGGAAATTCGGCAGCACAATGTAAATAAGTGTCATAAACATCTTAGTAGATGTAGAATTTTGACAGTCTTATTATTTCAAGTATTATCAAAATCTTAGTAAATATTGAATTAGTAATTGATTAAAGTTTAAAATCATTTTGTGAAATAACGCATTCGATAAAGTACGTGTTCTTGTTAAACTCCATATCAATGCATAATACTTGGTTGTTGTAAACTTTATTCTTGAATTGCTATTTACATAGGCTTACACAAGCAAGCACACTTATCTATGAAGTGTCCAACTATATACATGTATAGAAACACATTAATTTATTACATAGGTTCACTCTCTTATATGCACAATCTTTCGACTATTCAGGGCTCGCTATCGTATCAAAATAAATCGAACGATATAGTATTGAAAAGTCCATTGTTATATTAACGTTGTACATTAGTACCATTGATAAGCGATATTGTGTGTCACCAAGGAGCCCCTATAACTCCTATACTATTAGTAACAGTGACAGATGATATAGATACGCTATATAAATTATATTTGTTATTATGAGTGGGTTGTTATAGGGACCCTCTTTGAGGTTAGAATTTCACTAATTTCGGACGAATTACTGACTATGAAAAGGTTTTATTTTATTGTTAAGATATGTTAATTAATGGTGAGTTCATTTGCTTTAAAATATAAAGTCTTTAAAGATTTAATATTGGGGAAAATAAAGCAAGAAGAAAACCTTTGCTTCATGGTGCGCAGGGGACATTTAAATGTATTTACCATGTTCGTGATCGTTGTTTACGTAAATTCGCAATGTTATCTATTTAAATTACATTTTGTATTTTCTAGATTGTCCTCAAAGCATTTCATTATGTTTTTTAAATGTATTTACCATGTTCCTGATTTTTGTTTACGTAAATTCGCAATATTATCTATTTAAATTATATTTTGTATTTTCTAGATTGTCCTTAAAGCATTTCATTATGTTTTTCAGCGTGAAAGTGATATAACGATTATTGCTATATTGTCACATCTGTCTAATGCTCTTAGAAAATGCCAAGAAATAGGCGTTCGCAAAAGTATATCAGCATGCCACCATATTCCCGGGAAGCGGAGTACAAATACATCCTAGGAGTTGTTCATAATGTTTTAAATGAAGTGAAAGAATTTCATAAGTATTATGTACAGGGTGTTAAAATAGATTATTCAGCGTGTACAGGCTGTTTGGATAAACTCTTGGACGATTGGGAACGTGATAAATCCTATTTAATAACCTGGAGAGACTATATGGACATGCTAAAACACAATGCTGTGGATAGAAAACTCAAAGAAAGTGACGAATTTGCGGACATTCGTTTCATATGTGAGCGCACCAGTCATTTTGAAGGTACATTTGATGAACTTGTTAATAAGTTAATAAGTTGTGTTCACGATCATCTGTATCGCTATTGTATTAGTTTTCAAACAGCAACTAAAGGGGTTGAGATAGCAACAGTAAAAGGGTACGAAGAAGACATTACACGATATCGAACAGATCTGGACACCCAATTTAATGAAGTAGCTGATAACTTGAATCAGTATGGTGAAACATTGACGCCTTTCTATGATTTGGTGTCTATCGGGAACGAACATGGTTCCATCATGGAAAATATCTGCCACGTTCTGATTGATATTTGTGGAACAGTTAAATCCTGGATCAAAAAGGACAGGGGGTATTCCGATCGTATCTGGCAGGAGATGCAAACCTATATGTCCAATCGAGATCAACTTCGAGAAGAGGAAAGCAAAACCATCAAGCAGCGTGATGATGTCCTTAAAAAACTAGACCAATTAGAAAAGCAGAAGAAGGAGGTGATAAAAAATTATGAGAAGCACAAGAAAGAGAAGGTGAAGCTGAGGAATAGGATAGAGGTGGTGGAGTACAAGATTAGTCGACTTGAGGTTACTGTAGATCGTAAAGAAGAGGCTTTCGAAAAAACCAAGGAATACAGATCATTGGACAACCCACTGACTCCTAGAAAGCAAATAACTTATAACAATACACTTGAAAAACTGTTGCGTGAAATAGAGGAATTGGATTTACAGGTCGACCCCACACAGAAACACATGGAAACACTGAAGAAGGAACTGAAAGCAACAACGCACACAACTTACGAACTAAAAGTAGAGGCTGCAACATTGGACAATGACCAGCATGATATAAGAAAGGAACTACCAGATCTAAATATACAGCTAGAATCTACAAGAGAAGGTATAGCTGCTAACAACAACAAAATCAAGGCCATGGAGAAGATTAGAAATTATATCGCACTTGCTGGGACATTACGAAAACTGCACCGTGATGAGGAGCTAGAAAAACCTAATTCTGAAAATGGTAGGTCCATTTTGTTATCCTGTGAATTTCGCATTCAAAGATGCATCATATCGGTATGCTAACGGTTATACTTCGTTGAATAAGTGTCGTACAGGACACGGGTATACTTACTTTTCTAGAATACCATTGATTTGCTATCGTAATATACTATTACACTTATTTGTCATATTGTATTTATGAGCTTTGGGTTTGCTCCCCATTAGAATCGATGGTTCTATATTTATCTATGAGATTCCAATCATCGAGAATTTTTTAAAACTATATTTGTTATTAATAAGAGATAACAATCTCTGAATTGTGGTACCGTTCATATTTAACAAAAACATGTAGTTCCTACTACAAAAGTACAACATAACTTTTAGCCTTTCCCAATTACTAAGCTTCCTTGATAATCAGAATAGAACAAGTTAACCATTTTCAAGCTTACCATAGGCCTACTATCTTCATATAAATTAGTTACACGCCCACTGCAATAATTCAAAAGGCGCTAGTGGTGGGAAAAGCTCATAGGATTAGATTTTTGTTTTGAAGATTATGTGGAAGTATATAGGAGAGGTACGGAGCCTTATCCATACTAATCAGCAGTAAATATGTTCTATTTTGTGTAAATGGGTATATAAAATGAGTAAAAGGCACCATACTGCCCGGACCAGTAACGTCTTATGTAAACAATGCATGCGCCATTGAGCCAATGATTGACGCCGCGTGATGTGACGTCACGTGTTGAAAGCAGTCATCTTTTACAGAGTTATTAGAAGACTGTCGCAATCCTCTGTGAAACAGATTGGGCCTTATCCATCAAGAAAGCTAAATAAAAAAGACCTTCACACATAAACCTCGACTTCGCTACGACATAAAACATCCGTCGGATCGTGTCTGGGAGACGCGTGGGCGTGGCTAGATCTTTGTGGGCGTAGTATGGGCAAAGTGAGGTCATGGCAGGAACGTGGAGAGCGGAAAAGGCCACGACCCCAGTACGCGGGTTTGGAACATACACCATACCAGCATAGGGAGAAGGTGGTGGAAAAGTGTTGCGAGAGCGACCATTCGACACAAACTAGGCCATTTCGTGACTAACATAGGCCCTATATGGTTTAATTTTATTTCAATAATTCGCTTGCGAGTAGGGGTCTTTAGCAGTGGGAGGAAACCAGAGGACCTGGAGAAAACCCACGAGGTTGGAAGGTGACCCTACTCCTTGTCACGTAGCCTACAACCGGGGAATTGAAACCACGCTAGTTGATTCAATGACAGACCTTATGATACAGCGCGCACGTGCTAACCATTCGCCCCCCCCCCCACCCGACATGTGTGAAGGTAGTTCCTTTATGAACGATCTCTGATCGGACGATGCCCCCTGAGTCTGCCCGTTCCTTTTCGTCTTTATTAATCTGCAATATATGAAAATATCACTCTTCACCACCTCTGTTCTAAGGCTATTTTGGAATCCTTAAATTTTCAGCTTAATAGGGACGAATAGGAACGGTCAGAAGCCGTTCCTTAAGGAACTATAGTGTGAAGAGGCTTTACGAAAAACGTGGGAGTGCGATGAGAGCGTAGCGCCGTCTGTTTGGTTGCAGAAAGATAGCGTGACTATGGCCGTTCTCTCAGCTCTGGGTACGCTGCCAACGCAGTGTCCGCTCTCGTTATGCTATTGCATGTTCCATACCCATGTAGTGAAGTCATGGCCTATCACGCATTCCAGATGCCTACCATGACCCCCCCCCCCCCCATGGCCTTACTACACTGACAAAGACCCTGTCAGGTACATGCCGCTCTCAGCAACCATTTGGCTCATTTTTAAAGTAGTAGTGGTGTCGTGGTTTATGTGTGATTATGGGTATTACTAATTTTCATTTTTGAATTGACTTGCTGTGTCGACAGTGGAACAAAAATCGGTTATATCCCAACGCAGGTTTAGACATTTGTTATCCCACAAATCAATTTCCGAAGAGAATATTCTTATTGTAGACAATGCTGTTTAAAAAATCTGAAACTTTTGGTATTAACAAATAAAGTGTAAAATGTTTCATGACAGTTTGGACATAATTAAATGCCAAGCCGAATACACTTATATATTTATAAGCCAATATATGTGTTTGGACAACTATTTCTTGCCGTGACTACTGACTATTATTCGGGAATTATTATATACATTTGTAAATTTTTTTCCCAGATTCTTAATGGAATAATCTTGTGTTTTTAAAAACATAGTTCAGTTAAATATAGTTAGGATTTCGCTGGCAATTACTATTTGTTTATATCTTCAGATAATAACCTTACCGAAGCTCTTCAAATTGTGGCTCAAAATTTAGGAAGGGATTGGAGAAAGGTTTATCCTAAGCTTCCGTTTACTCCACCTCGTGAACAGTGGAAAAAACATAAAGACATTCAGATACTAGACATGGTGGCCATGCGATGTGATCATACACACGAGGAGCAGGCACTCAAGGCGTTTGAAAAATGGTTGACTTTCAACAGACGAGGAAACCTGCGCCAGCTAATTAGAACTCTTCGTAAAAGTCAAAAAGTAGACTTAGCTAATGAATTAGAAGAAAGATATATGGTAGAAAATGTTTACTGATTGCAATCTGATTAAAATACAGATCTATATTTTCATGTGGACGTATATTGTCGTCGCCCCTGTCCGTCCGGTCCGGACATCCACAATTTGTTTGCGGACACTCTCCAGCTCACAATTTTTGTCCGATTTTGACGAAACTTAAAATATAGGTTTATCTCCAAACGATCTCATTACCTTTTGATATTGGGATGTATCGGATCGAAATTTCATGGATTATGGCCCCTGATTGTACGAAAAATCACGTTTTTAGCTTGTGGCCACTCTAGAGGTCATAATTTTCATCCGATTTTAATAAAACTTGAAATGCATGTTTATAACCCAAAGATCTTGGTTCCTCTTGATATTGGATCGTAACTTCCTGAATTATGGCCCCGATAGTATTGTGCGAAAAATCGCGTTTTTAGCATGTGGTCCCTAGAGGTCACAATTATTATCCAATTCATAAACCGTTACACCCAAACTGGCGGGCAAAATGGCCGCGCCTCGTACGCAAATAGTGTAAATACATGGTATATCAAGGTTGTGGACCCTCTGGAGGCCACAATTGTGGTCCGATTTTCATGAAACTTTATGTTTATATCACAAAGATCTTCGTTCCTTTCGATAATCGCGCATATCCGAACGGAACTTCCTGGATTATTGTCCCTGATTGTTCGAAAAATCGCATTTTTAGCTTGTGGACCCATTAGAAGTCACAATTTGTATTCAATTTTAAAAAAAACGTTTAAATATATCACCGGTAAACATCAATGAAGGTTGACTTCGAATTTCGAGAAAATCGGACCGAGACTGCCGGACAAAAGAGACTGCCGGACAAAATAGACGCTCCTGATACGCAAATAGTGTTAAAGTATAGTGTACCAAAGTAATTGTAGGCCCTCTAAAGGTCACAATTTTCATCCGATTTTGATGAAACTTGAAATGTAGGCTAATAACCCAAAGATCATAGTTCCTTCAATATTCGCGCATATCGGATTGTAACTTCCTGTATCATGGCCCATGATTGTATCAAAAGTCACTTTTTTTTTTAGCAAAATGTGGGCGTAGCTTGCCTGGCAACCACTAGTCTTTTCATGTATTTGTGATCTATTTCTCTATATATAGGCTCTTAGGTGTTCTTGGTTACCATTATGAACCAGCATTTATAAATTGGGAATTAAAGTAGTAATTAGTTTAAATTTCGAGAAAAAGGTAAGGAAGGAAGTCCACTACATATGATAATGATCTTTCCTTATTAGAGGATATTTATTTTCTGCAAAACGGTATTTGTATATATTAGACTAACAAGAAATAAAATATATTTAATTGAAAAAACGGGTTAAATGAAAACAGTAGCCCCCCTTCCCACTAGAGAAGCGTCATCGAATTCCAGGGGAGTATCAGAAACTGTCCGGTATCAGAATCTGTGTAGAAATTCTTGAAAACTATCAGAAGTTTGGAAAAGAACCTGACAAAATAACAGAGTCTTGTAATTCTTAATCTCTCAGGGAAGAGGGGATCACGTGGCTAAGTGGGTAAGACGCTAGCTCGCTAGCCTGGAGGTCGGGTGTTCGATCCCTGCATTGGCCGAGAAAGTTCATCCAGATTTTCCGGCGTGGTTCCCCCTTGTCAGTGATGCAGGACGGAGGGCCTGACAAGGATAGCTGTCTAGTCCTTCGGATGAGACGAAAAACCGAGGTCCCGTGTATACATTGGAATGCACGTAAAAGATCCCTTGGCAGTTGGAATTCGATATAAGAGTAGGCCGTAGTGCCGCTGTCCGGGCAAAATTTCCCTCATAGCACACTGTATGGCGTATGCCCGTCTTCATTAGCCCAGGTTAGGAGCAGAACAGTAGGACGTTAAACTCCATTTCATTTCATTCATTTTATTTCATTTCATTTCATTCACTCTGGGAAGAGTGCAACATTTTGGAGTTAACAGATACTGAGTAGAAGAGAAACAGGAACATGTATATATCTTTATTTCAATAATTGGTCTGTGTGCATGGGTCATTAGTATTGGAGAAAACCATCCACAGAGGTAAGCCTACTCTTTGTCACTACAAGAATGAAAATAATTCAAAAAATATGACACATAATAAGCAAACAAATATAACAAAATATAAAAATTAAGTTAAAAAAAAAATTATGGAAACAAATATGACAGATCACAGAAAATTTGATTCAAATGGTCGTTTGCTGAAATCTTAAAATTTCAATGAAAAATGAAGAGCACTAACTAATGCATTAACCAATTGCAACAATAAAACAATTTAGTAAAAAATATACACAAATAGTTGAGTATTTACATATTCATTATTTTAATATTTAAAATAAAATAAACAAACCAACAGTGAGGATGATATCTTCATCACAAAATAAATGGATAAATTGTTTAACATTCTGATTAACCTTACCAGAAAATGCTCATCATCGAACTCAAGTCGAACTTGTAATGAAACTACAAATCAACTTTCATCACTTTTACTAAATTAGAATCAAAGTTATTGTGTCCAGTGGCTTATCTCTACTTAACCATAGCAGAAAATGCATCAATTAATCCCTACACCAAGTTTGAACATTCTACCAAAATTAGAAACAGAGTTATTGTGTTCCAAAAAGTGTGAAAACAGACAGATGAACCCATATTAATAGTCCTCAGTTTTCTTCGAAACCGGGTTATAGAAAAAGGAGAAGGATCTCTTTGCCCTGTCTACATATTCTGGTAGTCTTAAGAAAATTTAGGAATATAAATATACTGTACATTCATTACAAATAAAGCTAAAATGAATACATAGCACAGTTTAATTCATGGCACATTGCCCAATACTACCCATATATACAAAGGGATTTTAATAAATAAAACTGGTGTATAGGCTTGCATTAACAATTTTAACTGTACCGGACAACCTTTCAGTCACTATTGAAGCATTATTAGTGGACTTATTATTTTTAAGATAGGTTGCCAAAGCAACCAAGTCATCTGAGCAGTCCACAGAGGTTATCATGTTTTTATTTTGTTGTAGGTAATGAAAGGATTTACAAGACACTAAAAACTAATCAAGGGTAACAAATCATACAGTAAATTTTAGAAACAATTGTCATAGAAACATAAACACTGTATAAATCTCAGGTCAATTGGATGATAACTCTATCCTCTAGAATGTCCACAAAATTTTTCAAATAGATAAAAAGCCATAAATCTGAGAGTAATTATTGGAAATCAAAAGGCTCCTTTGTCTCATGAATTTAAAGGAGGCAAGTCTTTAAGTCAATAAGAAATGAAATGAAATGAAATGGGGTTTAACGTCCTACTGTTCTGCTCCTATACTGGGCTAATGAAGACGGGCATACGCCAAACAGTGTGCTGTGAGGGAAATTTTGCCCGGACAGCGGCACTATCGCCTACTCTTATATCGAATTCCAACTGCCAAGGGATCTTTTACGTGCATTCCAATGTATACACGGGACCTCGGTTTTCCGTATCATCCGAAGGACTAGACAGCTGTCCTTGTCAGGCCCTCCGTTCTGCACCACTGACAAGGGGAAACCCCGTCGGAAAATCCACCTAGCCACCGTGGCTCCCCAATATTTAAGACAAAATCAACATTTTAAAATTGGCTCACGAATCGTGTTCCAAAAATGCTTTTGAGTGCCAATTGAACATTTTAGAATTGGCACAAGAATGGCGTGCCAAAATGCTTTCGAGCACCATTTGTAATGAAGCTACTCGATCAACAAGGCTAAACATATCCCACAGGAGAATACCACCAGTGTAGACTGGAATAACCAGATGCCAAAGACTGCCATTCAATTTGGACTCTTCGCATATTTCACCTAACATAACTGATTAGAATTTATAGTAAAAAAACAGGAACAATTGAATGTAAATCAGTTTTTATCCATTCGTATAATATTATTGTGACCTATTTGTATCCATTTGTAGGTGCCAAAGAATAGAGATTTAGCTTCTTTAAATACTCTGTATATATTTACAGTCAATCGAATGATAACTTTAGCTTTTGACGTGGATGTATATAAATTGAGGCCAAAATGACAGGCACTAGAGGATTTCTGACTTCCAAATTCTAATTTTGTGCCTGTATGTCTTTGACAGGTGACTTATTTCGTGGTAAGACAACATGTATTAAAATTTCAAAAGCTGAGCAGATATGAAAATAAATAACATTGTTTCTGAAATTCTAAGTGATATGAACATGTTACTATAATAAAATATGCTCAACATTTATGTTTCTATATAAATATTCAATATTCTACTAACATATCTAGGAAAACAAATGAAGATAATAGAAGCTCTATTCAACAGAATAGTTACCATTGTAGTATCACGTAACTGAGAGTGTTAGAAACTTTGAATAACATGTGATACCAATCATTTTTGCATATTCTTATCAACATTTAATGTAGTGGATGTGAAAGTGCAGCAGTTATTGGATTAAGGGTAGAGCACAAATCCCAACAAGAATTAATTTGGTCAATTAATATTTACATCAAGTTAATCGACAGTTTATTACTAATAAAAAAAATTCAAGACATGGTTTAAAAATAAACCATTAAAAGGTGTTATTGTGGATATTGGCAAGGTGTGTGAAAAACATAAATTAGGTCAAGACATATACTTGCTGCCAGTATAAACTAACATAATTAACAAGTAATGACAGCTAACCCTTGGTAGCTTTGGCATTTACAAAAAATTGTATGAAATGAAAATAAAATGGATTTCATTTTGTATTTTTGTGCATCAGTTGGGTTTAAGGAGAAAGGTCTAAGTCATGGCAGCGTATCTTTACCGTGCTTGCCAATCACACATAGACTGGAACTTTCTTGGCCAACACCGACACAATTAGTGAGCCAGTGCTTTAATCAGCAGGGCACTCAAAATTATTAGATCTGGATAATTTATAACCTTAATATATTTACACAAATCTTCTATGATTTCTTGTCATCACTAATGACACTACATCTTCCCTGAGACTGAATAAAGCCACTTTAAATTGATAAAAAGAAGAAGACACTTAGAATCTGATTAATCAATAATATAATTACTAATATTACTGATTATCCTGTAATATATTTATTCACTATACAGTGTACTGTATTTACTCACTATACAGCACCATAACTAATGATAACACTGTAATATATTTACTCACTATACAGTAATATAATTATCGAGTGGATGAGAATAAATAGAATACCAGTCTCTTTCAAATACATTGTGTAACTGTAGTCGTAGATTATCACTAGTTTTATTAATGTTGGTTTGGTTGAGAATAAAACCAATACCGCCTGTGCTGATAAAATAATCTCCTGACCAGTTTGAAGTTCCTGTGAAAATCATAATACAAGAACATTTCAATATATTGAATGATGGATGTGAAGAATAAAACATTGGTACAAGAAATTAATGCAAACAAGCAACAAATACCTTAAATGGGATTAGGCCTACGGATTTGCTATCCTGAAACTAGTGATATTTTCAAATACATGTTACAACCCTCAAAACAATCAACCTTGATTAATCAGAAGATAGGTTAATCAATTTGGTTGATAACAATGATATCATTATGGTGTCACACTTGTGTTAAAATAACAGGAAGTTATTTATTTTAGAAAATACATATTTATCTCCACACACATCCTGTTGCATACTTTCATGACCATGAATGTCACAACACATTAAGTTTATGACACATTAATTTCTTAACACATGACACATTTCATGATAGATAAATTTCTTGTCTTATAGTACACTATTTGACCACACACTATCAAAGTTATATTCCTTAAAGCGGGCGTCACACTGTCCCAGATAGACACGATAGAGTAAATATTTAAATTCGGCTCTGATCGTAAAAACATCAGGCCATTCATAAGAGCATCTTAAGCCATTGTATGGCTCCGGCAGCAACTTCTTGAGGGCTAGCAAAACTTCATTTTTGTTTTGAATTCGTGTACCACTGAGCATTCTTATACACCCACGTTTTCACCCAAAGATCTTGATTCCTTTCGATATTATCATGGATTATGGCCCCTGATTGTACGCAAAATCCGTGTTTTTGGCATGTGGTTCCTCTAGAAGTCTCAATTTTTATCCGATTTAAAAAAAACAAGCCAACAGTGAGGCTGATGTCCCCCGCCGAAATCCTCAAATAAATAGATGACACATATTAATAAATCGCACATCTATTTTTTTCAAGTGTCAAGCAATCAAACTGATTATCAACTATACACTAAGTTTCATCACTCTCTATCAGATAGAATCAAAGTTAATTTGTCCCAAAGCATCGACCAAGGAAATTGCTTACATGTATCTCTGCTTAGCTTTAGCTCGATATGTTAATCATTGAACTCAGTTAAGACGAACATCTATATTAAGTTTAAACATACTACCTCAATTAGAAGCAGAGTTTTTGTGTTCCAAAGTCTTGACCAATGAAAATGCTTTTTGCTCCTTAGCCTAAGCAGAAAATTCTCATCATCGAACTTAGTCAAGGTATTGATGTAATGAAACTATACACCAAGTTTCATCACTCTCACTTAATTAGAACTAAGTTATCGTGTCCCAAAGCATCGACCAATCAAATTGCTTATCTCTGCTTACCCTAAGCTGAAAATGCTCATCTTCACACTCCATCAAGGCATTGACCTCATAAACACCTACACCAAGTTTGTACATTCTAACTCCATTAGAAGGAGAGTTATTGTGTTCCAAAGTCTCGGCCAATCAAATTGCTTATCGCTCTGCTTACCCGGAGCAGAAAATGCTCATTATCGAACTTAATCAAGGTATTGATGTAATGAAACTATACACCAAGTTTCATCCCTCTCACTTAAAGATACATTATGGAAGATTCGATAACGAGTTGGCAGTTCTCACTATAATAATTTAAAAATGCTCATCTTCGAACTCCATCAAGGCATTGACCTAATCAACACATACACCAAGTTTGAACATTCTAGCTCAATTAGGAAGAGAGTTATCGTGCCCCAAAGTATCAACCAATCAAATTGCTTATCTCTGCTTACCCTAAGCGGAAAATGCTCATCTTCGAACTCCATCAAGGCATTGACCTAATAAACACATACACCAAGTTTGAACATTCTAGCTCAATTAAAAGTTATCGTGTCCCAAAGCATCAACCAATCAAATTGCTTATCTCTGCTTACCCTAAGCGGAAAATGCTCATCTTCGAACTCCATCAAGGCATTGACCTAATCAACACATACACCAAGTTTGAACATTCTAGCCCAATTAGGAAGAGAGTTATCGTGTCCCAAAGCATCAACCAATCAAATTGCTTATCTCTGCTTACCCTAAGCGGAAAATGCTCATCTTCGAACTCCATCAAGGCATTGACCTAATAAACACATACACCAAGTTTGAACATTCTAGCTCAATTAGGAAGAGAGTTATTGTGTCCCAAAAAGTGTGACGGGCAGACAGACGGACAGACAGACAGACAGACAGACAGACAGACGGACGAACCCATTTTAATAGTCCCCTGCTTTCTTCGAAAGGCGGGGGACAAAAACATTTGAATGTATCACCGTTACACCACAATGATGGTTGAGTTCAAATTTTCTGAAAATCGGACAGAAACTACCGAACAAAATGGCCGCTCCCTGTACGTAAATAGTGTAAAAGTATTTAATACCAAGGTTGTGGACCCTCTAGAGGTCACAATTTTTATCCGATTTTGATGAAACTTGAAATTTTTATTTGTAACCAACCACCTCGGTGCCCTTCGATGTTTGGGCTTATTGGACAGTAACTTCCTGGATTATGGCCCCAGATTGTAAGTATAATCACATTTTTTTTAGCTTGTCCATCGTCTGCAAAATGTGGGCGAATCTTGATTGGCAACCGCTTGTTCTCCATACGAAGCAACCAAGAATCTTAAAAAGGCAACACACGACTATATGAAACCCTCGCAATGCCCTCAAAATGACCTTATCAAGGACAAAATGAACACACAAATCCAACATAAAAATGATTTTCCCAGTGCTCACGAAGTTGCTACCAAAGTTTGAAAAACTTCACAGGCAATCATACGATGGCTTAAGATGTCCTCACGAATGGTCCAATGTTTTTACGATCAGAGATGAATTTACTTTATCGTGTGGCTATCTGGTGTCAACTTTGAGAGATTGTGACGCCAGATACTCTGCAGAGCCATTGTGTAGCATTCGTGTGGCCTGCCGGTATAAACTACTATATAAAATTCACATCTTCATATTACCTTCGTGTGTGGTTTGGGTGCCATAGTATGACATTCTGTACGCATTACACTTGTTTCGACTGTTGAATGTTTTTTTAACCAGGTTCGTGCAAAATTCAAAATTCCATATTCGTATGGCCATCTGCTGTCAATTTCAGGACAGCGTGACGCCAGCATTACCGAGAAATGACTATAGCACCATTAAGTACAGATAGTAAGAAACTCTGAAAATCGGATCAGGCCATACATGTAAATCTTTTTTGCGTTACCGATTACTCCACTAAGTTTTACTCAAATTTTAATTGCTTCTTGCTGATGTTTATTGACAGACCATTTCGATTCAAATAATATGTTGAATCTGTTGTACTGACAAACAGGGTTACATCAATAAACTCCCACATAAACTGTTTGCTTATAAACATTTATTTAAACATCAAATATTATCTCACCAATATAAGCATGTTTATCTGTCACCATATACTTATTGTGATTAACTCTAGCATATGGTATTTTACGTTGAGATTCTGTATACACAGGAACTTCGAAGATTTTCTGGGGAAAAAAAAGAAGAAATTAATGACATTACATACTTATTTTGAATTTTCTTTATAAAGGAAAGAAAACAGAATAACATCACATTTGTGTCAGACAAAATTTATGTAAATATGATGTTAATTTGAATGTTAATACCATGTAAGTAATATATAGTTGCTATGTAAGTAATATAGTTACTATGTAAGTAATATATAGCTACCATGTAATTACTATATAGTTCATTACTATAATAATCTAAATGATTAAAACTAAAAACCTAGGTTAGATGTCATTTTGAGCTTAATGTGTTGTGTATAAGACAATAGAAAGTTATGCAAACTTTAAATGGCCATAATTAACCCTAGGATTGTCAATATTATAAATTGTCTGACTAACATATGTTATTCGTAGACTGTTTATTTATTTTTTTGTTTATGGTATATTATTGTCTTTTCATCTGGAATATTTTGCCATTAGATCATATTAAAGTATATATACTAACCACTTCAACATTGACATGTAATGTTTTGTTTCTTTTCCCTACAGGTATATGCATATTTATACTCTGTAGTGATCGTAAAAAGTACAACATATCTGGTGCAGTATGATTCCAGTAACTAGCCAATACACGAACACTCACATGCCGATTAAATGCTGCATCACGTAAAGCATCGTCAATAATTGCCCAGTATCTGAAATAATTATAGTATTATTACAACACATCCACAGTTTGTTTTGCCAACTAAATATGATATGGGGAAAATTGGAAAATAGTAGTAAAATATTTGATTCTATGGTAATGTTGGGACAAACAGAAAAGTTAGTTTTGTTGCAATAAATTCCAACCATATTACAATCCAATATTACTCAACTTTGATATGTAATACAAGATCTTCACAAGTTGGAATTCAAAGGCAAATAGGTCGAAATGCCAAGATCCCAGCAAAATTTCCCTCATCGCTCATAGCTATAGAAAAGTAGGATGAGTTTATTTCATTTCCATAAGGTTCCCACAGAAAGACTAACTTTTATTATTCTATGCTACTGTCCATCAAAAATTATCAACAAAACAAACAAATGTATTTCCTTTCTATGAAATCTACTTTTAAGTATTGCTTAACAAAACAAACAAATGTAATTTTCCTTCATTGAAATCTTCTTTCACTAATGTCAATAGTATTGTTTACTCTCTATGCACTAATAATGTATATAGATATACTGTACTTACATTCTGTGAAAAGTATAGTGTGTTGTAAGTACTTTCTTTGAAATGTATACACTGTGGTACTTACTTTCTGTGAAATGTATATCAGGTAGTACTTACTTTCTGGGATATGAATAGAGTGTAGTGGGAAAGTAATCCATTACAGCAACACTAACAAAATATTTAGCATTTTTAATAACACTTAATATAGAATCAATATCTGTAGTTCTACCAGGTGGACACAGCTGTGGTGGTGAACTCTATAAAACAATACAAAAACTCTCAGTTCTTCACAGAAATCAAAGAGGCCTGTCCTTTTTATACAGGTTATTGCAAGCAAGCTTAATTGAATAATGTAAAATCAAAATGTTAGGTACAACCAATGCTTTTTTTTTTAGGTTTGGTGTGAACTAGTGAAATGAGAAATGGTAATCCTGTGAACAGACAAGAATAGAGAAATAATGTCTAATATACATTAATTTGCTTGCACATGGAGGTCTTAAAGCTACATTCCCAGAAAAGTATTTATCGGGTGGTTATTTCCAATAAAAGTATGGAAATTTTGGTATATATGGAAAGTAGAAATATCTAATCTTACTACAAAAATACTGGATTCCCTGAAAAACATTCATGGAGCGCATACAGGACAAAAAATGTAAGGGTTTCCCTAATCGACAGCCCGACGATTTGGAGTGTCTGCACGCGTGACATCGAAGGTTGCACGCGGAGACTGAGCGCTTGATGTACATTTTTATAAACTTTATGAAGAATTAGACGTACAACACTTTCTGAGATAAAAATCACGGAAAAAGACGCGGGCAGTGGATAATCCGAAAATTTAATTAGGCTTCGATATTTGTAATAAATAGTCAGCGATTAAAGACAACATCGTCTTGTGGTGTATGCAATGAATTCTCCTCTGACATCGCTTGCGTTGCTAGGTACTGAGAGAGGTAAGTCACGTGACACAAACATGACCTCTTTTGATCGATTTTTTATAGCCAGGGTATTCCCGGACAATTGCAATGTTTTGAGAAGGATTTGAAGCAAAATTATGATAAATTAATTAGTTCGAATTTGTTTTTAGTCCAAATATATCATCAAATCGCCCAGTTTGTACCCGGGAATGTATCTTTAAGCAGTTGCAGGAAACTGGAGAACAGGGAGAAAACCCATGAGGATGGACAGGCCACCCGACTCCTTGTCACACGCAAGTCACTTGATGCAATGACATACCCTATGACCTAAAGAGCTCTCATTAGACTAAGTAATTACTTAACCCACTGAACAGACAAAAGAAGCTTACCGAGAGATATAAAGTACCCTTGGTGTTATTATATTGTACAAATTCTGGATTAGCATCATTAATAAATGTAGATAATTGTGGATTCCATTGTTTTGGTATAGTAGCATCATTAACAGCTAGCTGCCAATAAACATCAAAGATTTTACCCATATCTGTAGCTAAACAAGAACAATTTCTGACTATCACACCTAATTCTTTCACCTAAAAATATTAAAACAATGATTTTAGAGTTTAACTACATGAGTCGTGTAAATGAGTTGGTAACAAAGTGATGATTGGAGAAAAGACATCGCAAAATGCCATCCAATACAACAAGAAGTGCAAGATAATTAAAGTGTTTAAAGTATTGACATGTCTGATCATGAGTTTGTTATACTAACATTTTGATAACTGATTGTTTTTGTCAATATCTTTTTCTGATTTGACTTTAGACTCACATTGTGGAAGCCAAAATCAGATTGTGCCAAAACATCTTCCTATCTATTGCTGAGATACAAGCATTTTTAGTTAAAATGAACAAATAACACACATTAGGTTGTGGATGCCGAGGATATAAACCCTAGTACAATTAATCTTAATAAGATACAATAAAACCATAAACTATCAATATGTGTCAGTTTGCCAATATGTTTTACCTGTGTAAGAGATCTCCAATCTAAATTAGCACTGCCAACATAGAAATGCTTTCTATCTATTAACCACATCTTGGTATGTATAATACCACTTCCTATTAATCTAGTAAAATTAATAGTTCTTACTTCAGCTTTACCTGTTCAAACAAAATATTTCACTTAATATTCCTTTTACAATTGGTAACAAAAAAGAAAATAGTTCTACTGTGCATACATGTACTGGTATACTCGTTTCAAATATCATAAAAATCAATTTTTAGAAAATGCTAATTTCAGTGGTATGTAAATTCACTGACAGGTAAAATTCTCAAGTCCGTTAAAATATATTCAAAAACTTACAATTGCATAATTCTGACCATTGAATCCTCAGTTCACATTTAAAATGATTTGCAAATTTGACAATCTGATTCTTTTATTAATAATCAGAATATGATTTTTGTTTTAGAGTGATGCATAAATCACAACTTCAGCGGGTAAAAGTCTTAATTACTATCTACCTTGACTTGCTAATAAAGCTGTATCATTATCATTATAGTCTTTAGACGGAACATTCTGAACTATCTTTAATTTAATATTTCTATTCTGACCAGCATTCATCAAAGCATCAAATAATCTTTCACCCTGAAATAAAAAGTTTACAACTACCACATATACCATTCATGTCACACATGTAAGTAGAGCGAAATGGAAAAGCATGTAATTTATAAATATAAATAAATACATCTACAAAATGTTTGAACAAAATTTTGCACTTTAATAATGTTTCAATGGTTATGGGAACAATTTGAGGGGAATATTTGTTGTTTACTCTTCTTCAGGTTTTTTTATACATGCACCCCAATGTGTACAGGGATTGAACCTTGGTTTTCAATACCATCCAAATTACTAAGAACACTTTCCATTTTAGCCCAATAGGTGCTGTCACTAACACCTGAGAACCAGGCTTGAACAATCCTATAGGTTCTACTCTGCTCATGTTGGAATTTGAACCCAGAACATTCTATTACAGAAGCTGTTGAGTCTCATACAAATTGACCACTTATAACCCCCAAATGTGACTGTAGCTGAATACACAATAAAAAAATTGTTGGATCAAAAACTATTATAGCATCTACTGCTGGCTTGTTTATGTACTGTGACTAACATGATGATTTAGCCTACAAAATGTGCATTACAGATATCATTTCAATACTAGGCAATGAATAAAATATAAAAAATGTGAAACTTCTGACAATCACATTCTGGGCATGTTTACCGGCACTTCTATTTCAAATAAATCCAACTGTCATATAGGCTTTGGGCTGTCTGGATACAGGCCCGGATCCAGGATTTTGTCGAGGGGGGGGGGGCATACATTGGAGCAAAGGGTAATCATCAGAGTGCCGCATGCATTAGTGGTTTGGTGTAGTCCCCAGAGTCTTCGTCGCGGCCTCATTAAACAGAAACTAAAATCTGGGAATCCCATTGCTGGCTGTAGGTGCTGGTCTGAACAGTGATGACCAGTCTCACTTAGGCTGGGGGGGGGGGGGCACGGCCCCCCTGGATCCGCGTCTGGGATAATCAAAACATTTAAAGAGATTTAATGGAATTTTCAATATCAATTGACCCAGAGTTTGAGTAATACTGAATATTGAATGAGTCACTATTATATAGGGACACCAAAACAAGGGGAAATAGAATATCTGATAATAGCTTTGATGGCTCTAACCTCCTTTGATGTATCATCATGATAAGATAAATCTATTCCTCTTAATGTCCAATAATAAGATGCTATTTCTATAGTGTGCTCAGCTATATTAATCAAATCTAACAGAGACTGACCAGTTGGAACATGGATAGTTTCATTCTGTCCGAAAGTAAGATTTTGTGGAATGGTTTCGACCAGTGTTAATCTACAAGAAAAAATATACAGACCAGTTGTAGGCATCCCCGTGATAATCTACTTGTAAATGTATTAATTAATAAATCAGTCGTGGATCTTGGGGTGATGCTCTTATTAAACCATATTAACTTACATAAATGTATGTAATGTTACATGTATCCATTGTACTGTATTCAAATGAACAAAACTAAGATTACATCCCACTTCTACCCCGTTGCCAGTGGCAACCTTTGATAAAACTGCCCTGTTTATTTCCAATACAGGCATAAAAGTATCCGTGTATCAGAAATGAACAGTACGCTTTACATAAAGAGTACTGTACATTTCCGACAAACGAACACTTTTATATAAGCAGGATGAAAACAAACGCCTAGAAAGTCATTAATTTTATTACAAATAAATTTCAACGGACCAACCATCCACCGATGCACACTTCACCAGGATTCACACGTTGTGCAGTGCCCTTTACATTATGTTTAATATAATTGCAGTTCTCTACGCCAGTGATAAGCTGTTTTGACGACGTGGTTGGCTTAATGTTCACTGACTTCGTCAAAACAACTTCGTCTTTCAATTCGGAGTGGCAGTGCAGTCTAAAGAAAAACACGTGACTGTTTTACGCTCAGGGTAACGCACGTGTAAATACTACTCATGTCGTTTCTCCACTGCGAAATCATTCTACCGCGAAATGTAACGTGAGGCACAGAAAGGGATAAATGAAAGAGCAGAAAGTATTTGTCACATTTCGCTTGACACGACTCGATAATAACTACTATTTTTTACATTTCGCTTCACAATACTCGATAGAAATGTGATGTAAGTGACTTACTAGCACCTTTCCTCGGTGTAGCGGTGCAGATCAGGACAGTTTTGGTCGGGGATCGCCTCGGCTGGCCCCTCAACCAAAACTGTCCTGATCTGCACTGATACACCTCGCAAAGTGTGCTAATAACTACTACATACAGTACTAAGATTTTAGTTTACAGCCTATATTAGGCTCCATATATATACATTTCTGGGTGACTCTGAGACCAATTATTAACAAACCCAACCCATATAATTAATCTAGTATCTTATATATGTACATGTACATGTTGTAGGAAATCCGGGTGGGAACGGGATATGCATGTTAATATTAACAAGTCAATGCTGAGGCTGATCTGTCCCGCCGATATCCCAAAATAAATAGATGGCACATACTAATTAATTGCACATGTATCTTTTTAAAAAGTACTAAGCAAGTTTCATTACTCTCCATCAGTTACAATCAAAGTTATCTAGTCCCAAAGCATTGACCAATGAAGTTCCTTAGCTCAGTTTATCTTTAGCAGAAAATGATAATCATTGAACATCTACACCATGAAGTTTTATCGTTCTACCGCAATTAAAAGCAGAGCTGTTATGTTCCAAAATCTTGACCAATCAAATTGCTAATTAGTACTTAGCCTATGCAGAAAATTATCATCATCGAACTTAGTCAAGGTGTTGATATAATGAATCTATACTCTGAGTTTCATACATGTTGACAGTTGAAATCGAATTGCTGTCTGGTGAAAACTTTCATCATAGCATAATCAAACTGTATTAATTAGCCTAGTTGGTGCAGAAAAGTGGGTCGTCTACATTAGCTCAGTTGGTGCAGAACAGTAGGACATTAAACCCAATCTCATTTTTTCTTAGAAAAGTAGGATGTTAAACACCATTTAATTATGTCGTAATATTTATGTATTTACTGTCATGTTTGTAATTGTATGCTGCCTCTAGGAGTATATAGATACATGTACAATTAAATGAATTCTTTTCTATCTAGAACCTCAAGACTGGTCTTACATGTATTTATACTGTATGTGATTACAAATTTGCAACGTAAATGTATAAATAGATAAACCATACTTACGTACAGAAATCTGTACATTTATGAGAAGGTACATGATGTGCTGGTTGATGACGTGGTAAATAATAATTTAATGCTAAACCACAACCTACAGCCAATGCTATCAGAATTAATGGTATAACGCATAATTTTACAGTACGATTGCATAAACATCTATGTTGCCCAGAAAATTCAACACTTTGTGTTCCTAAAAGGGTTGTTTTCTCCTGTTGAACATTCATTTTTCATCTGTAAACTTTATGAATACTATAAAAAAAAGAACAAAAATACAATGAAAAAAAATATACATTAAAATTACAAAGTGATTAAACTACATGTAGTGGTGGTTCTATTCTCAGTGTTTTAATATTTTCACCAAAAACAATAATCACGGGAGAAAGTTTGAATTACAATAATTATTTTAGTGAGTTTTATTACCGATTGATTGAAAAAAAATATATATGCATGTCTGTAGGCACATCATTCTTTTATTTTTAAAATGTCACTTCTGTGATGTCTGTAGTTTATAATTTATTAAACATACATTATGCAAGAGCTAAATCTGCCTATTGCAGGTCTTTCTTTAGGCCTGAAATGTTTTCTGAATTATTGATTAGACATTAATTAACGGATCCAGGTCATAATCAACTCTCAATAGATTAGAACGGTTCAGACATATTTTGATTTAATCTAAAAATGGAGGAGCGAGACTTAGCTTTGAACAAACAGTACGGTGGTTGAAATTATTGCACAGGTCTTGTCAACCCTTCAAAGGCTAATATCTTCACTTGCAATAGAGTAATTTGAATTAAATTTTCAAGTTATTCATTTTACATGATCTATTTTCGAACTATTAGAGCAAGAATGGCTAGCTCTTTATCTAAATCTTACATAATGTATCTTTTAAGTTTTTTTTCCACAAACTTTCTGTGGGTCCATTAGTGCTAATCATTGCCTTTATGAAATTGGTTGATTCAAAGGAAATAGTTCATAAGAAAAGGACTCATGAGATTACATAAAGGAAGGAAGTATTTGTCACTACCACTTTTGTTTGTGCACTCAGAACATTTTTTGGTAGTGGGGCTACAAACATAAAATACCAAGCAGTCAAAAGATAATACATTATACTTACTCCAACTAGACAATATGATTGAAGTATGATTCAGAATCATTTGGTGGTACAAAATACAACAAAAGGCCTACACAAAATTTGTTACTTTCTATGTCAGCATACTGATTTTTTATTATTTTGAAAGTTATACAACTTTTTGAATCTTCATTTTCGGTTTAAACTCAGAGATAGTCCGGATCCACTCTAATGTATCTCGAAATTCGAAAGTTTCCGGAGCAGGGAAATCGCATTTTTGGGGGGAATTTTGACACAAAAACGTTGCTATTATAATTTCAAAATGATAATTTAGCATCAAGACCAGTATATTATCAAATATCGATATAAATTACTGTGATATGAGTTAAATTATTGTGGATTTGGTTACAGCTGTCAAATTTGCTGTGAAGTCATATTTTGACTCATTGAGGGGCATTTTGACACCAAAATGTTACGATTGTAAATTACAAATGACAATTTGGCATAAAAAATGGCATATTATCAAATATCGATATAAATTATTGTCTTACATGTAGAAGTTGAAATAATGGTGAATTTTGGTAGGTTTGGGTGAATCATGCTACCCAGACGTGTGTACTGCACGTAATAAACTAGTAGTAATGTAGTAATGATACTATGCCCATAGTTACTGACCTGACTTGCCATTTCCATAATAAATTTGTTCAAATTAGTGCTGCTGGCAGATGTAACAGATGCACCATTTGATGAGAATAAGATTTTTTTTTTTTTAATTTTTATACCCTGAATAAATATAATTTTAGATATATAGCAACTAAGCTGAAATACCTTGCGTGAGAACTACCATGGACCTTATAATACATTAATAAGGTCCATGGAACTAATAAGTACGGTCTACACTCGTTTTTATATGGAGTGTCTAAACTTTGGACCAGTCTGCCGGGAGGAATTGAATTTAAATAATCTTAATTTTTATGTAAATGGGACATGGATTCATGTTCATTTTCAAAATAAACTCCATGTTGGAGTGAGTGTAGTAAGTATTTTTCTATATTTGCTTTTCATTTGCTATGTTTAAAGGAGTCAAGTCTTTAACTCAATATCATCCAGTCTTCGACATTGCAAACTTAACTTATTGGTCAATTTAAATTCCCATTGATGTTATTCTCGTGAAAAGATGGGCTTCTGATATTTAAAACACAATGAAAATTTGTAATGAAGCGACTCAATGAATGAGGCTGAACATATCCCACAGGAGATTACTACCAATGTCGACTGGAATAACCAGACATCAAAGACTCAATTCAATTTGGGCTCTTTGCATATTTTGCGGAACATAAAAATGATTAAAAATATAAGGTCAAACAGAAATGATTGAATTTTTTAGGCTTTATTCATAATACATTATTATATGTGTTGCAACCCATTGTGTCCATTTACTTGCCAGAGAATAACATTTAGATCTAGCTCCTTTAATAGGCCTAAGTTTGCTTCCTTATTCTTTTTCTTTTTTAACTTTTTTTTTCTGTAGGCTAAGTTTTATTTCTAAAATTGCTTTTGACATGCATTGCTTTGTGTAACTTTGTACTTTGTGTTTGTTTTATGTTTTGTCTGCATGATCTGTACTATATATTGATGTATTATTTCCTGTAAGTCGATTTTAAAAGCTGTTAGATCTTATGTTGTTGCACTGTTGTTTTATCGACTTAGTATTTATAAATAAACATTACATTAGCCTATTTGTTTGTTGACTCAGCTGCTGAGCCAATTTCTTGAATTTGTATATATTTATAAGTCGGTCATCAGCTGAAACAAAAGGTAATAATGAACATTAAATTATTATCATGTAAACTTCAAAATGTATAAATAATCATACACACCTTGTATGCCTACGGGCATTAAGTTGTGTTTTGTTGAAAAAAAGGTTGGCGAATACTTGGCTTATCTGTGTCTCGCAATATGACGAGTATTTTTAGCGACCAGAAGATTGACAGCTGTCAGCCTTCACCTTGGAAATATCAAGGGAAATAATTTGAACAACTGGAGACAGACCACATTGACTACGAAACGATATAAATTTCAGAAACCCGTTTTCCTGCTATAGACTTAATTTTATCACACCCTTTGACAACCTTGTTTTCAACCTTACGTCATAAATGATTCCCCCCCCCCCCAAAAAAAAACAAACTTTGAAGCACCGAATTAAAATTAAAATAAAGCTAGTGTTTATTTTAATTTTTCTATAGACCCCCTCCCCTTCCTAACACACACACATCATATTTATATCTTAGACTGGCTCTCACTGTAGGATTTTTTTTTTATTTAGTTTGGCCCCCACGACATGATTATTTATTCAGATTGGTCACCACAACAGTGGTTTCTTCATTGGTCACAACAACAGTGGTTTCTTCATTGCCGTCATTGGTCCCAACAACAGGATTTTCCTTAGAAGTTTTTGTTCATAGCCCCCACAGCGGATTTTTTCTGTAGATAAGCCCTCATAGCAGGGTTTTCCAGCAGATTCCCCCCTCCTCACAGCAGGAGTTTTATTCAGATCATCCCCTACATTCCTACAACAGGAGTTTTCTTTAGATTATCCATCACATCAGGAGCTTTGTTCAGTTTGGCTCGCCACAGCGGGATTTTCTATAGTTTGGTTCAAGCAGCAGGATTTTTCTTTAGATTATCCATCACAGCAGGATTTTTCGTCAGATTAGCCATGATAGCAGATTATTTCGTCAGAATAGCCACCATGATAGCGGGAGTTTTGTTAAGATTGGTTCTCATAGCAGGATTTTCCATTGATTGGTCCCAAGATTATCCATCACAGCAGGATTTCTCTTTAGATTATCCATCACAGCAGGATTTGTTTTTTTTTTTATCAAATTAGCCGTTACAGCAGGAGTTTTGTTCAGCAAGATTTTCTATAGATTGCTCCGAACATAAGGATTCTATATAGATTGGTCAAACAGAAGAATTTTCTAAAGATTGTATTACCGTAGTAGGATTCTTTTTTTTTATGTTAGACTAGAAGAATGCCCGGCTTCGCTCGGGGGTCATCACCCCTAAACGCCACCTGACCTATGTTACTCCCCGGTCCGAGCTACCCCTATACCCCAAATTTCAGACTCGGGGCAGACCTAGTGTAGCCGCCAACCCCGAACAGACAGACAGACAAACGACAGTCACAAATATTATACTATTCAAAAAAAGTAGGGGATATTTGATTTTTAAGTGTTATTAAAGTCACCTAATGAAACTGACGAAGAAACAAATGACAAAATGAAATGAAGTTCACATTCATCGATTTATTCCAAATGATCGTTAGACTAAGTAAGGCACAGACTGACCATTATAAGGGTAAAATGATACCCGGGGTCAAACAGCAAAGTTACCACAGCATCACAACCAAGTCAGTAACGGGTAAATCCTCCTCTGTTTGCCAAACAAGCATTGGTCCGACGTGGCATACTCCTAATGAGACGTCTACGGTCATTTTGGTCCAGATTGTCCCATTCCTGTTGCAACGCAGCAGCAAGTTCTTGGACATTGGCAGGACGTTGTTGACGTTGACGTAACCTCTGTCCAAGCATGTCCCAGACATGCTCGATGGGGGAGAGGTCGGGACTCAGTGCTGGCCAAGGTAATGTGGTGATGTTCTGTTGTTGGAGGTAACCTGTAACGATCCTGGCCCTGTGACATCTTGCGTTGTCATCCTGGAAGATGAAACGGCGGCCATGACGTCGTGCGAACGGCACAACATGGACTGCCAAGATGTTGTCCCGGTAGTACTGGCCTGTAACACGACCTGCAACAACAAGTAAAGCCGTTCTTCCAGCAACAGTGATGCCCCCCCACACCATAACAGAACCACCCCCAAATCGATCATGTCTGATGACGTTAACGTCTTGGAAGCGCTCGTTTCGACGACGCCACACCCTCCTACGTCTGTCCAAAAAATCAACAGTGAACCTTGACTCATCTGAAAACATCACATTGCTCCAGCGTCGATTATCCCAGTGTTGACGATCCCTACACCAACGACGTCTTGCCTGAATGTGATGATCTCTCAAACAAGGGATCACGCGAGGACGTCGGGCGCGAAGGTGACCCCTATGCAGTCGATTCCGAATCGTCTGGCCACTCACTCTCACACCAGTGTCTGTTTGAAGACGAGCGCTGATCTGATTTGCTGTGATGACACGATTTCTCAAGGCCAAGGTACGGATAAATCGATCCTGGCCTTGAGTTGTCGCCCTTGGTCGACCTGAGCGTGGTCTGTCCTGTACAGATTGTGTATCACGGTATCTGGACCATAGCCTGCTAATGACAGACTGAGAAACATTCATCGTCCGCGCCACAACCGCCTGTGTTGTGCCGATCTGTAGCATGCCAAGGGCACGTAACCTTTCATTTTGGGTAAGCCGACGCATATCAAAATTTGTTTTCTGGTCACTAAAACAATTAAACTGATGTTTCCACCCTGGAATTCAATGCCACAATGACTGTAACATTCAAAGTCAGAGTCGAGCAAATCTTGGGTTGGACCCCCATGATGATCCCAAGCATCACATGCATTCCATGCGGTAGCTATTGGTGCGTTTGGGCGTCACATGTAACTGGAAATGTTTCTTCTGTTAGGTTCTATAGTGACTTTTTTCGTAGTCATTTGCATATTTTAGTATTATGCCCCCAAAATCAAATATCCCCTACTTTTTTTGAATTGTATAGTATAGATTAGTCCCCACAACTGCATTTTTCTTTATTCTTTATATACTCTTCAAAAAAAGTAGGGGATATTGAAATGCAAATACCTATGCAGGTTGTGATATGATTAATAGTCATGGACGCTTGACATGCTTTGAGAGTATGTTCACAGATGAAGAATTTGTCGCGCCAACAGAACCACTGAGCTGCACGTGCTACACGCAATAGCGCCATACACGTGGGAGGGGTTCATTGTCAATTTGACACTTTAAGGAAGGGTTGGTGGAAACTGCTGCGTGCTGGTTTTCCCTATCCATGTTTGCTTTCATATCGGTTCTTGCATAAGATTTACTGTTAGGCGTATCTTTGCTTTAGTGTGTTACGTTTAATTTTTCAACATGTGCAGTAGCCGACATGAATGCTGAATGTGTCACAGTCTGTGATCAGCAGACTGTGGAAACGGTACCAAAAACACACAATGCCGATGATAGACCTCGCTCAGGTCGTTCTAGAGCCACTACATATACACAGGCCCAGGATCGATACATTCGTACACAGGTCCTACGAAAACGAAGACAAACGGTCAATCAGCTTTCTGTAAACTTGTACCAAGTTACAGGAATTCGAGTTAAACCCCAAACGATTAGAAATCGCGGCTACATGCAGCCCATTTGCATGCGCGACGACCGCGTGTTGTGCCTCCATTAACTCGCCAGCACAAGGCAAACAAGCGTCAATGGTGTAGGCAGCGTAGAAATTGGGGTAGGGGAGACCGGGGCACATTGAACCAGTTTTTTTTTCACATACATGGTTGTCCTCCTTCATTATCAAATATTTTTATTAGAAGATCTCTTTACTTTATTGTATTGTTTGAAGACATATCATAGTTGCTATTGTATATCAGATTCAATTAAATTAATTTTTACCTTTTTTTTAATCCACTTGACCGTAATGGTTCAATGTATCCCGCTGTACAAAAATAGTCGGGGCAGGTTTAACCACATAATGAGGCACATTGAACAGTGGTAGAAATTCCATGTTAAACATACATGTAGATCTGGATTTGGATCACAATCCTCGTCATTTGTTTCTTCGTTATCTAATTAATCTGCAAACACTCAGTGTTTCACAGATTTGACATCCGTGCAACGATCGAAACAAGCAGGAGTCCGGATTCCCTAGGCTCCTACAAATCGCCGTAAATTGCACTTAAGTTGGCAGTTTGGTGGGATAGTGGTATCCCAATCAACTTTTACAGTGAATCAAACCAAGATTTGTCCAATAGTCTGTCTAAATTCGGACAGTGGTTCAATTCAATCTGCCACATCACAGTTTTATGATCAAAATTTTAAAAAAAATCAAAATGGATCATGCCCTTGTTTATCTGGATTGTAGATTAGACATATATGAACTGATTGTAAGTACAAGAATTTCCTAGGCTAAACAAATTATCAAAGGATATATAGTCTATAATTCACTGGGGTACATTGAATTTGAACCATCACCATTGTTCAAAGTACCCAATGACAGTGGTTCAATCTGCCCCATCACAGTTTCATGATCAAAATTTAAAAAAAAAAAATTCAATATGCCCTCTATAGATCAAGCCCCCGTTTATCTGGATTGTAGATTAGTAGACATAATATGAACTGATTTTAAGTACAAGAATTCCCTAGACTAAACAGTTTTAAAACATGTATGGAAAATAATAAGTGGAAGTAGTGCATTTTCACTTTTAAGCAATCTTTTGAAAAAATCATTGCCTAAAAAAATAATAATTGACAGCATGTAGCTACTGCTTATTGACGGAGAAATAGGTCTAATAAGTAATCTCACTTCTGTGTAGTCTTGGGTTGTCTAGTATTATTTATAAAGGATATATCCACGGTGGTTCAATGTACCCATATGTTCAATGTGCCCCGGGCTCCCCCAATCGTCGATGGGCTCGTATAATGTTCTCTGATGAGTCCAGATTTACTCTGGATTTCACCGATAAGCGTGCTCGCGTTTGGAGGCGTGTAAATGAACGTCATGCTAGCGATAACGTCAGACAGCAGGACAGATTAGGGCGTGGGTCTGTTATAGTGTGGGAAAGAATCACCATGACTGGCAGAACGGACTTGCATATTGTCCAAGCAAGGGTCACTGGTGCAGTGTACTACCGTGATCATATCCTGGCACCGATAGTTCTGCCCTTTGCTCAACGTGCAGGTCGACGTTTCATCTTTCAAGATGATAATGCTCGTGCCCACCGCGCTCGTGCCGTGAATGACTAAGCCTACCTCCAGCGTCACCATATTGCCCATATGCATTGACCCGCCATGAGTTCTGACCTTTCCCCAATAGAACATGTCTGGGATATGATCGGGAGACGTGTTCGTCGACGTCAACGTCAACCGACAACACTGCAAGAATTGACCGTGGCACTGCAAGAGGAGTGGGTCAGATTTCCCCAAATCGTGATTGGGGGCATGCCACGACGAATTGCCGAATGTCTGAGGATTGATGGAGCAATTACTCATTATTAAGACAAAAATCAAAAACGTCCATTTTCACTTTTGACAGTGTATCTCTTTGCGAGTGAAATGGGGCCCTCAGATAAGCCGCCCATATGAACTGTTTATGTTCATGTGTAGGCAATTGGCCTGTTATTAACATACACTTGTTACCTCTAACAAAAACAGCAGTGCATTTCCGCAGTTTTGTATTGTTTCTGAATACCATCTACTTTTTTTGAAGAGTATATATTGGCTCTCACAGAAGTTTTTATTTTATTATTTAGATTGGTCCCCAAAACCGGATTTTCGATAGATTGCCCCCCTCCCCTTCACTGATTTTCTATAGATTATCCCCACACAAGATTGCCCCCATCAGTTATTGGTCACAGATCACATTCCAAGAAAACCGACCACAGAGACACAACATAGAATTTATCAAAGAAACATATATACAGGGTTCGTCTACGGTTGTTTTTAACGATTGAAAGTAGAATTATTTCCAGAATTAAACAGAATGTGGAATATAATTTTTCACAGTAAAATATACATGCAATTGAAATGTGTGTAAATGTTGTATTCCGAAGTCTAAGAGAAAGAGAAATGGGGTTTATCGTCCACTCGACACAAAGTAGGTCATTTCGGGACTTGCGCGTATGGGTCTTTAGCAGTGGGGGGAAACCGGGGGACCCGGTGAAAACCCACGAGGTTGGACACAATGGCGGCGGCAAGGGGGACATTTGTCCCTCCCCCATAAATCTGGTCTGCCCTCTGTATGCCCCCCCCCCCTCCAATAATTTTAGAAAATAAAAAAAAGTATTTGTGGTAATCAATACCTTCTACGGTGAATAAATCCCACATCCCCACTCAGTCATAGACTTGCATGTTGTAGAGCATTTCCGACAGTCAATTTTTCAAAATTTTCTTGGGGAGGTCCCCAATACCCCCCACAAGGACTCGCTAGTTTGGCGCTCATAAGGGGAATTCGTTGAGGTTCGCAAGTCCGTTCGTTTGATATTTTGTTCTCTGGTCGGATAAACTAGTGATCAGGGGACGGACGGTATCTGGTCAGATCTATTTATCTCGACGATCGGTGCCTGACGGAATATTGTCAGACAGCATTTCCGGCAGTCTATTTTTCAATATTTTCTGGGGGAGGTCCCCCATACCCTCCGTAAGGACTCCATACTTTGACGCTCGTGAGTGGGCTTCGTCTAGGTTCGCAAGTCCGTTCGATTGACACTTTAACTCAACGATCAGTGCCTGAAATACTGCCAGGCTGCATTTCCGGCAACCTGTTTTTCAACTAGTTGAAGGTCGTGCCTTTGCCCCCTTAACCTTGGACTTTGCCCCAGCTTTGCCCCTCCAAGCATAGACGGCTGGCGCCGCCACTGGTTGGACAGGCGACCCTATTCCTTGTCACGTACAACCGGGGAATCGACACCACGCCAGCTGACTCAATGACAGACTTTATGATACAGCGCGCACGTGCTAACCATTCAGCCATCCAACCCCCACAAAATAGAACGTTATTGTGATTGTCTAAACAATATAAACTCATGTTTGTTCATTGTCTTCAAGCTCCAGGTCGGTCGAGATTTGCCAGCGTGGTTTCCCCCTTGTCAGTGTGCTGAACAGAGATCGTGTAAAGGGAATCGTCTAGTCGTTCGGATGGGACGAAAACGGATCGTGTCCACAAGATGGCATGCACATTAAAGAATCCTTGAGTAGGCCTAGGCGATAGCCCGGAAAAAAATTTCCCTAGAAATGTAGGACGCTACACCCCCCCCCCCCCCGGTGCAGGACAGAAGGCCTGAGAAGGAAAGCTGTCTTGTCGTTCGGATGGGACGATAAACAGCGTACACATTGGCATGCACGTATAAGATCCCTTGGCAGTTGAAATTCGATATCAGAGTAGGCCGTAGAACCGCTGTCCGGGAAAAATTTCCCTCATAGCACACTGTGTAGCAGCATCCATTAGCCAGTAGGTCGTTAAACCACATTTCGTTTCATTTTCAGTTCACGTTAATTTCGCCTTTGAATACGGCTAAAAAATTAAACTTAAAAGCTCTAAGGCAGCTTAACATAGGGGGGAATTTTATTCTTAACATTGCCTTTGAATTCCACTTACCCTTAACTTACAGGAAGTTAAATCTCCTTTGAATTCATAGGGGGGAATTTTATTCTTAACATTGCCTTTGAATACCACTTACCCTTAACTTACAGGAAGTTAAGCTTACGTTTGAATTCGGGCAGATCTAATACTGTTACACATAAAATTCGTCTACAATTAGTTGTTTTATTCACAGGGGCCACGGCAATCACGTCGACCAAGGGCTACGGTAGGGCCTACGGTGGCTCACTATTCACGGAGTAAATTCTGAGCTCAAAGAAGCATTTTTTTTTTTTTTGAAATCATTTAGTTTTATAAATCGAGTTCATGCTTTAGCTCAGAGGGACCCCAGAAATGGTTCCACTACCGATGCCTTCGGTCTTACTCCAGCCACAGTTTACATCGACAGTTTGTAGCTCAGAAGGGCCCGTGTGCAGAATAACTCCGGACAGAAAGCAACCTTCACCGATCATGTCAAGGCGTGGTTATCCTATTTAATTCCCACCTACAAATACATTAGTATTTCTATCCTGATAGCTAATGATAGCTCCTCCCCTTTTTGGTATTTTGAAGGATGGAATATAGCATGATATTTACTAATAGCTCATCTTTCCGATGTCTTGATCATCCAGTATTTCCTAATTTACTTGCGGTTAGATCTATTTGATAAGGTCAACTTCAAGTTTCGTCAAAGGTCACGAGACGTAAAACAGGGCTAGCGGGCTAGCGCTAATCTCAACTCTAACCGTAACCCTGGCCTGGCCCAAATGCTTACCCTAAACTACAATCTCGCCAATAATCACGTGCCCTAACCTTATTTACATCCCAGCGACCTTGATGAAAATTGAACTGGCCTTACCAAATAGATTTAGCCATTACTGGATGGCAAACAAGACTTATGTTTACAGAAAAATATCCAAGTAAAGAATTTCAGTGATCATTTTAATCGTATGAATCGAATTTAATTGTGAAAAAAAAAATATATAAACCGATGACATGTGTTCCATGTAAAATTATAAAATAAGAAAGATAAATTAATATCATTACTTCTTGAAATATTTCACTATTTCGTTTCGGATAAAACTATATCCCAATATTTTTACATCGACACGATATTAATGATGATTGGAAAAGCGTCTATGGTTGCAATCAACTATTTTGATTGAAAAAAAGTGCATTCAGTACACGTATTCAATGAATTGGGACATTTGTGTTGGGCTTTGATTTGTTGCCTAGGTATGCTTCTGTCAGATAATGCAATTTTCGTGATTTTGTTTTATGATATCGTTATTGCAAATGTGTGCCAAAATACGAGGGGAGTAGACCGAATAATGATTTCGTCTGACATTCTTTGAATCTTTTTCATTAACATTCTCAATGACAAAACAGTCTGTGCTTAAGAACATCAATTTTTCCAACCTCTTGCACTTGTCATAGCATTTCTTTTTATCCTAGATGCTTCAGAGTGTAGTTGCCATGCCATTTGACGTATTTTGTGTTGGCGTTATGTCTTATATTTATGCTATAGCTTAGGTAGGCTAGCCTAAGTCTTAGTCTTAAAGGAGCTAAATCGCTAACATTTGGGACCTAGAACTTGACAAAAGTGGGTCGCAACGCATATAATACTGTAATATGAATGTATATAAACTGATTGACATTCAATGGTTTCCGTTTTTACTTTAATTTCAAATCAGTTATGTTCGGCGAAATAAGCCAGCAGTCTCAAGCGAGTGCAAATTTCTAGCGTCTGGTTATTCCAGTCTACATACGCCATTTGATTTGGTGCAATGTGTCTAGCCTCGTCCCTCGAGTCTCTTGATACAACTGGGGCTGAAGCGCATTATGGTACACGATTCGTGTACCAATGGTAAAATGTTTATTTTGTCTTAAATATTGGATATCAGAGGCCCATCTTTTCCTGGTAAGATCACAACATGAATGTTGATTTAATTTGACAAATAATTTGTGTTTTCAATGTTGAAGATTTTGGATGATATTGAGTTAGAGACTTAGCTACTTTAACTCTTGCTTAAAATAGTGCTCATGACTCATGTTATTTAACAAAATTAGGTAGAAATTGTAATACATGTATGCTTTCTTGTTTGAAGTTTGTTACTAGCTATTGCTTCTCAAATAATAGGAATGAACACTTGAGTTATTATGGGCAAATAATACAGTGTTTCATTGTGTTTGGGGGATGATTATAGATATAAAGATTGTTCTTGATTCATACTGCATCTTTTTACGTAACCGGTATACTTCCCATGCAACACCTGTTTGCTTCCTTTTCTTGTTCAACAATTATGGAAATAGTTGCTTGTTCTTTTTGTATTACATTTGTTTTATGATTATGAAGTTATTTAGTTTTAATACGTTTGCATTATATATTCAGGTGCCCCATTAACCCCAATATGCACTAAGTTATTTGAAACAACATACGGGTACTTGAAAAATTGGTATGTTGTGATCCGTTAAGATATTATTTGCCTTCTCTAATCAGTGCAAAGTGACCACACCAAGCCAACCAAAACCATACATATACATGTACATATAAGCTTCTAGTTCTACAAGGAAATTGTAAGGCGTCCAAGAACCATCTTGATAGTGAAGTGCATAATTATCTGTAATTTTATTTTCAGATAAAACCCCCCAAGGGACACAGTGTTAATCTAAAAATAACACAATATGGAAGAAAATACTGACAAATCAACTGAAGATGGAAAAGATGAATCCACTCCTGATTCAACAAAAAACAGCAATAATGCTGATACACGTAATATTTTGAAATATTTATTATATGCTCAGTTCTATAGATATGTTCCTTCGAAGCTTAGTTTCATGTTGGTCATCTGGGAAATGCAAACATTGATCAAAATTTCTTATATCAAGGGTTGGGGAAGTGCACATGGATATGATCAATGGCATCACCTAGCTAATCTGGTTAACATTCTTACAATGGACGATGATAATCATATTTTAGTAAAAATGACTCTTATTAATTATACATATATTAAGCCTAACTTACAACCCGTCATACATGTTTTGGACACACACGGGTCGTAGGGTTTGGTCGCTCACAGTCTGGCCACAAGAAACCGAGTGAAAGTTTTGTAAATAGTATGGGCATAGTACTTGTCGTCACGTACAGGCTGCACATCTGACTTACTCAAAGCATGGGGGAAAAATTTTTTTGTAACTCTGTGGAAAACATAAATCTGACATACGTAGTTGACTTTTAAAATTAACCAGAAGTACGACCTGCACTTATTATGCACTTGGTTAGCATGTGATGAACGTGAAATACAAGGCAGTAGTGTGTATTAGTGTGTATTAATGTTTTGCCTCCCGCATATCGACCAAAAGAATTGAATATTTTCATTTAGTTTAAAACATGGGACCAAAGAAGAAGGTCTGTAAAAGTTCAACAAACTTAGTCGTGTCAGTATGGTGACAGCCATATTGCCATTAGTGCTTTCTGCAGTCATACATGTTAGAAAATCTCCCTATTATATTGTGCTGGTATGATTGTACGCCACACACACACCCACACACACAGCACCTACTAGCAGTTTTCATGACTTGATGCAGGTATACAACAGGAGTACCGACCTCGTACGTACTGTATGCCTTCACGATTTTTCACCAGACCTGTAGAATTTGCATGTGCAGGACCAAAAACACATGCAAGGGATGCTTAAGTCTCTCACATGGGATTACTAAATTTTCTCCCGTAGACTGCCTATAATAGCAAGTACAGTAAGTTGTGAGCTAGGCTTTAGCTATCAATATACACCTTCACGGTGTTTTGTCTTTGATGTTCCATAAACGATAATAGAGATATTGTACCGAGGATTGGGTGATCAGAGGGTGATATGTGATATCATCCCTGGGACGATATCCCATATCACCCCCTGATGACGTCATATTAAGCAAACACAGCAAATGAATTTTATTTTGTTATAAAGTTAATAGTACAGTTAGTAGCATAAATGATAGGATTAGAATCATTTTCTGTAGATGTTTGTAGACAAAACCTTTTTGCTAAATTTTCGGTCTGTTCTGGTGTCTTCCTCGCCTTTTACGTTTTTGCCCTCAACACTCTTACTGACATCGTTCTCACCATTTAATATTTCACTTATTTCATGTTTCATAGCACTTGGCTGGCAACAAGGAGTTCTTCGTCTGACTCAGTCATTGACAGCATTTTACTAGTGAACTGGTGAATGCATGACTAAAGTAACGCAGGTGTATTTTGAGTAGAGGTGGACAACAGTTCACTATTAGTATACTCATTCCAGCAGTGTTGTGTAGCCCTACATCATGCTAAAACAACACGGGACGATATGGATATGTTTATGTTGCTATATGAGGGTATGCTGACCACTCTGTCATTGAAGTAATGTCATTGTGTATGTCAAATAATACCCCACTAACCCTCGGTTCGATATTAGAAATATTCCGAGACCGAATTCTAATATCAATCTCGAAGTAGGGTATTATTTACTACATATAAAGACTTTCATGAAAGGTTTCTTTATTTATATTTTAATTTTTCTTATTTGATTTTGACAGATGAAGATGTGGATTTGGGTGATATATCACAGATGGATTCTGATGCAAGAAACAAATTATTTGAAAGAGGTTTAGATTTTGAGAAATCTGGCAAAAAAGATTGTGCTCTTAAATGTTACCTCGGCTGTTTGACATGTTTACAAGCAGATAGTCATTTTGTTCTTCTACCACAGTGCCTTAGAAATGTAAGCCATTCTTATATCATATTCAGAAATGTGTCACAAGTTTCGTGTTAACAAACAGACTTGTGACCACCTTGACACATTGAATTTTATTTTTATATTAGCTTTACATTAGTAATAATATAGTATTTGTATTCGCATACATTTATAATACCAACCTATTTCTATATGTGCAATTTTCAATAATACATCAGTAGATAATGACATGAATGACCAGTTTATTTACTGTGTGTCAATTCGACACAGCGTGTATTTTTAGCCTTTATCCAGTATACATGTACTAAGTGTTTATCCTAAGGGTATTGAACTTTATAATAATTAGATAATAATTTATTTCATAGTTTTAAAATAATTAAACTGTACTTCTTATTTCAGATTGCTGACATTTATTTTTCCAAAGAAGAATGTATCCTTTTGTTTAAGATGAACGGTTCAGGTGGGATGGGTGGCAGAGTCGTCTAGCACATGTACTTTAGATACACCGCGTTCTGTATCGTTGTGCTCTAACGTATTGTACAGACAAATGTTAATTCCTGATATTTTCTTGATTGCTTGTAAGATACATAACTTATATGAATTTATTTACCTTTACATTTAATTAGATGAAAAGGCCATCCTTTTTATACAGGCTGAAAAATTATTTTATGAAAATGCTTTAATTGATTCTACAGACATACAGGATACATTAGGTATAGCTTCATGTTAATATTTCTTTTTAATTTTCTGAACTTCTTGAAAATCAAAGCGGGATTAAAAAAAATCCGAATGTGCTGAATTTAGGAATCACAGTAGTCGATTGGTATAGTTAAAGTGTTAATGTGGACTGAGAAGAATTTTTCGATAAAAACTTCACTTGAAATGAAATGGGCAAAATTGTCTGCAGCAAATAAATTAATGAAGGCTTATCTGTTCATTCAGTATTTTTAAGGACATCTAGAGCTAAATGACACTGCTCAGAATTTCTTTATTATGAGATGCACACAAGTTACAAACTATCATCAAACTGTACACTGCGTCTATTGGAGCTAGTTTAAGATTCTGAATGTATTATACTTTTTCATTCGCCTGTTAATGTTATTAAATGATATAATGCTGGATGAATGGTCAATGGTTAGCACAAGCGTGATGTATCATAAGGTCTATCATTGAGTCAACTGGTGTGGTTTCGATTCCCCGGTTGTACGTGACGAGGAGTAGGGTCGCCTGTCCAACCTCGTGGGTTTTCTCTGGGTCCTCCGGTTTCCTCCTACTGCTAAAAGACCTCTACATGCAGGTGAATTATTGAAATAAAACTGAATCATTTGTTAGTCCCAAAATGACCTAGTTTTTGTCGAGTGGGCATTAAACCCCATTTCTCTCTCTCTAAGGATTTTTATACGCCCACATTTTATTGTCGTCGCCCCTGTTCATCCGTCCACAATTTGTTTGTGGACACTCTACAGGTCACAATTTTTATCCAATTTTGGCATGTATCGGACCATGACTTCATGGATTATGGCCCCTAATTGTACGAAAAATCACATTTTTAGCTCTAGAGGTCACAATTTTGATCTGATTTTGATGAAACCTGGAATGCATGTTTATAACCCAAAGATCTTGGTTCCTTTCAATATTCGCGCATATCGGATTGTAACTTCCTGAATTATGGCCCTTGATTGAAAAATCGCGTTTTTAGCGTGTGGTCCCTCTAGAAGTCATAGTTTTTATCCAATTTAAAAAAAAGGTTTACACCCTAATGATGGTTGAGTTCGAATTTCGTGAAAATTGGCCCAAAACTGCCGGCGAAATGGCCGTCCCTTGTACTCAAATAGTGTAAAATATGGTATATCAAGGTTGTGGACTCTCTAGAAGTCACAATTTTCATCCCATTTTGATGAAAATTGGAATGCATGGTTATGTCCCAAAGGGCAAAGATCTAGGTTCTTATCGATATTCGCGCATATTGGATCGTAACTTCCTGAATTATAGCCCCTGATTGTACGAGAAATTGCGTTTTGAGTTTGTGGTCCCTATAGTGGTCACATATTTTATTCGATTCAAAAAAAAAAAACGTGTGAATATATCACAGTTATGCACTAATGATGGTTGAGTTTGAATTTCGTGAAATATCGAAATGAAACTGCCCGACAAAATGGCCGTTCTTTGTACGCAAATTGTGTATAAGTATGTAATACAAAGGTTATGGACACCCAGAGGTCACAATTTTTATCCGATTTTGATAAAACTTAAAACATAACTTTATATTCCAAAAATCTCAGTCCCTTTTGATATTTGCGCATTTCAGACCATAACTTTCTGGATTATGGCCCCTGATTGTTCCAAAAATCGTTTTTGTTTTTGGCTTGTTCTCTATCTATCTCTTGCAAAATGTTGGCGTATCCTGTCTGGCAGCCGCTGGTTCATTATATATAAAATATTCATATGGTGCCTAAAACAAGTGTTCGGGAAATCAGTCTCTTATAATAACGCTTTGTATCATTGTCCAATGTATTACATAGTAATAGTTAGATGGTTGACTGAGAATATTATAGTCTTGAACCACTTATGATAAATATCTCGTATTAAAGTGATAAACAATTGAACTAAATATTTGGGAGACAAAATAGTGGTTGTATTTTCAATCGTTCTTGTTTGTATTACAGAGGAGAGCCAAAAAAAGCTCCCCTCAATCAACGAATTGAAAAAATCGCTCCCCTCAAAAAACTCTCCAAGTTTTGATAAGAAGAGTGATTTAGAAATTAAGGAGAGTGATCTGATATTAAGGAGAGTGATTAGTTATGTGCATGGGAAATGGTTATAAGATCAATAACTGTGTGTAATTGGCTCATTCCTGGTTTCATAAATGATAATAAACCCCCAATGACTATATAAAGGAGAGCGATTTTCAGTTTTAAGGGGAGGGAAAAAAAAACCTCCCCTCTGTCGACATTTAGGTGAGCGGCAGGTGCTCGAGAGCGATCGCTCGTCTTAAAAAACAGTGACTGTATTTCTAGAAATATTAGTTGATCGTATGTATTGCATGAATTTAGCTTTGAAAGTACATGTGTGGGTTATTAACTATGTGATAGTTACTATGCTGCCAGTAGTTTAAAATTTCAACACAGACTGCATAATTTTTTTGTCCCATCTGAATGAGTAGACTTATTTTCAAGCATCACTCACAAGGAGAAACCAGAATTCATTTTTAAAAGTTTACCCAATCTTAAACCAAACTATTTTTTTCACTCAGAAAAATTAAGACAAAGTGAAAAAGATGACAATAGTCCAAAGGTTGATGAAAACAGTGTTCGTGCAGATGAATTTGAACATTTAGCAAAATTATGTATGGATCAAAATCAGTGAGTTTATTTTATTTATATGTCACTTAAACTTAAACGTATTTCGAAATAAAAGCATAGTGGAAAAGGTTGTCTTTGAAGTTGCTATTACTTTTATGATTGGAATTCCAGTGCTATAACAAGACAATTATTATTATCGCATGTCGAACGAAGTTAGGGAGGGATATTTCGTTTCTGGAACATATCTCATACACCGTTCAAGATATCGTTTGGAATCTTTGTACACACACCAACCTATTACAGTAGTTGTCCCTTTTGCTATTTAGGAATTTCTGGGGTTTATATTTTTTGTGTTTCCATGGAAACAAATTTGACTTAGTTTTTCGTTTACAATTTTATTTATGGAGCATATCTCATAAACCCTTCAAGATATCTTTGTACAAACATCAACCTGTGATTGTATTTGTGCCTTGATTAGAAATTTGTCGAATTTAATAACGTTTGTGTTTCCATGGAAACAAATTTCTCTGTTGAATGATTTTTGAATATACTACACATTTGAATTAGTTTTTGGTATATAATTATTATTCAAGAGCATATCTCAGAAACTGTTCAAGATACCTTATATAACACTTTCCCATTCATCTACCTATTATTTTAATTTCTGATGACCGTCCTTCCGTCCTGATTTCGTTTCCGGAGCATATTTCATTAGCTGTTCAAGAAATCTTTTTGAAACTTTGTACAAACATCAACCTATTGTAGTATTTCATTTTCTGACGTATAAGCTTATTGTTTAACATACAGTAGCTGATTGAGGTAGGCAAAGGTTATTGTGCAAACCTTACACAAGCGACCCTTCCTTGCCGAGTATGTATCTTCTGACGAGTTCCATTGATATTTCAAGATGTTGTTTGTCCTTATGCCTTCCAAACAAGTGCAAGGACACGAGACGGTGAGGACTAGTCATCTTGTTAATATTATTCCACGGGAGAGACTGTCTGTTTATGTATTTCTGCATTAAAAAAGTCATATAAGTACATATAATTTATTTGACTAGGCCTTTGTAGTAATTCATAAGGGATTGAGAGTCACAAGTTGCTAAAATCACAACAAAAAAGAATGTTTTCTGGAAATTGGCATTATTAAGTTTTGGAATTAATGATATTGTGTTTGAGTTCTTGATGCATGATAAAGTTAATGAGTTATGGGTTTACAAAATTAATGATTAATGATATATTTTATTTCAGACCTCATTTAGCATTAGAGTATGCTGGCAAAGTAAGTTTCTAGTTATAAAATTCATTTTAAACATTTTAGTTTTTGCCAATTAACAGTCCATTCAAAATTTACAAAATTAACCTTTCAGACTCTACAAACCATTATAGAGTTCTGAGAAAGTAGCTTCCATTGTGTTTAGCAATTGCTTGGCAACAATCTAGACAATGAATGACATCGTTACTTCCTGTTTATTGTAACAGCTGCATATAAAAATAAGGTTTTGAAATAATGTGTAAGCTGTATAAACTTTCAGATATTACTAGTCAGCTATTTAGTGATTTGGCTGTTATAACTTTGGTTCTCCTGAACTTTTAGCAAAGAAAATGAGTTTTCTTCCAAGGGAGATGTATTGATTGCTAGTCATTGGATGACAATCCCTTATTTAATAAAAATGGAAAAAAAAATGTCAAATCAAATAACTGATTTCGGGTGCAAAGAATAATATGATATGACACTTATGTTTATTAAAATTTTATTTTTATTTTATATTTATTAGATATTTTACAGCATGACGTATTGTAGGGGGCCCCATGCAGCGAAAATTTTCCCTACTGTAAGATGAACTCGACATGACAAATGTTATTGTTCACACTTGAGTGGCTTGTCTCGAAGAGATTTCTGGCTAGTCATGCGGTGCGATAGCACTCGGTGCAAGAGTCTATGAGTCTAAAAATAGCCATCGCACATGAAATTCTCTACACATCTATCAACTTTTACAGTCGTAAAAAGTCTATTGTTGACAATTCTGAATAGCAGTAATAGTTAGCTTTTTGGTTATTACAGCAGCTTAAGAAATGACGTTTATTTTATTTTTTAAATTTTTTAAATAATATCTCGGAAACACTCGGGTTAAGCAAGAGAGAGAGAGAGAAATGGGGTTTAACGTCCACTCAACACAAACTAGGTCATTTTGGGACTAACACATGGTTCAATTTTATTTCAATATTTTGCTTACGAGTAGGGGGCTTTAGCAGTGGTAGGAAACCGGTGGACCTGGAGAAAAGCCACGAGGTTGAACAGGCAACTCTATTCCTTGTCACGTACAACCGGGGAATCCAAACCACTCCAATGACAGACCTTATGATACAGCGTTCACGTGATAACCATTCGCCCATCCAACCCCCCTGGGTTAGGCAAGAACATGATTCCAGCAGTAGTTTCATTTAACTTTTACAAGGTTCTTAAAACATTTGTTGAGTTGCCTAACGTATGTGTTTCTAAATTCAATTTCTTTTTCCAGCTTTCTGTTATGTTTCGTAAAAAAGTAGTCTTGATTATCCCGTCCTGTCAATCAGACAGAGAATGGTCAATAGACTGGTTAAGCGAGACTGATTTCAAAACAAGGGCATGCAACTTATTTTTTACTTAAAAGTGCCCGGATGTAATGGCCGACACTCGTAACCATTTTTAAGTCTAATATTTATCGATGGTTAAATGGTCATAGCTATTAAGTACAACATGACCGTTTATTTAATGACTACAAATGTGCAAAACTAATTAAAGGCTTGGAATATATAAATATTGTCGTGTAATTGTTGAGATATTTGTAGATACTTATTTATGGTGGGCACCCTATATATTGATCAAGTATTTTCTACTATTCCTAACTTAACATGTTTAATGTTGTAATATCTCATGTTTAGGCAACAAAAATTCGACAACAGATATATGGAAATGACCACAAGATAACTAAAGATAGTCTGGATTATTTTGCAACACTTTATGCAGAAGTTGGAAGAAAACAGTATTCAGGTAAGAATTTTAAAAATGATCGCATTCCTAATTAACATGGCCACCTATAAAGAGATTGATAGATATTACATAATGTATTGTACTGTTTACATTTAATATAAAAGTTATATGCAGATCATTTATACTTTAACAGATAGTTACAAGGAAAAAACTCTGATGAATATTTTTAAGAAAGGTTATTTAAAAATATGTATTTAATTTATTTCAGATTCCATGACTCATCTGTCTCCAAATACGTCCAGAAGAGAATCATTGACAAATGTGTCTCCCCCCTCCATTTTGCGTCAACGTAACATCATGGAAACATCTGATGGTAAATTCTTTCAAAACTTGATTATATAATAGTTATTCTATAAAGGGCAAAGCTAATAGGGGTTTTTGTAATTTGAAAACCCCTGGTTTTCTCATTAATGTATTTCAGTTTAGTATTCTGTATTTTGTAAGAATCAAGATTTTTATAGAACTTTATGCAGAGAAAATCAAATCCAACAAGGAAATACATGGATATTATTTAAATTCCCCTCCTTGATGATTTTATCATTAGCTTATTACTATGCTGCTATATATAGACCTCTGTAATTGATATGTCAGATAAACAAAATTGTTTAATTATTTGTAGAGAGAGAAAAGAAATGTGTACGATTTAATGAACATATTGAAAGAAGAGTGATATATGGTAAGCAGAGCTTTAGTTATCTTATTAGAATTTATAAAATCTATAATTTTAAAGAGATATTTTATTGTAATTAATGTCCAACTTTTCTTCACCAACCAGGTTAATGATGATGGTTATGATTAAGAAGAATATAACCAAAATTGTAGGTTAGAACATTAAGATGCCTAATGATTGAGAATCAAATTATAGGGGATAATTTTCGGGACATTTTTTTTTTTAGAAGTCTTGGTTTGGCATAATATTATGGCATAATATATTAAGTAAAACACTTTTTCTAAAAATTATTGTCATACTTTTTTTTCAGAAGACAATTTACCAAGAAGTTTAACAGTTATTGCCATATTATTTGGTTTCATTGTTTTTCTGATCATGGGAACTTGGCTTTTCTGTATCATGAGAAATGATCATGTCTGCCGCTCTTTTTCAGCAGAAGTGCAATATATTTATACCAGACTACGATATCTTTACTATCATTATACAGGTAACAAAGTATATAAAAATTGAATGAGCTGACCTCTGCTGATTGTACAACATGTACTGGTTGTTTAACTTAAGCTCATAAAATCAGTTTTATTATACTTGTAGTTCATTTGTTTACATCAGTCTAGGACATGCCCTACATTGTCAATGCCGCACAAAAAAATAAGAGTTTTGTCAAGATTGTTTCTTTTAGGAGAAATGGACATCAATTGCACCTCTAAAACATTTTTATTTTAGTTTGTCATTAATGAAATAATTAGAGTATTCTCTATGTTTTTAACTGGTAATGAAAGAAAAACTAGGGTATTATGAATATTTTGTCAACCATTTAAGATTTACAGACAAAAATCAAGCATGTTGTATTGATAATGAATAAAATTGTTGCATGTCAGTACCAAATAGTTGTCAAACTCAACATAATCATGTGTAGTATCAGAGTAAATATTTAGAATAGGAATTTAAATTATAATAGACCTGTAGTACTTACATTTGGATCCAGGCAAAAATACATTTCATAGATAGTATTAGTGACTGTTGAAATGTGGTTTAATGTTGTGTGTTTCCATTTTCATTTTTTAAAGTATCAATTATGACAAATATTTAGTATGCAAATCAACACAGGGCATAAGTGGTTTTTTTAGTTGATATATGGTAACTACGTTTATTTTGATATATGTTTCTATGAATTTTAAAGGTATTTTTTTTATTATTTATAATTTTAAAAAGTAAATTGTATGGAAAGCCAAGACAGATGTTTAGTTGTGATTCATTTATAGCTAGATTTGTTATACTCTGAGTTTTTGTAATATTTATTTACACCTTAGAAGTTCAAATAAATCAAAATATTAGCAAAATATTGTCATCTGAGCACCAGTTTGTAATGCTGTTGATGAAATTCTGATTTTGGTGAAAGAACCTTTAATGTCTTAGTAATTAATCTATATTTTAAACCATGTCAGTGTCAAATGTTTTGTTTAGAATTTGAAAGATATGAGAAAATGGAAAGAGGTTTCATCTGATGGACTAAAATAAATTAATCATTTCATTTTAACTGCATGTATTTATGTATGTGGTGGAATTGTTGTATTGTATATTCTAGTATTTATATAATTAATATCATTAACCCATTGTCAGATATCTACATATAACTACAACTAAAAATTATACCTATCTCTTTACTCAAATTTATCTTAGAGGAGGTTACATGAACACTAAGAATGTCAGTTTAAATTATGTGAAGCCAATTTGTAACAGGCTTAAGTAAATATTTATATTTTAAATTCTTTACATCTGTTTATATCTCAAATTGCTATCCTCTTTTGCTGATAACAGACTTTCAGATTCTATAAACAATTTTCGTTGTGTTGATGATATGGCTTTACATTTCACATCTTATTATAGGTTGGATTTTATAACAGTATATGTTTAACACATACTTGAGATGATTCTCGTAACAAAAACAAAAGCTATGGATATGAAATTTTTTATGTGAAAGTAACCAATAATATAAACATTGAGTCAGTTTTAATCTAGTAAATGTTATTTATGTCAACAACTGATGCTTTTCAATAACCTCCTTTTTGATCAGATGAAAGAAAATAATAACATTTGAACTTCCTGAATAACTCAACTGAGAGATGGTATTGGGAGTTCTGAAAAGAATAGAATATATACTCTAATTCTTGCATTGCACCAGTCATTACTTACAGCTAAATAACAATACCTGTACATCAGAAGCCCAAGAGAGTTATGTTTTCATAAAAATGACTTCATTACCACAATTAAAAAAACCCAGCCTTTTTCTAATACACTGGATTTGAGTAAATAGATAAAAGGAGTATATAGATATTTGATAATGTCATTATAATGTTTTTGCTCACTTTCTAATATTATAAAAGGCAGCCAATGATTGTAATTTAACTATGATTTAGTTGTTTTATATATAGTGTTCTAGCTAAGCTTCTATACCAATAAAAGATTGGCAATATCTATGATGACTTATGTGATAATTTATTTAGCTGCATGAACAAATAGCAGTGTTTTATTATTTAATTTGTATAATAATGTTTTTGTATTTAACGCAATGTTTCTATTGATGAAATTAGTTGATTAAGTGTTCATATTACAAATTATGTTTTTATCATAATATTTTATACTAATGGTTGATAATAATTGAATGTGATTGTTTGTAATTAAATATTAATCTGTTGTATTGTGAAGCTGTCCCAAATTGACAAAGTCAGGAATCTCCAGTATGTCATCCAATTGTTTTTTGTAAAGTATACAGTACTGGTATGTCCAATATTTGCATACATGTATAGAAAATAGATCCATCATGTTCGTATATGTTATAACTTGTCCATGACAATCTACGTATTACCTATAAGTTTGTACCAACTGTATTTTTGTGACATGAAATGTTGGTTATGTTTTGTACTTATTTTGATGAAAATTTAGTGTAAACATGATATCATTATGTTTATAAATGTGACTATTTTATTGTCCAGGACCCTGTTGAACAAAGCACACTTCAGACTTGCATACATGTGAATTAAATATTTTACTATAGAGCTCTATTGAACGTATGTGTATGTCATTTGATGTAAGCTTGGTATAACAGGCTCCTGCATGTTAAGTCACGGGTACTTAGCTGAATTTAAATCGGTACCAAGTTTATGATGTAAAGAAAATGTCTACCTAATGCAATAGAAATAGTTTTTGTGAAGGGATAGATATTGTAACAGCCAAATAGAGAATAAGGCTTATTTCAAAAAGAATACAATTATTTTCAAATATGCTGGTATATTTGTTTACCTATTTTATGCATAAGGTAATGTAAACCATCAAATGTATATTAAAATGTTTACAAAGGTGATTGTTGATTATTACAGAAAAAACGAGTTTGTCCAATCTGCTTTTCTAAGGATAGATAATTTGAAGAAACTAGAAGAATACAAGTAAACAATAATGTCTCTTTCAATGTTATGGTTCCTACTTGAATTGTGATAAGATCAGTATTACCTATTGTATATTATTGTTTGTATATTTATTACTAGGTTATCCCATTGATATCTGGAGAAATAAATGAAATACATTACATGTCACCAATGAATAAGAGTGTTTTGACCCTTTAGAGTCTCTGTCATTTGAGAGGTTGTTAAATCTCTAAAAGGAATATCAGTCCAAATTAAGGTTGAACTCCCTTCGGTATTTACAAAGATATAATTAATTAAAAATTTGTCAACATTCAGCATAGTCATCACAAGCCAGCACTACCTACGACTTTCACTATCTTTTTATGGGCCTCTTATTAATTCAACTGAATTCAAATTGAAAAGTTATCTGCTGCTGATACTTTGATTTTGTTTTTTTAATTAAATGTTACATAATCAATGTGAGTACATATTTAGCTTGAATTAGGATGAGGAAAATTCAATATTTTTTGAAAATGCAAATGCCATACAGAGACTTTAATTGATGTTTGATGAGTAACATTAATGTTTATAAATGATTAGTTACTTCTTCAAAAAATATTTCCATTTCTAAGCAAATACTGAATTTGTTACCTGTCGACTTGAGAATCTCAAGCATATGGTGTTTACAAATTCTGTAATACATTTGTTAAAATTATATGCAAACACTCTATTACAATTAATTAATCAGACTAGAATAAAAGTGTTTTTTGCTGTTTCAAATTATAACATAGTGATACCTGCTAAATTTCCAAACAGGTTGCCCATTTTTCCCATCTGGACAATAGTTACAAATAAATATAAGTTGTGAAATCGGCATGCTTCAATGATACCCAAATTCACCAGTAGAAAACACAACTTAACAATGATATTGTCATTCTCCTTGTTTTATCCTGTGAATGTCTACTGTCTTTGAATGTAATCAGCACTAAGTGCGAATAACTATTAATAGAAGAGTCAGACATGACAGTGTATCTATGGGATAGCTATGTAATTTTGTTATGCTGTAGTACAGTATTATATACAGCTGATCGGGTGATGCAATCATTACTTAATACATTTATAAATTATTTACATTTAATGAACCAATGAAATTTTGATTTTCCTGTCAAGGGGTATAGTGTTACTAATATTTATTTATGTTTGAATAAAAAAAAAAGTTTTCATCGAATCTATAGTGTTTCTGTTATTTACTTATTTCACCCCATTCCTGTTATGATTCTTGCAGAATATTAAATAACTGGTGGAGCCATCTCAAATAGATTTTAGTGATTACTTGAACCTACTGTTATTGACCAATACACAATTGTATACTGCTTCTTTAATACTTGTCACATAAATGGTCATAGGACTTCCATTAAATTGCATTGTCTTATTTTGATGAATATTTTAAGTGGCATTTGATATTTTGAGCTCTCCAAAAGTTGATATAAAAATAATTTTCAATTTGATGTTATTTTATTATACAAGTACATAATGTAAAATATGAGTGGTTACATTAAAACTTTCAATTTATAAGTCATACATATTTTCTATACACCCTCATTTCAGAACAGTAGGGCAAAGACCTGCAATAGGCAGATTTGGCTCTTACTTGATGTATCTTAAAACTTCTCTCTTTAGCATACTACGACAAGGACTGTGCCCTTTATGGTTGGATTTACGGTTTGTTGATTTTGTATTCTGTAATTAAGGTCGTTAAGGACATTTAAAGTCTTTTTTTGTTTAAATGCCTGAACCAGCAATTATGTTAACAAGTCACTTGGAAAAATCCCCTGAAGATTTCATTTCTGCTTCTTTGGTCATAGTCGGTGAAAAAAGACACAAAGGATATTTTACTTTCATAGACAGGCCAGTCTACACATTCTGCTTGTTTATTGGTTCGTGAAAGACTAATTGTAAATGGGTCTTTCTAGAATATATCCGGATGTTTCTAGTTTATGCACAAATTTACCGAGTAGCACTCTTACCAACTCATCAAAAAACATGGTAAATTCAAGACTAAAAAGGGCCCCCAAACTATGTAAGAACATTAAGGTTTTTAAGGGGGCCCCCAAGCCTATCATACTGACAAGCTCCTTTGCCGTCCATCCCTGCTACTCAGTATTGAATGAATGAATGAAATGGTGTTTAACACCCTACTTTTCTGCTCCAACTAGGTAATGAAGATAGGCATATGCCATGCAGAGTGCTATGAGGAAAATTTGGCCCTGACAGCAACTGAATTCCAGATGTCGAGGGTTCTTTTATGTGCACACCAAGGTGTACACTGGATCTAGGTTTTTCAGTCCCATCTGAATGAATAGACGCTTTTCCTTGCCAGGTCCTCGTCATGCACCACTGACATGGGGAAACCATGCTGGAAAATCCTGAGGAACTATCTCAGCCACTAGATAGAACCTGGGGCCTTCAGGTTAGCAAGTAATTGAGCCTGCTTGTAGTTCCTGAATTTTGGATAGTTCCCTTTACTTTCTTTTTGAAAGTGATAATGTTTGTTTAGAAATAAATTATGAACACATGCTTAAAAAATAAAATCTTTAAACTTAAAAATACATATACAAAAATTTATAATAACAAAAATGTGTGTATTGTAATATGTCAACTTTTGTAATATTCAGCTAAAGTAGGAGACAACTTGAAGGCTTTTCTATACAGCTCTGCTGCTTCTAAACAATCACCACATGCCTGTAATACAAAGTTCAATATTAAATAGAAAGTAAACACACAGTTTTATAAAGTTAGTTGACTAACACGAGTTGATAAATCTATAAATGGTACATAGTCAGTTAGCTTTGCTGGAAAAAAGACTTTAGTCAGGAAGTGGGCATCTTCCTGTTTCAGAAAGTCTTCCACAAATTAAGCACTGTCAGGCAATCTGACTTTTTGGCCAGACAAGTAAAGTGAACAAAAATTAATATATCATCTGGTTTTCCAAATAAAGTGCCTGAAATCTAATAAAACACTAGTTTTACTTTTCTTTTAATTAAATACTGTAAACATGTACTGAATGGACTAGGGATTAAAGCATTTTGTCTGGAGCCACAATCTGATCATCCTCCGTATCTCCAGTGGTCTCAATTCATTCTACTCCACTAAGCTCTGGGTTAATCCATGTGGGCGGGGGCAAATATTCAAGTTACCTGCCCTTGATGATTGTGCTATTTTTATCGACTGATCACATAAATCATTAATTGCAAAGGAAGTTGATGCAGGGAAGTAACTCTCATTGTGTTGCAACAAGCCGACATATTGTTGTGAACATAAACAACATGCTGTGGACTAAATGATTGATTGGTTATTTGGAATTCAGGTCAGCCACTTAAGTTAGGTTATATTAGACCCCCCCCCCCTAACATTAAGTAAGGTAACTGCCTCCCTTAATTTCCAGACAAAGTGTCTGAATCTATTGTTATGACTGGAAGGAGGTTAGCCGATTCAAAACAAGCCAGGTCATCATTGATCTTCCAACAAGCCAGGTCATCAACACCAACAAAAATCAACATTCAAATACTTTTTGATGTAATGATGTCATTTAACTCTTCATGGAAAGCTAGATCTAGTTTAGTTTATCTAAATTAAAAGCTTGTCAAGTGAGATTTTTAAAACAGTGGATCTGTGCATCTGCCAAGCAATATACAAAAGACAATCTATGGATGTTCAAAACATGTTTTAAATTCCTCAAACCTCTTTTCTTTCTGCTTCTTGAAGCATTTCAAATGCCTTTTCTTCTGCCTGTACCAACTGAACCTTATCCTGATTTTTATACATAATATCAGTTCTAAGTATGTACTTGACACCATCTCTACATAAAATAATACAAAATTTAATGTTCCAAATGGATGAAAAGTTGGCAGTATTTTTCATAAAGTGTTGTTTCCTTAAACCTAATATTTACTATTGATTGTAGTCAAAAATAATAGCTAGACAATCTAGAAGTTTTATTTATAATGAACTAATCTAACAGAATACTATATTTCAAGAAAAATAGACAAACTTACCCTCATCTGAGAATTTGTGAAAGCAGAGACTTAGACATTGCTTTGGAAGGATGACCAAAGATAAACAGTCGTTGAGAGTCTGTCTTAAAATAGCATTCCTCTAAAATTTATCAAATACTTTTGATCTTTATCTTCAAATATATTGTCTAACTAGCAGGATACGATGCCCCGGGGCCCAAATTCAATGGCCTAAAAGATTCACAGGGTCATGCTGATTAATTTGATACCACATATGTGGCGTGATGGGCGAAAATACACACATACATACATACACACTTTTATTTATATAGATACCTACCCTAGTTTTTGACCTTCATGCAAACGATGATGATTAAAAATAATTCCCAATCCACTTTTAGGTTGAATTCTATAAATAATATTTTTATCTTCTGCACAATATTTACCATCTACTCCCTGTAAACAAACAACATTATTCATTCATTATTCTTTCTTATTACATTATTCATTATTCTTATTACCTATTTCAACACACGCAAACCTTAACAAGTTGAGTTAGGTCCCCTGTATTATTATATCGGTGATAGAGCTTTCACAGTAAGGATACACACTAAAAAACAAAAGAAACGTCAGGTTGGTATGTTACTCTGAATAGACGCATTGCATAAAACTTTCCAAATGTTTTCATTGTATATTTGTGACCACATCTCCAACTTAACCTGAGCAATAAGGCTCCTTCCCAAACACAGAATTGAACCCAGGAAATGTTAGACCAAGGGTTACCACAAGGCTACAAGACCGCCATGTTGTGCGACAGCACGTGCAGAATCCCTTCACACAGGCATCTGAGACAGCACGTCAGACAGTGGGAACACACAGAAGACCTATCAGTTCCGATACAGTCCACTGACTGCTCACCAGAGGGAACATCCATTGCCGTAGACCTTACTGTGGACCGATCATCAACCCTCGCCATCAACGTGAACGTCTACAGTTTGCCCAACAACACCTGAACTGGTGACACAGGCAATGGAGAACTGTTCTGTTCACAGATGAGAGTCGGTATTGCGTATCAACTGCAGATGGCAGGACCAGAATATGGCATCGACGTGGCCAGCGTTATTCTCACCAATGTTTGGGATGGAATCGGCCTGAACCAGAGAGTGGGTCCTGTGGTGTTCCAAAAACGTGGTCCAGAGAGAGGAGGCGGCATCACAGCAGTGGCTACATCGATCAAGCTCTCAGACCCCACGTCATACCACATTTCGCACGTCATCGAAACGTTTTCCAGCATGACAACGCACATGCCCACACCGCCAGAGTTACTTGTGACTTTCTACAGCAGAACAGTGTCAACGTTATGCACTTAGTCCGGACTTAAACCAGAATGAATATCTTTGGGATGAAATTCAGAGGAGACTAAATAGCGTTGTACCGAGACCAAACACAGCTGATGGATTGCGCCAGGTTTTTCTGAGAGTGTGGTTCCAGGTGCCAACGGCGTTCATCAATCGTCTGGTCCACACCATGTACAGACGCTGCGCTGCTGTTATTGATATTCGCAGTGGACACACCAGATACTGATGTATAGACTGTGCACAGACTCTAAACCCTCACGTAATGTCTTGAAATTGTGATGAATTAATCACTAATGTGTCAACATACTGTTCACAAAAAATTGCTTTAATCCATTTAGTAAGTCGTTTTCTAGAATGATTTGATTAAAGTGCCTCTCTGATTTTGAAATCGTACTAACGTTGTTTTTTTTGCTGTTTAGTATATTACAGTGAATGCAACATACACACATATTTATCAATCAGAATGAAATCCTACTGACATGATTGATGTTCAAACTTAGTTGAGTAATTATGATAATGAAAATATACTCTTAGTTTTATCAGCCAATCAGATAAGCTAATTTTATATGTATGGAGGGCACAAATGTTCAAACTTAGACAATTGAATGTCATAATAAGGGTATATTTTATTCTGTTCTTTACTGCATTTCGAAAGACCAACCAATATGATGGTGATGTTCAAAACTTACGGGAGAGATTTCGATAATGAAGATATATCAAAATCCATTTACTAGAAATAAAGTTATATGTTTTTCTGGATATACCAAATTTAATTGTCTTCCTTTCAATAGAAGGCAAGGGACGACAAGGAAGCAATAAGGATGCGGAAAATAGCTGTAATCAAGGAGTCTACCAGCAAATCAAATGCAGTTCTCGTTAATTACCGGTAGTATATATTCTAAAATTTGGAATGGATCTGAAATTCAAATTTAATTTGTCATGTAAAAAGCACCATACTATAAGGCTACCTTATGCAATTCTTGGGCTTCATCAACAAAATTTGTAGAACCGCCACTAAAATCACCATTTAAATATAACATTAATGTTTGTAAAGATCTTTCACTACTTGATCGACCAAAAAATCCATCATAATGTGGTGCAAAATGTCCTCCAGGAAAATACCTACATAATCTTAACACCTGAAAAGCAAATATTTGAATTCATGTTTTGTTTTTAGGTATGAAATATTTATAATGATATACTACTGTCAAAATACCTTTTCATGATTCTAAAGAAACATCCTTTACTACTGAGGGAGAATCTGGCATCTACACAGGGGCAGAGACAAGAATTTTGTAAAGGGGTGGGTGGGGCACAAACAAGCTTCATGCCAAGCAAAGCGAGGCAACAAAATTTTTGATCTTATGTGTTTTCAGAGAAAACAACCACGGCAAAGAGGACTAAAAAAGTGCATTTTGTCACTTGTTATATTTAAACAATTTTTTCCATTTCATATGTTCAAGCAATATAATAATCAGTCTGTAGCATAGTTTATTACTGATATACATGTGGAAACACCTATCATTCCTGGCAAAGAGGTATAAGAAAAGAAAGAACCTTTAGCAGACCCAGCTCATTGAAGCTTGATATATACAAATATATTTTAACGTTTTTACATAATAAAGGACATGAGATTTTATAACATTTTATATAAAATTATATAATGACATATAAGCAGGAAGTTAATTGCATATTTATGTGTCCCAACCAGTCAAGAAAATGTGGTATATGAACTGGTTAGAATTCTTTGAGGCTTGAGATTATATCTTTATATGTATAACGACCAGCCGAGCCGAGCGTTTTGAAATTTTAAAAAAAAAAAATAAATAATAGTTAAATTCTAATTTTCCAATTGATCGGTCCCACCCCAAAACGTTTTGAGTCCTACTTAGAATCCTTCAAACCAAGAAAACAAGTGGAATTATAAAGTTATATAACTTCAGTGTGGAGTTGACTTCAGACAACAATATTTGGAAACTTACATTATTTAATCCACAAGGTTTCCACAATCCTTGTAAAACAGATGTTATACCATGTATATGTTGCTGATCATGATCTCCATCTATTTTTATATCACCTAAATATGGTTGTATTCTCTTCCACAGTATATCATTTAATGTTTGATTTTCTAGAGTAATTCTAAAAGGAAAACAGGTTATGAGGAAACAAAGATATACACAAAGGCAGTAGGTGGCAGTAATCGTTAAGAAAACAATAGGTCATTCCCTCTCAATTTAGAAATATCTCATAAAATGTTAAATAATACTGGATATAATCATAATAATATTAAACAAGGTCAATTTGAAAGAGACTTCCTTTTATCATGGTACACACCCACTATAAATTTCAGCAAGAATGGATATGACTGATTTATCTTATTCTCAATCAATTATGAAAGGATTTAGATGAAATTTATATTAGGGGCATGCACCAAAAATAATAGAAGTCATCCTTAGGGTATAAGGAATAAGTATGAAAAGTTTTCAAGACTATTTCTTAAGAAATGCGGCCTATATGCGACACACACACAAAAAAAGGGCGTGGCTCTTCCCCTTGGGAGTTGGTCATGCACCACAAACAATAGGGATGTTCCTTAAGGTATAAGGAATAAGTATGCAAAGTTTCAAGATGATACACTAAGAAATGAAGTTTGTAGATGACAAATAAAAGAAATCAGCGTGGCTCTGCCCCTGGGGGGTCAGGCATGCACCAAAAACAATAGGGATCATCCCTAGAGTATAAGGAATAAGTATGTAAAGTTTTGAGACGGTCAGTTAAGAATTGCAGCCTCTATAAAAATGGTTACTTGTAAAGGTTTTTTCCTTCAGTGTGCCCATATTTATATTTCATGTAGCACATAGCTGATCATGATTCATACTAGTACATAACATTTGGGAAATATTCCCCTTTTTCTTCAGTTGCTCTCCTTGTTAGTTGGTTTTTCACTGAGAAGTCTGTATCACTACAGGCTTGAGGCAGTACAGCACAGTGGACGCTTATGGCTATTCCCCGGATCGATTCACTTGATCCAATATGTGCGTTTGTTGTGTCTTGTCCATAGGTTTGTCTTGTGTAATTATGTGTGGTGCAGTTCCCCTGCACATACTATTACCATACCTTTTACAGCTTCTGTAATTATCATTAGCCCCATGGATAGAATCAAATCCAATTTCCTCTCCTTTCTTTATTATATCTTGACATTCTAATTCACTTAACAGATTACTTAACAAGAAACCTTCTTTTCCAAAGTCTAATATATCCATTTTTTCTATATTATTTTCATTAAATCTCTCATCTTTTCTAAAATCTAAGATCTTAAGCTCTCCAGCATCAAATGAAACCTGCCCATCAGAACTGGAACCAGCCTCACTTTTTGGTGTATATACCGCCATGATTCCTTTTGATATCCCTGCTTCATATCTAAGTAGTCACAGTACCGGAACTTTTACTTTGTATTGCACAAGATGATGGAAATAAACCGAAAAGTTCTATTTATAGTAACATACAGAGTTACCTCCCATTCATTAGAAAACCAACACTATAAATCAAGTACTGGAAGAAATCAATTACAAATTCATTTTTCATAGTTTGGTTTTATTCAGTATCATACAGTATTCACACAAACATTCACATTTATTATTTTTTTTATATACATCATAATCTAATGGAAATAGATTCATTTATTTACAAGGAAAAAATAATATACCTCCTTTTAATATTTATACATAAATACAAGTTGAAAAGAAAGAACTTATATTAAATATTTAAATAATTATCTCAGCTTTTTTTCCCAAATAGTTTAAAGGTAAATTAAGATACTTATTAGAAATTCGGATATTTTTTATTTTTTTTATTTTTTTTTTATAAGTACTTTATCTTGAAACAAAATATTTATTTTTCTAATAGTTTAAAGATGCTAGATGTATTGTTTTTAGTAGGTTTACTGGCTAACTTTTGTCTTTTAGCTGGTGGTTTCTTCACTACAGATTTTGGTGTTGTTTTGGGTAGTGGTAGTTGTGGCTGCCAAATAAAGGAGATAAGTTGCAATAAGGGTTGTCACATTATAAATTCACACACATATATATATATATATATATATCAACAGATTCAATTTCAAGTCAATAGATGATAAATTTGGAAACTGGATCGATAGAAAGGATCTAACAACAATATATGATCACATTTCTAATTCCAATATGTATTTGTTCTAATACTAAATCCATTGAATGCAGATTTTTAGATTATATATTTTATTCAACAGAAAGATAGCAATGTAATAAAAAAATAACTTTGTTATCCAGGCAGCATAAGAATAAATTAATGATTTCCTTATGCATGTAACATACTTGGCTTTAGATTGTTAATGATCAATTAAGATAACTTTATAATATTGAAAATGTTTTACAATGATAATTACCTCTGGTTTATCTTTCTCTGGTGATATAACTTGAAAGACAAAATTCCGAGAATGTTTTGTAGCATTAGGATTCATCTTAGCTTTGGTATGAATAGCAATTTTAGCGAGAGCTTCTTTACTTCGATTCAAGAATGAACCTCTCTTGGTACTCTGTAAAAAAAAAAAACCACAAAAACATTATATTTTATTGAAACTTGGTACTTTCAATGTTTAATTTAACTAATTTTCAATGCTGTACTAGGAATTAATTGGGAAATAAAATCAATGTTATATGTTGTATATAGCATACCTTTAGACTAGGTTTAACAAAAGTTGGTTCTATTGTTTTACTACTATTAACTGGTAATGATACTGATTTCTGTAGAGGATTTTTACTACCAACTGGATCTGGAAAAACAAGCCAACAGTGAGGCTGATGTCCCCCGCCGAAATAGGAAAATAATTAGAGGACACATATAAATTTATCACAAATTATCTTTTACAAAGTATTGAACAATCAAACAGTATATCTTTACTTATAGTCTAACAATCAAAGTAGGAGAGTTATTGTTTTCCAAAGTCTCGACCAATCAAATTGCGTATCGCTCTGCTTACCCTGAGCAGAAAATGCTCATTATCAAACTTAGTCAAGGTATTACTGTAATGAAACTATACACCAAGTTTCATCAATCTCACTTAATTAGAACTAAAGTTATCGTGTCCCAAAGCATCAACCAATCAAATTGCTTATCTCTGCTTACCCTAAGCGGAAAATGCTCATCTTCGAACTCCATCAAGGCATTGACCTAATAAACACATACACCAAGTTTGAACATTCTAGCTCAATTAAAAGTTATCGTGTCCCAAAGCATCAACCAATCAAATTGCTTATCTCTGCTTACCCTAAGCGGAAAATGCTCATCTTCGAACTCCATCAAGGCATTGAACTAATCAACACATACACCAAGTTTGAACATTCTAGCCCAATTAGGAAGAGAGTTATCGTGTCCCAAAGCATCAACCAATCAAATTGCTTATCTCTGCTTACCCTAAGCGGAAAATGCTCATCTTCGAACTCCATCAAGGCATTGACCTAATAAACACATACACCAAGTTTGAACATTCTAGCTCAATTAAAAGTTATCGTGTCCCAAAGCATCAACCAATCAAATTGCTTATCTCTGCTTACCCTAAGCGGAAAATGCTCATCTTCGAACTCCATCAAGGCATTGAACTAATCAACACATACACCAAGTTTGAACATTCTAGCCCAATTAGGAAGAGAGTTATCGTGTCCCAAAGCATCAACCAATCAAATTGCTTATCTCTGCTTACCCTAAGCGGAAAATGCTCATCTTCGAACTCCATCAAGGCATTGACCTAATAAACACATACACCAAGTTTGAACATTCTAGCTCAATTAGGAAGAGAGTTATTGTGTCCCAAAAAGTGTGACGGACAGACAGACGGACGGACAGACAGACGGACAGACAGACAGACGGACGAACCCATTTTAATAGTCCCCTGCTTTCTTCGAAAGGCGGGGGACAAAAAAAATATCACCATTAATCTTTATCTGACCTAGTGTTTAAAATATCATACATGTAGAAATATCAATGTCCATATGGATTCGAATATGGCAATTAATGCTTTATGTTATTAATTCACCCAAAAATTCAAATTCAACACTAGAAGTTAACTGATTTTTAAAAAAGATAGGTTGGCAAGGAACGAAACATACACTCACAGCAGCTAAGTCACCCGAGCAGTCCACAAGGGTTGTCGCCTATTTATTGTTTTGTAGGTAATGGGAAGAGACTGGTGGCGCTCGATTGTCAGTCCAGAAGATTCCGAATTGACAGAATTGCAATCAAGTGATACAGAATTCAGCCCCGTCATAGTCCTGCCAGGCCCGACAGCTGAGGTGGTGTGAGTAGAATCATGACTTATTTTAAGTAACAAATATGTTTCAGCTGTCATGAGATATTTTTTATGCATTTGGCACATGCTTTGTACTCCAAAATTCTCCTGTTCGCTCGACTGACACTATTTTGGGAATTGAGAGAATTTAATTATGGAAAGTTCCATCAAGTATCCCCACTAATTAGAGTGTCCACAAGATTTCTCAAAGGGATAAAGGGCCATAACTCTGACAATAATTATCGGAAATCACAGATTTAAAAAGTAATCAAGGGTAATAACCCCCCAAAATAATTCTAGATTTCTTGTATAAATTTAAAGTCAATCAGATTTGGACTTAAGCCTCTAGAGCATCCACACAATTTTTCAAAGTGACTAAGGCCTATAACTCTGGAAGTAATTGCTGAAAATCAATAGGTTTCTTCGTCTCATGACCATAAACATTGTGTATAAATTAAAATCAATAAGATTATAATTTTAGTCGCTAGAGCGTGCGCAAGTAGTTGTGGATGCCGAACGACAATATACTTCCACATTTCAAGGTGGGCATATAAAATTGGTTTAACCTACCTTTTTTCTGTAGAAAACATTTTCCAAACTTCATTATCTGACTTTCTTCTCCTTGACTTTCCTCTTCAACTTTTTCTTCATTTTCCTGTTCATTAAAACAAACACTTTGTAAAAATTGCTCACCAAAATCAAACAGTTCAAACCAAACTTAACTCAAGAACGTAAAAACCTGGCAGTATATTCAAAAATCACATACATTTTGACATATGCATAATAATACTGTATATTATCCAATCCATAAAGAAAGTCACTTGTTGAGAAAATAAACACAAATCATAGTTTAAATTCATCCCAAACGAAAAAGAGAAGTAGACTTGATGGAGTACCATACAAAGTGAAGGTAAATAGTCTTTGATAAATAAAGGCCATCTTTTATAATTTATAATGGTTTGGCTCAGACACCTTGATCTATAAATAAACAAAAGCATACAAAATCAAATATCAGCCCCAAATTGAAATTCATACCTTTTGTTCTTCAAGGAATTTTTCTCTTTTAAATCTTTCCATTCTCCATTTTAATTCTTCTGTTGCTTCTTCATCACCATCTTCTCCTTCTGCATCAGAATCTTGACCAAACATATCTTGTTGTGATTCATCATCTATTTTAGAATAATAATATAACTTATTTACTTCCACACTCAAGTTTAACTCAATTATATTAATGACAATCTATTTAATTGTTTGACAATTGAAAGACCAATCAGGAAAATGAACACAGGAACATACAGCAATTACCATACCTTCCTTACTCTAGACTTTGTCATCCATGCTTCCTCCCACTCTTCAACACATGTGACAGTACAGTACTTCCTATTTAAACTGTTTTAAATATGCGATGCCGCATAAAATGGACTATGTAACATACACTGTATTAAAGAACTAAATCCTACCCATATTACTCCAGCGAAAACGTCTCATTCTACCAGCACCTTCTGTATGTAAATCACCATCAGGTAAATACATCTCTTGAAATCTCATTAACTCTCTTTTATCTTCATCTATTACTTGTTTCCTATTATACATCAAATATAAAACATACAAGTATATTATAAGAAATCAATATTCTAAAGACTTATTTAGCATTGCAAACTACAAGCAGATCTTCAATTCTTAAGCCAATCTATTTTTTTTTTTGTTATGTTGCTAAATTACAGTATACTGCAAACCAACAAATTATTTGTTAATTAAGACTTTATTTACTGACTAAAGTCACAGTTATTTGATAAATGATTATCTTTTGTTGTGGGGAGGATTCACTATTCTATTCAATTAGGACCTACAAGTGAGCTCGTCCAACTTGATCTCTTAGTTCTGTTTCATTAATAGGATTATCTTTATCTCCTTCTTCTTCCATCAATATATCGTCATCTTCATCAATATCTAAATCTTCATCACTTTCATATTCACTACCTGATAACTCGGCTTCTTCATCTACAAACTCAGCCCGTAATTTACTGAAATAATCAACACAGGTTGTCATTGATAACTCTGAACTTTGCAATTAATAAAACTGGAAATTTTGTTACGTTTTTTTTCTTACCACAAAATGAACTGTAGTGTGTAGAGGATTGACAAGAAAAGTTTAGCAGTCTGACGGTTGAAAGACACAAGTGACATAATATGTGTCCACATTAAATGTGGATAGGTGACCTATACATCCATATTAAAGGGGCATTATGGGAGATTAGATAAAGACTTGACAGTTCTCGCTATAATAGTTAAGAAATAGATATCGTAATTAGAACATGCTGAAAATTTCAGTCAAATTGCTCCACTCTGAACTGAGATATTAGCGATTGAATTTAGGCCTAGCCTCGATCATAATTACTGAAGTCGGAACAATAAAAAACAAAATCTCGATTATCCATTTTGACGTTAAAGAGAGTGAGAGAAATGGGGTTTAACATCCTCTCGACACAAACTAGGTCATTTCGGGACTCACAAACAATTCAATTTCATTTCAATAATTCGCTTGCACTTACGGGTCTTTAGCAGTGGAAGGAAACCGGAGGACCTGGAGAAAACAAACAAAGGTTGGACAGGCGAACCTACTACTGGTCACATACAACCGGAGAATCGAAACCACGGCAGTTGACTCAATGACAGACCTTATGACACAGCACACACTATCCACTTCCCCTTTGACATTAAATCCTCCAACACAAAATGTATTCAAATCCAGTGAATATCGTAGGCTAGCAATGGCATCGAGAGTTGATTATGGTCTGGATAAGTTAATTAATGCCTAATTAATAATTTAGTAAACATTTTAAGCCTAAAGAAAGACCTGCAATAGCCAGATTTAGCTCTTGCATATTGTATGTTTAAAATGTAGGTGTATAAAAAAAATGCATACTATTTCTAATCATTTATTCATTCATTCAATACAGTATTATTCTGGCATTGTCAAAAATCTAATGATTTACCCAAATTTATTCTTGAATCCTTTCTTTTTCTTTGATTTAATTATAATATTTGAAACATCTTCATCTGAATCACTATTGTTTTCCATCTTCTTACTATCACCATCATTATTAACATCCTTTTGAAGAAATTATATTTATAACAAAGTTATTAACTATAATGTCCTTGCAAACATCACATATACTCATAAAAATATCTAATTAATTATAATTTATGACACTACTGTTGATATGTACTGTTTTTGTCAGGTAGTTAACTCTATCTTATCTATTCGATTTTAATATTGGATATTACTGAAATATTAATAATATTCCTTGCTACTTACCTTATCAGATCCTTCATCAGGTTTTTTTATATCATCATCTTCATCTTCAGATAATAGTTTTAGTGACATATTACTATCTTCATCATCATCATCATCATCATCTTCCAGTTTCCTTTTAGTTCCTTGACTTTTTTCTACACCAGTTCTAAAATAATAATGTATCTTCTCATTTTAAATCTAACAGCAATGAGCAAATTGCCTCTTTTGTATCTCATGTTAATTTACTGTGCAATCTGTATTGTCAGGAATATAATCTTTTATTGAATAATACCCTTGTTTATCCCTCTATAACATCACTTACTGTAAATAAACTTATTTTGGTTGCCAACTAATTTCAGGATAGTGTTTCCAAATGTTGTATTTGAGAATTGTGAGTTTGTAAGATTCAATAATGGATGGGTTAAAATTTTCAAAAATTTCTGCATCATTCAATTAAATACTTACGCAGCAAAAACACCGGAGCACAATCCTAGTAATTCATCCATATTACCACCATCTTGTGTTGGCTGTACATCATTATCAAATAAACTTTTACTTGATGTTTTATTATTTTGTGTAGCTGAAAGAAATAATAGGAATTGTTTTATTTTCAACTATTTCTCTAACAATTCTACATCACTGAAATAACGGAATTGAAGTGGCTCAGTGAGTAAGATGTTGGCTCGCTAACCTGGAGGTCTGGTGTTTGATTCCGGTGTTTTCCAAGAAAGTTCATAAGAATTTTTCAGTGTGGTATCCCTATATCAGTGGTGCTGGACGGAGGGACTGACAAGGGATAAAGTATAGTCGTTTAAATGGGATGAAAAACTGAGGTCCTGTGTACACATTGGCGTGCACGTAAAAAAACCCTTGACAGTTATAATTCGAAATTAGAGTAGGCTGTAGTGCTACCGTCCAGGCAAAATGTCCCTTATAGTTATAGTACACTGTATGGTGTATGCCCATCTTAATTAATTAGTCCAGTTGGTGCAGAAAAGTAGGATGTTAAACCCCATTTCATTGAAATAAATGGTCAATTTTATTTTTTTATAAATACAACAAAGTTACATCTGTCAACAGAAAAAAAGCATAAAAACTAATACTAAACTATATAAAGAAACTACGCTTCACCTGCAAATCTTCCGGAACATAAACCTAACAATTCATCCATATTGTCCTGTGTATTATTAGGTATATCGTCTTCTACACCCAGAGATCGTCTTGTAGCTTGCTTAGATGAAGATCGAACTTTCAAAAATCTGTTTAAATATTAAACATATAATACATATTTATGTTAGTGTCTTAAATTAAGATAATGATTATTAAATTTTTAAGCCAAGTATTAATATTTACTGAACATTCAAATGCCAAAAACCAAAGCATAACATCCAATCTGTCATTATTATAACAGTTACAGATAATGTGGAAAAAAAACCCCAACAGAATATACTTGAAAAACAATATAAGGAATTGATTAATAAAATCCATACCCATCAGCATCTAACATCTGTGATTGTGAATCTTCTAGTAGAAAATTTAAACTTTGAGATGGCTGTGTATCAGTAGGATAAATATCTTGTGTATCATCATATAGATCCTGGGTATTCTCTATAGGCATAGTTAAACTACGCATACGACTAACTTTCTGTAATAACATAATTAAACATGTCAAATATACACATCAAATAAATTGCCAAAAAGTTAATTAATACAACAGTTTTGTTTTAAAAACAAGTTGGATGATTTTTATCACATTATATTATTATAGAAAACATTTCATTTTCTTTTCCGCAAATAAAAGTGAACAATAAAGCAAATGAACAAATACATCTAATTTTCTTTTAAAGGGGACACAGAAACAAACATATAATAGCATGTAAGACTTACAGGTGTATGACTATTGAGATGTTTAGAAAGAGGAGAAAGTTCTGCAGCCTCTACATCTTCATTATCATCATCATCTAAAAAATATCTTAATAATTAGAACCGTATGTTCATACCATAAAATTATTGACAAATCACAGTTTGCATTGGTATTATATAGGATTGTGTTTTGTAGCAAATTATGGGGGGTTTAAAACCTAAGCATACATCAGCATGATTCTGATTTGTAGGGTGCCCTACCATAAATAAATATCTTCAAATATCTCCAAATATCTCGAAAAATTACACAATATATATATACAAAGCCTCAAATCAGATTCGTACAAATCAGATTTTACTTGATAAGCTATGTCCATTTAACCATCCATAAATAATAAGACTGAAAAATTGTTACGAGTGTCGGCCATAACATCCGGGCACTTTTGAGTAAAAAATAGGTTACGTTCCCTTGTTTAGAACTTAGTCTCGCTTAACCCGTCTACCGACCATTCTACACCTGTTTGACAGGCCAGGATAATCAAGCCTACTTTTTTACGACACAACAGAAAGCTGGAACAAGAAATTGAATTTAGAAACACGCACATGAGGCAACTCAACAATTGTTTTAAGAACCTTGTAAAAGTAAAATGAAACTACTGCTAGTATCGTGTTCTTGCCTAACCCGAGTGTTTCAGAGATATTATTTGTACTAAACCAAAAGATGCCGCTCCTAACGGAATAGTTAATGATAAAGCAATTTAAAAATAAAAAGATCGTAATTTCTAAAGCTGCTGTAATAACCAAAAAGCTAAATATTACTGCTATTCAGAATCGTCAACAATAGATTTTTTACGGCTGTAATAGTTGATAGATGTGTAGAGAATTTCACGTTCGATGGCTATTTATAGACTCAAATAGACTCTGTTATCGCACTGCGTGATTAGCCAGAAATCAATTTGAGACAAGTCAATGAAGCGTGCACATTTGCCGTGTCGAGTGTATGTAATGTAAAAGTATCAGTCAGAAACATTAACAAAACAAATTGTAATCTAATTTTGATAATTTGGGAAATAAATATTGAAATGTAACCCTTTTTTTATCATTGTAATATGAAGCTACTGTGAACTGAATTTGTTATTAGAAGCACAGACTGTAAAACTAGGGATTAAATAATTCAAATATGAAATAATAGCAAATTACATTCTCGTGCAATTTAATCTATTCTGACTCCATTAATTTAAGGCTGCACTTTCTACAACCCAGTATAAATTGTAATAAATTCATGGTAACATACCATTGGGATCAATATTTTGAATACCAGCATCTCTACTTTCTTCTTCATCACTAATAACAGCAATTTTTTGTGATCTGTATGTCTTTATCGGTTCATCTGAAAGTAACATATTCATTGTATTTTCTATCAGTCAGATATTTATTTATCAATCATAGTTAAACTAAAGATGTTCAAGACATTCTCAGCCTAGACCCAATTATAGGCCTATACTCTATGCATAACAGTAGTTTACAAATTCTTCCATTGGACTTTTAATCATTATCAATAAATTTATTAAAGGTCCATTTACCATCTTCTTCATCTGATGTATCAAGTTGTAATTTCATTGTTTCTTCCCCACCGTCATCATTGTCTTCTTCAGCCTCATCATCAGCAAAAGGATTCTCTACCTACATAATAATCATATTTGTAAAATTAAGCAATCTGAAATCAAATTTCCACAATTGTACAAATTGACAAACTAATGCAAAAGCAATCAAATTTGAAACTAGAATTTTGAGATATTACGTGGCAAATGGATGAATCTAATGCCATGTGATTTTTCTGCATGATTAAACAATGGACAATGAATAAAACAAACAATTTCTTTCATTACCTGTTCCTCATCATCAAACTCTGCATCACCAAACTGTTTATCAAACTCATCATCTTCTACATCAGTATCCGAACCATCTGTCATCTCAGCATCATCATCTAAAATAGCTTCTTCATCACCACTAACATCAAAACCTTCTTCATTCTCTAAAGCATACATCTCTTGTCTCTTCTGGCGGGATTCTTCTCTTTTTACTTTCATAGCTGCTTGTAACTTTTCTTTTAAGGACAGAAGTTTGGCTCCTAAAATGTAAAGAAGATATAACCAGTAAGAACAAAAATGAAATTTCACATAAAGTGAATGTTAAACAAGTACAATTTTTAAAAATAATTTCATTGATTAATTAGTATTGAAAATTTCACATTGAATGACAAGATATTGGCTAGCCCTGTGTATATTTCTCAGAAAGGGTCTGGCTCTCAAAAGATTTACCAAAGCCCTTACAGCATCATGGATTTAAAGCCTTCATGGGATTCCATTTAATTTCTAATACATACCTGGTACTTCACAATCAGGCGTTACAGGTTCTTCTTCCTCTATATGATATGTGAATGAATTTAATTTTAATTCTTCTTTATTAATACCATCACTTTCTTTCTGTATAATACTACAAAATACAAATATAATCAATATTAAACTATACCTCTAAATATTATCAAAATAATATAAGGCAGTAAGGGAGATTATACAATCCTTATAATTTATAAACAAATAAAAATATGCCTGTATGGTCTCTTAATTAATCAATGAAATGGGGGTTAACTGTCCTACTTTTCTGCACTAACTGGGATAATTGAAGACCTGTGGTCTCTTTAACAGCACTGTGAACTACTGACATACGGTTTAAGACAGGCCTATACTTTCCAGTTCTATTAGCACAAATATACTCCATTTAAATACTGATGACAAAAACAATTATACCTGATATCAACATCTTTAGATTTAATTTTCTTTTTTTTCTTTGAATGTTCCATGAACCGATCCATAAATTTACACAATTCTGGATTTTTAGGCGTAACATTTTCTTCTTCAAAAACAATAATGGAGTCAGTATCCCCACTAAGTTTGGGCATGTCTTCCATACTTAGATTTAAGCGAGACAATATCAACTGTTTAGGAGTTTTAGAAACCACATTGTTCGATTCTGTATTTGAAATCACATTTTCTTCTGAGCACTCTTTTTTTGTAGATGATTTTGTGACCTTATCAACCTCATCATCACTGTCATCTTTAAGACAGTCTGATGAAAAATCCATACTGTCCACATTATTAGTATTTTTGTCAATGATAGCACTATTTGTCATATCTGTTGTTTCTAGATTAGAGTTTGAGATTAACTTTGGGCTTACAGCATCTGATGTTTTTCTAATAGGTTTAATTGGTAATTCTCCTGAAATGTCAGGAAGTTCATCTCCACTATCAAATGTTAAAAGAGTTTCACTTGCTTCAGAAGGATTAACAGTCGTTTGTTCAGTTTTTTGTTCACTTTTGTTAGAAGTTTCAGTAATAGATAAATCATCAAATGAAGTGTTTATTTTACTAGACGATGGTTTAGGTGACATCTGTGTGGTGACAGGTTCTTTTTTCTCTGATAATGTTTCTTCAATAACTTTAGCATTTCTGAAATACAGAAATTATAAACCCATTTGAGATAGAGAAAATGACAAGAAGCTGATTTGTGGGTAAGTGCACTACATTTTGAAGTCGCTGACTACACACAGTGGCCAATTAGTCAATGGGGCCATAAGTCTGTGTGCCATTGTAATAGGCTTGGAGGCCCATAAATTGCTGCTATTTAAAAAAACATTTCTATAAATACTATGACTTGTTTCAAGAAAAATTTGTTAATTTTATAAAAATTGTGTTTCTACTAGAACTACTTACTTGTTGTCTCTAATACTTTTTAAACATTTGTATTGAGCTTGTTTCTTACTGGCTCTTGCCAAAAAATCATTTAATGATTTGGGAGCAGGTTGGTGATACGGTAAATTAACACCAGATTCTAAAAAATAAAACACATCATTAAAACAACAGACAGTGGACAGATTCACAGTAAGGAATCTTGAAATGCTTTTCTTATTCAAGTTTTTACTAAGCTTGTATAAGCTTATATCTTCTTTTTTTTTCAAATATTTAATTTGTGTATTTGCTCTTTATGGGCTGTGGAAAATCTGATTACACAAAAACTACAGAATAGAAAAAACTGTTTCAATCAATTGCACTATCAAACATATAGTTAAAGTCTCTGATCAAACATATAGTTAAAGTCTCTGATCATCATTTGACCGGGGGGTTTTTAAAAACAATATAGCAAGCAATATGGTGAGAAAGTTGAATCAATTTTTGCTGAAATCTATTGATAGGCCATGAATTCATATTATCAGTCGCCTATGTCGCAATTTGCAAAATATAATTGAAAGTCGTTATTAGAACTTTTACAACAAAACATACGCTGACCACAGCTAAATTGTCCAACAAGGTTTGTCGCATATTTATTCTTTTGTAAGTAATGAGCAGCATTTACAAGACAAATTCATACAGATCAGATTATAATTTTCTTTGTTTGAGGGTTCACAAGGTTCTACAAATTGAAATAATAGCCTTGACTTTGGAAGTAATTTACAGAAATTGTTGAAATTCGACAGGCTTTTTCTTTTTACTAATTTAATTAATGCATATAAATTTCATACAGATCGGAAGATCACTTTTGTCCTCTATAAGTAATTAACAGATAAAGCTAAAATGCAATCAGATTCTTTGTTTCACTAATTTAAATGACACCTATAAATTCCATACAGATGGGATGATAACTTTTGTTGTTTGACTTTGACTCTTCCTAAGATTCAACAAGTTAAAAAAGGGCCATACCTCTAGATGTAATTAATGGAAATTGCTGAAATTCAATAGGCTTCCTCGTTTCACTAATTTAAATCATGTATATAAATTTCATACAGATCGGATGATAACGTTTGTCATTTGAGCTTTCACAACATTCAACAAAGTGAAACAAGGGCCATAACTCTAGACATAATTGACGGAAATGGCTGAAATTCAATAGACTTCTTCGTTTCACTAATTCAAATGATGTATATAAATTTCATATAAATCAGATGACAACAAAGTGAAACAATGGTCATAACTCCAGAAGAAATTAATGGCAATTATTGAAATTAAATAGACATCTTCATTTCATGAATGTAAACACCATATATCAATTTCAAAACAATCAGATGATAAATGTAGTCTGTAGAGTTTCCACAAGAAATTATGGATGACGGACGGGGGCGACAGCAATATGCGACCACATTTCCATATGGGCGTATAAAAATAACAATATTTGCAATGAAAACTTACCTCGTAATATTCTCTGTGATTCACTATGTATACTTAATGCTGCATCTTTAGCTTTTCTTTGCTTACTTTCACGTGTTAGTTGTTTACCAGCTCCCTACAAAAATATATTGTAATTTAATTACATGATGAACATTTTACATTTAACCAAGAAAATACTGTATGTTTTATCAAATATAGAGAAGAAAGGTTTTGAAACAACAAATTACCTTTAATTTCTTTAACTTAGCCAATAATTTGGGATCTAAATTGTCTTCATCAAATCCTTCATCACCTTGATCTTGTTCTCCATCACTTGATTCTAAATTAGAAATAACCATACTATTATTAGAACATAAGGTGTAACCAAAACTCTAGCTATAGAAAATATTACTTTTTCTATACATTCCCTTCAAGCTAAATATCTCAATTCTGTTCAATTTTTGGATAGGAGTCTGTTATAGTTTAATACTGGTATATTTTCAGCGGCTATGCCATCTTTGACACAATTTAACTTATTGTAATTATGGACAATTTAGTTAGCATTTCTTATTCATTTTTTTTGTGTATTCCTAGCTTACCTGAATTACTATCATTTTCTTTCTTATCCTTTTCATCATCACTACTTTCTTCAGCATCAAATATATCACTATCAAACACCAGTTTCTGTGAAAAAACCAAATCAATTCGAAATAAGATTTATAAGCAAGTTTAAATGTTTCACATAACAAACACATTTTTAAAATACTAAAAATGACATAAAGAGCCTACGAACATCTACAATAATAGAAGTTATTGTTTCCCAAAATCTTTATCAATCAAAATGCTTATCTCTGCTTAGCCTAAGCAAAAGATGTTCACCATCAAACTCAGTTGAGGCATTCACCCAATGAACATCCACACCAACTTTGAACATATTATAACCCCAATCATTTTGCAGAGTTATTGCTCCCAAAGCAAAAAGTGTTAATACTCATTAGTGTTCTTTGAAAGATGTGGGACAAAAACACTACAACTTGGGTGTCATGTAGTTGTGCTGTTTTAGCAGGAGCTTCTATATTTAATGTTTAGTTTTAGTTTTTCAGTCTCATTAGATAATGAGTGTTGGGTTTACAACTGTTTACTTTCACTAGCGGTGTTAAGTAATTAACTAGTCTGTCAATTACTGAAAGTAACATAGCCTGTGTATTAATTTGTGTATAAAACCTATATTTTTCTAGTTTAGATGGAGCCGCCTAAGATGAACACTGAGTAACAAATTTACCTCTGATTTTCTATCTGTTATATCTTCTGAAGCCTTGACTTCCGTATTTAGATCCGTTTCAGATTCTGTAAATAAAAGATAATTTGTCAACTTTTTTACCAGGCCATATTGAATATCATACTTTTATCCTGGTTGGGGTTTTTTTTGACAATATCTAATATTTCTGGCTTAGTCTATTCTTAAATCAATTATTTAACTTTTAAATAACGAAATGAAATGAAATGGGGTTTAACTTCCTACTGTTCTGCTTTGATCTGGGCTAATGAAGACGGGCATACGCCATTCTGTGTGCTTTGAGGGAAATTTTGCCTGGACAGCGGCACTATGACCTACTCTTTTATCAAATTCCAACTGTCATGACAAGGGGGAACAACGCCAGAAAATCTGAATGAACTTTCTCAGCCAATGCAGGGATCAAACACCCGACCTCCAGGCTAGCGAGCCAGCGTCTTACCCACTTAGCCACCGTGACCCCCTTTTAATTAACAAAACAAAACCCAAATGCCAAATGTAGATAATGTGCTGGCTTGGATTCAAATGGATTAAACTGACGCCCATCAAAAGATTTCACCAAACACGTACAGGTGTTGCTAGATTGTTTATAGCGTCTGTAGAGATCATCAATTGTTGCGAAATTTTCAATTCACCATTCATATCCTTGCATGCTGAATATGGTTTGAATATTTCTTTAATCAATTATTATATATTTTGGCTCTCCACTGCGAGGAAATATACCGATAAAAACTGTTAAAGTAATCTTCTACTTACCACTCTCAACAGTATCACTATTGTTTATATCATTCATCACTTCATCTAGAACTTCATTAGCACTCTAATTCAAAATATTACAATAATCGCATTACATACCAGTAAACAATTTCACATAAACTGAAACATTTTGTTTAATCTACTGTTTTAAGATAGAAAATAAATTCAATATAAAATAGGCATATAACAGTATTACAGTTATCATGGACTTAAAAATCAACTCAACATACCTTGGTCTTTCTAAATTTCTCTGTATCATTACCTAAAGAAGAAAATATTTCCAAAGTTATAAATATATTTACATTAAACCAGTGATTCTGTTTCGTTCTTTCATACCAGATATGTCCGTCTGGATTGCCAAAAATCTGTCAATAAATAACCCGAATCTGGCATTTTGTCTTGCACATATTTGTCTTTTTTCAATGTTTTACTAATATTTTAATATATGTTTGACAAAAAGTTCAAAATACCAGATAGATTCAAACTCATCAATGCCTGAAATTTTGTCAGATACAACTAAAATTGTTATTTCTAGAAATCTTGCATTAAATCCAACGTTTGAATGAAATATCAAATATCAATAGTCAACTACAGTTACAAACTTACTATTTTCCTCATCATTATCTTTCAAACTTTCTGTTTTCTTATTGCTGTCATCATCTTCATCATCACTATCTTCCATAATCATCTTTAATTTTTTTAAAAAAAGAAAAGAAAATTTTCTTTAAATGTAAACTAGTTCTCAATATATTTAAGAAATTATTTTAGAGTTTTTGGCACATGGGTTGGTCATAAATATGCTGTTCATCAAATTGAAACTGATGTAAAGAGGTGCACATTAATCACAGAGAGATGTCAAAATGCTTTAAGTTTAACTGTCCTAGAGTTTATGGAATCAATCATACTGTAAATCTAATCACCTTTTTCTTTGGTTTCTTGGTGACAATAACTTCATCCTCACTATCAGAATCTACAGAAAGAGTAAGTACATGTAATATATTTATATGAAATCTGCATGATGATATTATACTCATCACCATACAAAATAAATGGTATACACAGCACATCAGGTTTGAGACCTATACCAACAACAATTAATACACCTTTCCTTGCCAGGTCCTGCATGCTGAGCCACTGACAGGGGGAACCTGGATGAAAAAAAACCCAAAGAACTTTCTCAGCCAATTCTGGGATAAAACCTAGGACCCACAGCACCATACTTACCTGAGCCATACTTTCTAAAAGATAAACAAAATTAGCTCTAGACCTGGATAATAGGTTAATATTTCATACCACCTGTGTAAAATTAGTGAGTGCAACTGCAACAACATCAAATCTAAACCGGGAAAAGATGTGTATACTGTAACTGCACACAGGCTAAACATTATTACAGGAGCATTAAGTACACATAAATTCACTTTAAGGATTGGATAATTAAGGCTCTTGCCAATATTTCTGAAAACCTGTTGCCACAAAGGGTCATGTTAATTGCTAAGCTTTACATGAATATTTACCTGCAGCTAAAGGACTGTCAGTTTTAACTGATTCATCATCCATTCCACTATCTGTTTTATCATTAAAATCACAATCACCTTTTACATCACTTGTTTTACTTGCCTAAAAAATTATATTTCATAGAATAATAAAATAAACAGTATTATATAACTTTCTGGTGTGAATCTGTGATATGAAAAGTGTATGTTTTGCAGTATATTTTAGTCTGTCATCCATGTGTCAATGAAAATATGTTATTCTTCCAAAAAACAAACGTAATATTTCAACGCATGCATATTTGCTGCTTTCAATTCCTTGTTCAAACAAAGAAAATTCCTTGTGACTTGCCTACTAGACAGCCAGGGTGTGGCACTAGCAGACTAACCAGGCCCAAGATTTGATCCTGTTGGTGGCCTATTAGTATAAGAGAATTCACAATTTTAGTATGATGACAGTACATGAATAGGGTGAGAGTTAGTAATTTAAGTTCCGACATTCTTAACATATGGGGCAAAAGTATACAATTTGGTGAAAAATTTAATTAGTTGATAACTGGACAAAAATAGTGTTTTATGGTGGGAAATAATCTATATTTTGAAGATAATCTTAAATTTGGGTGGAAAATCTTGCAATTATTTTTTTCTATTTGGTCTTGTGTCAAAGTTTACGTTGTAAATGTTGAAATTATAATTTTATTGTATTTTCTTACTTTGTGTTTGATTATTCTGTCACATAATGAATGATTTGGCATTAGTTATCTGACAATGTATATAAACATGATATTTATAGATTAAAACAGTGATTTTCGACCAGTGTGACGCAGGACACAGGTGTGCCGCAAGATCTTCCAAAGTGTGCCGCAAAATTTTGAACAGCACAATAAGAAAATTTCTCACTAAAGACTGATGAAATTCGAAACGCTGCAATAAAGTAAATTCATAGCTGTTTTTTTCTTTATTTAGTTTGAGTCATTCTATGTGTCTATGACTAGTGTGCGTCCACGGTTCTATGCCGTCTATGACTTTCCATGTTTTTATTTTGCAAAATTCAAATATTTTTCAAATATATTTAGCTATTAACAGAACACAGTGTTCTGTTAATGTGTTTCCCAATTGCTAAATGCCACTTAAAGATTATATTTAGCCAGGTGTGCCACTATTTTTTCATGTGCTCCAAGGTGTGCAAAAAAAGGTTGAGAACCACTGCATTAAAATATAAAATAATACATTTTTGTGAAATTAACTAAAATTAAAAAATATTGCTATGAGAATGTATGTCCGTTACCAAATATTTACATTTTTTTTTCTGTCTCTCATTCATATGGAATTGTTTAAAACTTCATATCTATAGCTAGAATAAACCACTCTTACTATATAATGACCATAAAACGAGAAGATTTGCAAAAGTTCTCAGAATAACTTGGGTTTTCATAGATGTACGTCCGATACTTTTTATAGTATTTCATGTTATCACATATTTACCTCTCCAATTCATATTTTTTATGGAACTTATAATCTTTTAGAGGCATTTAGTATCACCCATTCTTGTTATTATGACCAGAGAAAACAACTGCCAAAATTCTCTGAATCACTTAAGGTTTCATAGATGTATTCATATTGCTCATGTTTGTCAGTAGGCCTAGCGCCAACAAATATACACTGCATCAAGTTTACTGAGTAATAGCCATGTCCACAAATGGAATGATGGAAGAGAATGAGTTTATTTTTTCTCAAATTGTTCATTACTGTATGGCATTTTTATTTAACACTAACATGGTACTATGTACCACGCTTAGGACAAGCCTACACATCCATATTTTTGCACAATGATAATCAATCCACACTGAAGCCAAGCCTTATCACAGGCCTGGGCTGTACCCTTACGAGCTATAGTATTACGACTGGTCCAAGATCCATTCATTTTGTTTGATATCTGTTGTTTATGGGTTGCAATAATCTGTGTAATTGTGTCTGATCTGCAAGTTTGTCTTTTGGTTTTATTTGCACTTACTGATACAGTAATAGGCCTACTCAACTATATTATTATTAATTTATATACGGCCGGTGGCGGTATTACCGGTACATTTATAATATTCAACACCATACGACGGCAACCAAAATTATATCTATCTATCCAAATTTCAACGCTTTTTTAATTCATTTTCGACAAATGTGAAATTGTAACCAAGCATTTGGGGAGTGTGTTTGATTTTTGTCGGGGATGCGCGTCCTCACTCTGGCAGATCCCACGGGTGTGACTCCCGTGTCCGTATTAATAAATAATAAAAATAGGCCTAGTCTGTACTAACTATTCTGAACTATTCATTTTTGCATTTAGGTTTCGGCCTTCCCCTAGTCTAATAATTTTACCTCATGTTCTCCTCTTTCCTCTATTATAACTCCGACCATATTTCATTGATCAAAGGACCATCTAAAATGTACTGGGTTAAATATAAAATTATTAAAGTGTATTCTATTTTTTTATGAAAACAATGTCAATTTTCTGTGTTATTGATATTTCCCGCTATATTGTAAGGCGCATGCTCAGTATATTTTCATGGTAATCGCGATCATCAAGACATAAATTTTCAATATTACATTTTCGGTAAGTGCAGGGGAAACAAATCCATTTTTAATCCTTTATTGGATTTGTTTCCCGTGGATTGTAATTCTATCAGATAACGATTATCAAATTTTACTCCGGGTATTAATTATACCTCATTATATATATATATTTTCATATTTATGGGGATTTTTATTTGGGTTTAAAGATGGACGTATTTATAACATAAAAATTTTATTGATCATTTAAAAAAACATTTATCAAGATCAAACATTTCATGGCCGTGTTTAGTGACTTTTGACCGGGTGAATGAAATGTAGTTTAACATCCTACTTTGGCTAAATCTATTTGTTAAGGACAGCTCAATTTTTGTCAAGGTCGCTGAGATGAAATTAAGGTTAGGGCACGTGATTGTTGGCGTGATTGTAGGTTAGGGTTAGCATTGGGGCTAGGGCTAGGGTTAGGGTTGGGATTAGCGCTAGCCCTGTTTACATATCGTGACCTTTCACAAAACTTGAAGTTGGCCTTATCAAATAGATCTAACCGTCCTACTTTTCTGCACCAACCGAGTTAATGAAAATTGGCATACGACGCACAGTGTGGGTGAAATTTTGCCCTGTTTCTTTTATGTGAACACCAACATTAAAACAGACACCGTTTTTTTCCGTACCACCCGAACAACTAGACTCTTCCTGGCCAGGCCCTCCGCCCTACATGTACACCACTATGTCGACTAAACGTTCCTCCTTAAAAAAAATAACTGTATCAAAACAACCAACATAAAAGGTGTTGCCAAGAAAAGGAATTAAATTTCATTCTATTCCAAACCAAATAATGTTGGAGAGTGAAACAGTATTGATCTCGTTAAACCCCACTTCATTTAATTTCACAGTATTGATCTGAAAATGGTCTCACTCTAATAATAATACTAATCCATCTTGTATAGCGCTGGTACATTCAGTAAAACTGCTCAGTGGCGCACAAATTAATGTTTAAAATCACTTACACGCCTTAAAAGGTTTGTTTTGAGATTCTCCTTAAAATTTGAGGCAGAACAACTTTGTTTGATAGAAATTTATTCCATTCTTGGGAGGAGGCGAAACAGAAGACTTTCTCCAAATTTTGTGTTTGTTTTGTGTGCTTTGAGTTGTAGTTGATTTGATGACCAGAGGGAACGTTGAGGAATATATAATATATGAATTAAATCTTTAAGATAGGCCGGAGAATCGGGATTGTTGAGGCAGTTATATGTGAGGCGGTTGATTTTGCAACATATTCTGTTATTTGTAGGTAGCCAGTGTAGATCTGCAAGGATTGAAGTTATGTTTTCTCTAATGTTGGTTCTTGTGATAATTCGGACTGCTTTATTTTGAAAAGACTGTAGTTGGTGGATGAGATATGATGGTAAACCGTAAAGAAGTGAATTTGAATAGTCTAGTGCAGATGTTACGAAGGCATTGATGGTCAATTTCGTTGTATCAGTATCCAATTTTTTGGTTTTGGGCTGATCCTATAAAGATGGAAGTTCGCTTTCTTGCAGATGGTAGAAACATGTCGTTTCATTTTCAAATTTTCACCCAAGAGCACTCCAAGATTACTGACACGGTCTGTAGTTTCGATACGTACATCATCAACCAGCACAGAGTTTTGCAAAGACAGTTTTGTTTTTGAAAAGAAGATAGCCTCCGTTTTGTCATCATTCAGCTTGAGGAAGTTAGACTTCATCCAGTTACGAAGGTCTTCTACACACGCCTCTACTTTCTTCATGTTTTTGTTGTTAGCGTCTACCTCCACATAAAGCTGGGTGTCATCTGCGTAGGCCTACATGTGGCGGTCAAGATCGTGACGTCGCATTATTTCGGCAACTGGTGTGGTGTAGGAAGTAAATAGCAGTGGACCGATTACTGATCCTTGTGGGACGCCGTAGCGAAGACACTTTGGCTTAGATCTTAACGACAACATATTGCTTCTTACCACTAAGATGGGACTGGAACCAGTCTAGTGCAGCACCATTAACACCGAGTCTGGAGGATATGCGTTTAAGTAGCACCGACTGATCAATCGTGTCAAACGCTGCGCTCAAATCCAACAAGACTAGGGCAATGGTTCTGTTGTTGTCAATAGAGGAGACGACATTATTGTATACACGTACTAATGTGGATTCCGTGCTGTGACATTTTCGATGGGCTGACTGGAATTTAGCCCCCAGACAATGTTATTCTAGATGATGACAAAACTGTTCAGCTACAACCTTTTCAACCAATTGTGAAATAAATGACAGATTGGAGACGGGTCTATAATTCTTTAAAATGTTAGGGTCAAGTGTTGTTTTTTTCTTCTTCAGAAGTGGGTTAACTAGTGCAGACTTAAAGAATGGTGAGACCTCGGATGTTGAAAGGGATGTACTGACGATCAATGTAATCACAGGTAGTAAATCATCTAAACAGGTCTTGAGTAGTTAGGTTGGAATAGGAACCAAGGAGCAGGATTAGGGTGTCGAAGAAGAAACCAGTTTCTTTATTTCAGCTTCAGAAACGGGTTGAACGTGATTAAGCAAGTACCCAGTAAATGTTGCATCAGGTTGGTTTAAGCCTGGTTGGTCATTATCAAGTTGATCTCAGCTAATAGAAGATACCTTTTTGTCCAAGAAATCAGAAAATGTCTGTGTTAATTGTTCAGTTGTCTGGCCAGACGCAAGGTTGGATGTGTGAGTGGACTGCAAAAGTTTATTCGTAATTTTGACGATTCATTTTGTATTCCGTTTTTTTGCCCTTCAATTGTTGTTGAAAGCGTTTTTGTTTTTTTAGCAGAGTTGTACATTTGTCGGTCAATTTCCAGTTTTGATTTTCTCCACTTGTTCTCAGCCTTACGACCTAATCTATTTGATTGACAGATTTCATCATTGTACTATTTTTTATTGGGTCGTATGGTGAAGGTTTTGGTTAGAAGTGGGGCATGATCGTTTAGTAGGTCTGTTAAAACTCTGCCGTAGCCTTCAACCTGTTCGTTCATGCTATTCTGTGAGGCGATCCCCAGCAGTTGCTCATTTGTACTCCAAACAGCTCGGAAACCCTCGATGTCCATATTTTTTGTTTTCTGTGTTGTAAGCAATCTCTTGATTGGACCAGGTTTCAGGACATCGAGCTCACAAAAAATGTTGTAGTGCTCGGAGATTAAATGGTTTACAACTTCTGTTGATTTGGTGATGGTATCAGTTTCTCTTGTAATTACAAGATCTATTAAGGTATGGTTTTGTGCGTGGATTGGTTAAGTGATGTGTTGCTGTAGATTAAATTATTGCAATAAATGCAGGAATTTTGAAACATTTTCCAACATGGATATTGAAGTCACCTAGTATAATCAGTTTACCAGAATCAATCACTGTGTCACTTATAAAGCTACAATATTCCGACATGAACAAGTCGAATGTTAATCCATTTGACTTTGATGGCGGAGAGCGGTAAATAGATATAATTAAGAGTTTCATTTCGCACTTTAGCAGATATTGCCATATGTTCAAAGCTTGTAAATTTTGGTGATGCTACTCTTTTACAGTTAATTGATTTTTTTAAAGAAATTGATTATACCAGCTCCCTTTCTAAAGTTTCTATTCATTAATTCATAATCATAATTATCAGGGATGAGTTGGTTAAGTAAAAAAGTCGTCTTTATCTTTTAAAAATGTTTCTGTTATTATGAATATGTCCAAATCATTGGCAATAATGTACTCGTACAAATTGTTTATTTTATTAATTCATAATCATAATTATCAGGGATGAGTTGGTTAAGTAAAAAAGTCGTCTTTATCTTTTAAAAATGTTTCTGTTAAATTATGAATATGTCCAAATCATTGTCAATAATGTACTCGTACAAATTGTTTATTTTATTTTTAACTGATTTAGAGTTCAGTAAGCACAGAGTTGCTAAAACATACAGATGAATTTTCAAAAGATTGTTTCGATTTATAGGTTCAGTGTTGGTTTTAGTTGAAAGTACAGGTTTGTTGCGACAAGTAATCAAAGTTTTGATTTTTTTAGGCCACTGCATGCTTTCCACCTCTATACCCTCTTCTAGTAGTATTAGTATGATTTGTAATCACACCAATAGGTACACTAAACTGATCATAATATACTGACCATGTCATTTTAAAGTCTAAGCAGAATTCACATTAACACAAAGAAATTTAGAAAAATCTCAGGCCTAGCTGTGTTGCCTTGCTGGACAAAATTTATTACCAGTATTTGTTTCGTTAATGTAAATATTCAACTATCGCTGAACATTCCCACTACTCAATTAGTAAATTTACGAACTAAAACATTAGAATAAATAACATTTATTAAATAATATGTAAAGTGGTAAACAAACAAGGATTCATACAATTTATTACATTGTGAACAAAAATTTCTTGATAAATTTTAAAAAAATTTTCAAGTTTATAAAAATTTTAAATATATAATTCTAAAAACTTTTTTGGGATGACGGCGGCATAAGATTATAAAATTTTAAATCAAAAACATAGACAGGGGTGCGCTGTAAAATAAGTTCTGTCATTAAGTCAACTGGCATGATTTCGATTCCGCGGTTGTGCGTGACAAGGAGTAGAGTCGCCTGTCCAACCGCCTGGGTTTTCTCCGAGCCCTCCAGTTTCTTCCCACTGCTAAAGACCCCTACGTGAAAGCGAATTATTGAAATAAAATTGAACCATATTGTCCCAAAATGACCTAGTTTGTGTCGACTGGACGTTAAACCCCATTTCTCTCTCTCCCTCACGACCGGTGATATCGCAGACAAGTGAGGATGTGCGGCTAAGGAGACCAAATTAAAACTTTGATATTATACTTTAGAGACCCAAACCGGGTCTTAATTAATATCAAATGACACGGGTGTAAAAACATTATGATTAAACTAATTGAGCTTTTCATGACTGATCCTGATAGTGGCAAAAGCAAAGCTACTAGAAAAGCCTATGAATTCAAATGATTCACACTTTTAAGAAATTTGTAAGATATACTTTGTATACTTTTAAAATGAAACAGGTTAACAATGAATCAGAAGAAACAGGTTAATATGGTTTTAGTTCTACACAGATTCACATTAAATAAACGATATGGTTACAAGGCAACAAAACAAACACCCACAGAAGCTAAATGGTTTAAAGTCGACAAGGGTTGTGGCATATTTATTCTTTTGTAGGTAATGGAAGAATTTACAATCTTGACACTGATATCAATTTCATACAGATCGAATAATAACTTCAATTGTTAGAGCATTCTTTAGGTTCAACAAATGAAGCCAGGTTTAATTTTTTGTTGTTACAGTTTATAACTGGAGTTGTCTAAAGTCAGTTATTATCAAATCATATCATGCGAAAATTAAACAACCGTCTTCAACGTCCGAAAATATTAGAAGAATCTCCGATTATTTTAGTCGACAGAATATTATCAAAAACAGGAATTCTTTAAAAACAAATACACTTTGTAATTAAATTAAGATGTAAAGTGGTTACCCCAGATTTTGAAAAAGCTTTCAACGTAAATTCTAACATGTTTTTAGTTCTACACAGTTCACAATTCACATGAAACAGTTTAACATGGTTTTAGTTCTACACAGATTCACATTAATCGGGTTAACATGGTTTAAGTTCTACACAATGATTCACATGACATGGGTTAACGTGATTTTAGTTCTACAAAATAATTTAAATGAAACAGGTTAACATGGTTTTAGTTCTACACAATGATTCACATTAAATGCATTAACATGATTTTAGTTCTACAAAATGATTTAAATGAAACAGGTTAACATGGTTTTAGTTCTACACAATGATTCACATTAAATGCATTAACATGATTTTAGTTCTACATAATGATTCACATGAAATGGGTTAACATGGTTTTAATTCTACATAGTAATTCACATTAATAGTGTCTTCTTTGTTTAAATCAGTGCCTTAATCAAAACTTCCAGTCAATCCGATTCCAATACTTTCACCTTCTCCATTAGGGTAGTAATCAATCATCCACAAAAAATCATTTACCAATACTGAAATCCAATTACATATTTCATCAAATACTATAACATTTGTCTCCTTAAACAACAAACAAGAACATTTTCTAATACAATTGTAGGAAAATATGTGCCATTTCACAATATTTATTAAAATTTAAGGTTGGCTGGTGGCAGTGGTGGGTATGGGTGACCTTTCTTTATGCATTTAGTGTACTTCTGTTTGAGACAAGCAGACAATCCTTTCTTGTTGTAGATTTCTGTTAATCAATATCTATTACAAGACCTGACAATATTAAGACACAACTTGATTAGGTCAATAATAACTTGCTCAGCCGTGAAATGACATGTAGGAACTGAATTGGCAATTATCATGTTCATTTTATTTAATAATAAAATAATGTCTTTATTTTATAATAGTAGAAAACTGCGATTAAAGCTTTTTTTTTTTACATCTTCTGATATGTGGTATATATGAAAAAAATAATAATGCAAGAAAATAAATGTATGTGCGATGTATGGTGAGATATATGATAAATAAAAATACAAGGAAAATTACATCTGTATCTGAGAACTCCACAACTCCATAACCTAAAACCCGCACAAACTACAAAGAGTTCTCTTCTTAACTTTTGTATTCCATTAATTATATAAATCTTAAACTTACATATTAAAATAATTCATCAAAGAAACCAAGACACACAACAATATAATTTAATAAGTGTGGAAAAGATTTTTAAGATAGATTTTGATAATTTGAATAAAAAAAGTAAGAATCCAAATATATTTGGGGAAAAATCCATCTACCATTGTACCCAATAATGAACTTACATGTTTCTCCTCCATGCAAAGTTTCTTTTAATTCTGGACATACATCTGTGCAGACTTTATCAGGAAATAGAACAATATCTACACTGCCCACCATCTGCATTAATATGACCATTGGACCATCAACTAGAACCTGTAATAAAGAGTTCATCATCTATATTCAGCTACGAATTGAATTTTAGACACTTATCTGAACAGCAGAGAGAGAGAGAGGGGGGGGGGGAGAGAGAGAGAGTTTAACACAAACTAGGTCATTTTGGGACTAACATGTGGTACAATGTAGGATGAGAAGTTATCGGGAGTTATTACAATCACATAACTCACTTCTATACTTTACTTTTCACTACTAAAAATAGAGTTTATACCATACTCAATTATTAACAATTACTTTAGGATGTAAAATAACATACTGGTTTGGGCATTTTTGCTGTATAGTTCTTTGAAATGTAAATCCAACTTGTTTCAGCTACCTCAACTACAGATGATAAAAAATATGGCTTCTTAAAGTAGTATCGTAATTCTCTTGCAGACTCTTCAAAACAATTCTTCCTGAAAAAAATAATGTACCAGTAGATTTATGCTATGTATTTGTGTACAAATATTGCATGAGGCAAGATGATATCTTCAATAAATGAGAAAGGCTGCAGTCATCTACAGGAAGTTGTAAAACAACATACTTTTTCTTGGAAGCATTGGATGGAATTAATTTGATATTTTTATAACAAAAGACAATGGAAAATTTAAGCATCAATATGATTAAATTTTATGTCTTAATTTCTTTACAAGATTCCTGGGAGATCAAAATTATTGTATATTTCAAGTTTAGAATTTATGTCCAAAACTTAATTCTGTTTACATGACTGATATATAAATGTAGTATTTTGTAGAGCCTGTTGCACCATGGCCTTATTGCCCCAACACTTATCTATTTGGCACTTCAATATTCAAATCAGTGCCATTCAATACTTTATTTGTACCTAAATCTTTCCCCTCTAACTTACCAAAATGCAAAGTACTGTGGATGTTCATGAGCAGCCACTTGTTTCAAAAAAGATCTGTGACCGCTAACTTTTACATTACAATTAAAATCACAACTGTCATACATGCTATTTTCAAATATCTGAAATGTATTTCAAAGTCAAAAATGGCAAAAAGAAAAAAAAAGAAAATTCAAAACAATCAGCAAAACTTGGATTAAACACATATCATATCCTTTTCCTAAAGAAAAATGTCAACAGTTTTTATTGCTTTAAAATTTAATGTACCATAATTCTCATGCTCTTCACTCTATTGTCAAATGATTTGATGCTTTTTCATTTGATGAAAATTTAGATGGATTAGAATCTGTTACAGCTGAAATGGATATTGGATTAATCTGTTAGTGATGCTCACCTACAATAGAATCAATTAGAGAAACACCAATCTCTAAAATCAAAAGAAAGTTTGCATGTTTACATCAAAATCTATGTATCTATGCTTTCTCATACACCAAGGGGATTGGTATCCGAAAATAATTTTTATGTAAACCTCTGTGGGGAAAGTTGCCTAAGATTGTTTTCTTATTATTGTTTTAAAAATGATACCTACTCTAGCTAGAAACTCAACTGTAAATCCCTGGTGATCATTCTGTGATAATCCATCTTCTACAATAACTGGTTTATCTAGCTTAATATATTTCTGTATCAAATCCTCTTCTTTTATATTTTTAACACGAGAAATTTCATTTTGATTTTCACATGCCTGCAAAATGAATTATTTGTAATAATCATATGTTCAACAAAGAAGGCTACAATTTCAGATAATGAATTTTATATGCTTAGTGTTTAGCTTTTGTTTCCAATTATGTTGATTGAGCATGCAGCACAGTACTACTAATAGTACTACTATAGAGAAACTCAGATCTGAACAATTTCCAGTCAACTTACATAACAATCTTTCAGCACAGGATTCATCTGAGATTCATGTAAAGGATTTTCTAACAGACAGTCAACATAATATAATTGACTCCAATCATAAATTGGCATAATCTGTAATTGAAGATAATAATTCTATATATTACATCTTTTGAGCTTATTCCCAATGCTTAATTAATATGCTTAACAATGCCTTTGCTAGAATATAAAATAGGCTTGTTATTGTAGATCATTAAATAAATCCAGTAATACCACGCTAAACCCTATTGCTGGCCTTTTGAATTTACTGCCTGATATCATTTTCTAGAAATTGGCATTACAGAGCCCATCACTATCAGTTTCAATCTAATTTCATGCTCAACTGACTTTCCCTTCAATATAATATGGCGAAATCAAGTTTAGATTCTATGTCATGGTTATTCTAGTCTGTCTTTACTGAATTGGAATTAGTCGTTCATTAAATCAATTTTATCGCAATCTATAGGCCTACTTCTATGATAATCTAAAAAATAAAAAGACAAATGACAAAGTCTAACTAAGTTGCTTTCAGCCATAGTGCCCATAGTGCTCAATTTAAAGAATAAGCTTCTGAAATTAAATGGAATTAGATCTCCATTAAAGTAGCTAAGTCTCTAACTCAATATATCATCCAAAATCTTCAACATTGAAAACACGATTTATTTGTCAATAAACGTTGATTTAATTTGACAAATAAATCGTGTTTTCAATGTTGAAGATTTTGGATGATATTGAGTTAGAGACTTAGCTACTTTAAGCTTGGGTCCACTAAGAATCTAAAAAGATTTCTATGTATCATTTTACCAATCAAATAACCTAGACTGTCTAGCTAGACCAATCAAATATGACACAAGACAAGTTACCGATTTTGTTTGTCTTTTTCAGTTTTCTTTGACGTCTTTTTTTTATCAAATTATCATTTATGGCTATTTTAATTTTTTTTTTTTCAATCAGCATTCAATTGCACATAAAACTATAAAGTAATAAAATACATAAAATAATATGTAGATCTTGACTCTACACAATTAGGCTAATTGAATATTGATACTGTTGTTAAGACTAAATTCTAATAAATTTTAATAATATTAGAATTTGATGAGTTGAAAATTGTAATACTTTAACCTGAATAGCTGCCCTTCTTCCAATGGTACACACTAATTTGTTGACTGAATCAGTGCTGAATAAAAACCACGTCGTACAAAGAAATAAGCAGCTTTTCATGGTAAATTTTAACCATTTCTTTCTGTTTGCTTCTTTAACTTTTTTGGAAAGTGGCTCTGCAAACTGTTCGATTTGAGAGGGATTGTATCCTGAATTTATACAAAACATGTGTAATTTATGAAGTTCATCATCGATCAAATCTAGTTTTTGTTGAAGAGAAAGTCTATCCATATCCTCAGTGTCCTCTTTTTTGTGTTTTGTCGAGGAATCCAAATTACAGCCACCCTTCTTCGAAGCCATTTTTCCGTCTGCTAGAAATTATCAAGGGAAGTAAGTATAAATATTCTAGTCGCGATTGTTCAGCCCTTCCTTTGCTCAGTTTGCCTGACCATCTCTGTCATCCGAGACATCGAGCAACCAAATTTCTGAGAAAGAGTGAGAAATGGGGTTTAATGTCCAGTCGACACAAACTAGGGCATTTCGGTACTAACACATGGTTCAATTTAATTTCAATAATTCGCTCGTGCGTAGGTGTCTTTAGCTTACAATTTTTTTAATTCTTTGTTTCGGTAGGCTACATTACTACATACTTAGTTAATAATAGTATTTTTACTAGGTAGGAGTAGGACTAGGAGTAGGACTCCAGTCCAGACTCGCCAACCGAGTCCTGCTACGTTTAATTTTTTAGGTCAAATTCTGCTCTTATCATCATGTGAGACCTAATTAAGTCATGTAGAAATCGTTATCTTTGCTGGATTTACGGCGGGTTGTAGTGCAAATAAAAAAATACTTTTGATGTATCAGTTACACAATTTTCAAGGGTCTTGAAACAGCATTGTTACCCGGAGTTCCCTCCCTTCCGCTATAATAGACAATAACTGCGGTCTGGTTTGTTCTAAATGATAAGGCCAGCTCAATTTTCCCAACCCTAACCTTAACCCTGGACCTAGCCCCAATACTTACCCTAATCCTTGCCTACAATCTCGCCAACAATCACGTGTCCTAACCGTATTTACATCACAGCGACCTTGACAACAATTGAGCTGGCCATAACAAATAGATTTAGCCCTGCGGTCATTAGGCTACAATAGGCCTAACCCGTTACCAGAGCCATCCAAAATAATCAGAATTATGTGGAATTTTATGAGGGTATAACCCGTTTAAGATATTTTAACAAAGTTTTACAAAATGTTAATGAAATGATTCACCTCCATGTTTTAGACCAATAATGCTCGTTTAAAGAATATTCAAATCGTGGGAGATTATTAATACTGCCTCCCTGGTTCGCTCACGTCATTAAATGTTTTATTTTAATCTTTTGTGCATTTGTAAACCCAAGATATAGATATCACCGAATTAGAGTATTTTATATAAAAAAAAAACCAAAACACTTAATGCTCGTCTAAATCGCAAAGAAAATTCAGAAAACATATAATTTTCAAATTCAATTTTCCCACAATATAAAAAAGAATAGAGGGCCTATATACCATACACGCAGCACTTTATCGGCACTATTATGTGTGTTTTAAGGAGATCATTAATCCTTCCAATATTGGTATTCGACTGAACAACCCATTTTCCTGATTGTATTAAATTTTTAAATAACTTAGAAAAATAAAATTATTGACCTAAATCGCGTAATTACACAATAGATTAAATAACTTATTTGCTAAATATTGTTAATCAGTATTCTGTTATTGATTATGAGTGCGTGCACGCACTACTCGCATGTTGCATGACAACGCTAACGCTTATCAAGACACTGTTTAAATCGTCTCTTTAGTAGTCTAAGTTACGTTAAAATTTGTCAAATTAAAATGCGAAATAATGTTTTAGCAATAAATATTTCTCAGTAATTTTAAAATATTTTTTATTCCATTTAGGATCTCAAATGACGAAGAAATACGTAGACCCATGTTCCCTAAAGAAATTTTTAGTCTTGAAATTACGTTGTTTTAGATGAATTGATAAGCCCTTTCTGGAGGTTCGGTATTTCGGATATAGCCCAAGAGTGGGGGCCCCTCGCGGACCAGGTTAAGGAGCCCCCGAGCCCCCAGTCTTCTGATTATTATCTTTAATATAATCCAAGAGTGACATTTAGCGATTGAGCACATACCGGTAAGAGAATACTTGTCAAAACGTCGCACAACATGTATAACAACCAGTTATTGTATTCCATATAAATATTTTTTGTGTTTTATATCCGTAAAAAAGTGTACGATGAAGGAAAAATTGATGGATGTTCTTTAAAAAAAAACAACAACACATACATATCCAAATACCAGTACCAAAGTCCATAGATTTTGCTTTTCTCCAAAGAAATGTTCTCAATGAACCTGATTTCGAAGGGGTTGAAATGCCATTTAACAAAGTTTATTTTGAACGTGATATATTTTAAACACAGGCGCTAATATCATTTTGGCGTGAGAAACGGACTAAACTTCTTTTCCGAGGCTACTTTAAAACTTGTAAAAGAGTTTTCCAGTCATTCTATTATCCTATATTGAAATAAGTACTTTTACAGAAAAAGTAAAAATACAGTTTCTGTCGTACAATAATACACAAGAAAACGCGTCATTAAAAAAATAAGCAGTAAGGTGTATAAAAATGTATTCCTGATTTGTAAAAAGAGTCTAATAAGAAAACCAAAACAAGATATAATAATAATATACTGTATATACAATCATGCACTTATGGTTGTTTATTACAAATTTAACGTCTAATACATAATACATGATATTATGGACACTTATTAATTTGAGATCAAATAAAATATTTTATGTTGGGTGTACAACTTGTACGAACTGGTGTTATTCCAAAACCATTGAAATAAATTCTTTATATGGACAGATCCTTTCAATATAAAAGTGTGTATTTAGTGTTCATGTTATGTTTCCTCGACAATCGTAATTCTAAATACATAACCATTGATTGGAAAACATATTCTGTCATTGGAAAATGGGGGTGTGAGGTGGGGAAATGGGGTTTAACGTCCACTCGACACAAACTAGGTTATTTCGGGACTAACATATGGTTCAATTTTATTTCAATAATTCGCTTGCGCGTAATGGTCTTTAGCAGTGGGGGGTGGGGGGGGGCGGAGGACCCGGAGAAAATCCACGAGGCTGGACAGGCAACCCTACAACCGGCAAATCCAAACCACGCCAGTTGATTTAATGAAAGACCTTATGAGACAGCGCGTACGCGCTAACCATTCGGCCATCCGCCCCCCCCCCCCCCACACACACCCGATTGGAAAGCATTATATATACTATCAAGAAAAGCATGTTTTAATCTACAACTCTTAAAGTAACAATCATAGGGGGGGGGGGGGCGAATGGTTAGCGCGTGCGCGTTCTATCATAACGTCTGTCATTGGGTTTTGTCTGGGTCTTCCGGTTTCCGTCCACTGCTAAATAAACCTAAGCGCAGGCGAAATATTGAAATAAAATTGCGCCATACGTTAGTCCCGAAATGACCTAGTTTGTGTCGAGTGGACGTTAAACCCCATTTCTCTCTCTCAAGCAACGTCAGACTCAGTTATTGACGCCCTGTAAAAGTTAACTTATTTAAATTATTTTGTCTTATTAGGTAATATATATATGGAGGATTATATATATGTAAGAATTCGAATAGACGAGACGTCCGCCGATCATTAGTATGATTAAAATTTAATTATTATTTTAGGCGGAAAGAATTATAGATAAGGGGTATTTACAGATTATAAATTGATGAAATCTGAATAATAGAATTAAGAAGATAATGTAAAAGATATCGTATTGCTATAAGTTATAATTAGAGAATACAGAATGTCAGTACGTCGAGCTCCACTGGCAGAGTTATTTTTCTTCAAAACAACTCAAATTTTTATGCCTTTATTCCAAGTGACGGGTAATTTTGTGGACCAAGTTTATTATCTTAGATTTTGTGAATTACCATCAATATAATATATAACATATACAACAATCTGACAATTAGAATGCAGTATTCATTGGCTCACATGACTTATGAGACAGATAACATCCATTGTTTTGTATTATTGTAATTAGAAATGATTGGGCGATTACCCAATATCCATATCTAAGTGAATATCAAACTATTCTGTAAAAGTGTTAATAAAATACTAATGCGCACACGAAAAAAAGAAATAGACAAAATTTATTTAAAAAAAAAAAAATAATTAAAGGGGTAAACCTTCTTGGATTTAGGCTACATAAAGTATTGTATTGCGTTGCGTTGATTTGATGTGTTAATTCCAATAGACAATCTCGATTGACGTAACATTTTGACAAACTGTCACTTCACAAAACAAATCAACACATATACCAAGTGTCATTGACACATTTATTTTTAATCCAAATCAAGAGGGAATCTGAATAAATGATGTATGTAAAAGAGGACAAGCTAAGCTAAATTTAAAAAAAACTATATATATTAGGCCAATGACATTACCGCTTCTCTTAAAAATACAATTATCTTTTAAAAGGAATTGTACCCGCTGATGTTTGACTTTCTTATCCTACAAATGTCATCTTTGCATGTCTTGTAAAATGATGATTCCAGATTCGTCATAATCTAAAGTCATTTTGAGAAATGTAATTTTGTATTGTCAAAAATACATGTATGTTCTAATATGCTGGAAAACAAACAAAACCGGAGAGGTTTTTGTAGACTATTTCATATCTTGCTTAATTTTGTTTTAAGCTTACATAAAGTTCTCCTTTCCTCGCGTTTACCCCCCCCCCCCCCCCCCGTACTTTCTGGCTAATGTAAACTAGTAGTATAACTTCATTTGATAAAACAAATGACAATGTTCGTTACATCCAAGAAACACCACTTCTAAATATATAATCTGCCATATTATCAAGTCTCCAAAGTGCAATAGATTTGTATCTTAAGTAAGCAATTTGCCATTCAAAGAGCTACTTGAAATATAATATACATCTAATTAAATTAAGCGGGTGAAATAGACATCCCATGATGTTTCTGCTTACATGCTGCTGTCACTCATCACGGCACCGATGTATAACCATTCCTAATTTGTGTTTGGTGCGCAAACTCACTGATTCATATTAAAGTATATCTATATATAATTTTACATTTTACTTTTTTCATTCCCTTTTTTTTCTGTATCAATTGAACACGAGATATAGTCGTGATAACAGTTTCCAAATGTTCACGTGTTGTCAAAAAATTATCCTTACATCTTTGAATTAAAATAAATTATATAGAACAACACAAAAATTTATCTTTACATCTTTGAATTCAAATAAATTATATAGAGCAACAGACGAATATTTCGAAAATAGTCTCAAATATTCTTAAGAAATTATGTGGTTATATTTTTCATGCATAGCTTTTTAAGTCCATTAATCTTTGCCCAAATAAGAAACGGTACAATTGTGTCTATACTATTTCAGTATTTTTGTTAGGGTGGTGGAAGGCGGCCTACTTCTGATTACGCCCTGGTAAGCCTACGTGTCTTGCAGGACGTTGTGCCATTTTCCAAAAATGAATTAGTTAAATGTATAAACAGACATTCTAGAATTATTTTATTATACATGACTTATGCTCACGATAAGAGCAACGAATATAATCGCGTTTTAATGCATGATTCTTAACTTTTAATTAAACAAGAAATGGCAATGGCATAAAATGTGAGCACTGTGGAACTCCGGTTGTGTCTCTAAAGAGACATAGGTATGTATGTTGTGCAACAGAACTATAGCAGACATGCGATTGGAAGTATAAACAGGTTTACATTGAAATAATTTGAATGTCGTAGTCTTTTTTATTTAAATACTTCAGTTTGTGGATT